CTACGTCTCAAGCTATTGATTTGTCCTCTTTCCGCGACTGCTATTATTTACCTATTGAGGCATGTATCTTTATAATATATAAAATATCTTACTAATTTATATAATAGAGTATCTACGATGACTTTCCTTCTGATAATAATCAACCACAAAGGATAATTGTATATATTCCTATTATATTATATTTTTATAAACTAATAGTATTATAGGATCGTTTACACGGAAATCCAAATCAGCCAAAAGGAAAAGAAGGACAGCCAGTAAGATTATTTATAAACTATGTATAATTCATTTTATAACTAATTAATATARGCTACAAAAAAAGCCCGAATTCAAAAACAAAATAGCTTACCAGCTAGCCCAGAAGCGCAAGACGATACAGACAACTCTATTCAGATACGGGACTGTCCTCTTTTAAACGGGGTATATAAAACTCTAAAATTCTAAAACTATACTAATAATATTTAGAAGCCAAATATAAATGCAATGCGAGTACAGGTCCAACACCTATATAAGATTAGAAATAATGGTCGATGTGATTTATGCCGCTCAGATAGTAAGTATATATAAAACGAATTAAAAACAAATTCTAATTAATATCCTACTAGAGCGTAAATGTCCGGATATACTTGCAGATAATTGGGAAAAGTCTAACTGCAAGATTATCCAACATTTTATCCAGCCAGAGGACGACTAGCTGTTTAGTCTTATTATTATTTCTTTAGTACTTTTCTTTTCTAGTATTTGGAATTTTAGTTTTTATTATTATATATATATTCAATATATGTTTTGCAACTAATTAAAAGATGATTCTATCTATCTACTAAAAGGCGTAGGTAATATCTCAACATTAAGTAGTTCATTCTCAAGCTTTCTAGCCTGAAGCTGTTTAATCCTTACTTCCGCTTCTAGTTGCTGGACTTGAAGGTTACTCATTTTTGTCTCATGACGCTCGCGTGCTACCCTTGCCTGTTTCTCAAGTTCCCATTCTTCCYGTTTCTTCTTCGTTTCCCAATTGACTTCTTCGTAATTATTAGACTTTGTTAGTCTATCCTGAGCCAGCTCCTTTCCTATACGCTTTACACGCTTCGTCCCTCCGCTACTTGATACTACTGGCTGTGGCTCATATACTTCTGGGACCTGATCAGAATTATCAGGGTCTGTTGAAGGAGTTATAAACTTGAGCCGCCTTTTCTCTAATCTTTCTATATATTTATTAGTATATAGACTAAAGTCATTTTATAAACGAATTCAAGTTGATTTAATAATCGTTTAGTATAACTCCACTTACTGATTTTATCGTAGATCGCATTTACGGGATTTGGAGGGGTATATGAAGACTGAATACCATAGCGTTTATATTGGTCAATATATTCTACTAGCTTTTTGTCTAAGTTGATGCCCCTAATATATAATTAGAAAACGATTCGAACTCAATTACAAAGTACATACTTTAGAATTGCTAGTAGAAGTGCTTGCCCCCTCCCAGTTCGATTTGACATCGACATTAACGAATCAAGAGACTGGTTTGTTCGAGTACAGTTATTCCAAACGTCTTTATCCCCTTTCCAAAAGAGAGGATTAAGACCTGACTTAATCCACGGGACCCGTTTATGAGCTGTATATGCTGCTTCATTAGGGCTATAAGAATAAGAATTAGAAATAATATATAAAACGAATTATATACGAATATAACTTAAAGGGAGAGTACTTACAAATTCTTATCAACTTCATCTAGAATTGTATTAAACATTTCTTCGCTATTAACGTTCAATAGCTCACGCATAACCTCGCCCCATGCAGAGCCAGATGGAAAGCGCGCTTCAAGACCACGGAAGAAATGAGTTGTACAGTAAATAAGAGTCCGCTCGACGTGCCACTGCCAAGGTCTCTTTGGGAATTCAGGATCAATTGTCCAAAAGTAAAGACCCAATGCTAAGACAGTTAGTAAGTATTTGATAAGTATTTACCAAGTACTTGATAAGTGTTTGAGAAGTAATTAAAAAACTTACCATGAGCTTGGGCAGGACACATATCTACTACAATAGCCTTGATACCCTGGCCATGTATGTGGTGCCACTGTAGCCCTTTTCTAGGCTCGGCTTGCGAAAGTATATTATCTGCTACTGAGAAGAACTCCATAAACGCCTTATAGTATGCCCAGATTGACTGCTTATTGGTATAAACTCGACCAAAACACATTACTTAAATAATTAGATAATAGTTGTAAAACGTTTGCAGAGTATTTACTTACACCGTTGAAACTCTTGCATAAACTGTCCAATAAGAATTTCATTAAACTGCCCATGAACCCGTTTATATGACATGTCGATTTGTATAGTATTACAGGTAGCCATACATTCGATTTGCTTTGTAAATGCGCAGGAAATAGTTCCAATATCGCCGTTATGTACCATATTCCGAATATATGGGATCTTCCTACTTTGTCCTTGGTGATACGAGATATAGTAACTCCAAACACCTATATACGTTTAGAAAATATTAAAAAAATATTTACAGAAGACTAACCTTCCCAGTCAGTACCGTCTGGATATTGTAAGTAGATCTGCGCCCGACGTAGAGCTGCAAACCGACTAGTATTAAATAGTGTAGGGTCAAGAGTGCAAATATCAGCGTGTGGATCTTTCTTCTTGAGGTCTATATATAGACTAAATAGCCGATGGCCATTAGGTGGAATAATATGAACAGGAGTCCCTTAAAATAGTTAATAAACGTCTCAAAAACAGAAGTAAAGTATATTATATACCTGCTATAGCTCCGACTTTAATATGCCTCTGGATCTCTTTGATAACGAGCTCGCCAATTTCTTGGGGAGTTTGATTAGGAGGAGGAGGGTTATGAGAATGAATTCCATGTGAGGAAAATAGAATAATCGGTGTCTTCTTTAAGTCGACTGGGATTAACATGTTGAACTTGACTGAACATGGAATCTTCTTTATTAGCTGGGAACTTTGATCATRCGGAACTCCTATAAATATTGTTAGTATTTGGCAATTATTTAACAAGTATTTAACAAGTATTTGAAAAACATTTGAAGAATATTTATATAATACTAGATACGTACCACAAAGACGTCTTCGTGATGTTTGAGGGAGCGTGCGAAAACACTTCTCTTGTACTCCATCGTAGCCATACTCTAATAGCTGGGCTAGATGTGCAAGGTGTATATGAGCGTTGGTAGGGATGGAGTAGTAGTAGTGGTGCGCCTTCTTTGCATATGTCGCCTGATTGCAGGTAATATAATACTTTTTGTTTCCATTTAAATCCTATTAATTAAATAATTAGTAAACGTTTTATAATTATTTGGAAAGACTATACCCTATRTTCAGACTCTCGTACAACAGGCAAACCGCTACAAGGTCGACTAAGTCCAGTATCATTATAGTAACTTGAAAATGGACAGCCGTTCCGGTGTGGACTCTTGAAATCCCGCATAACTGCATTATATAGACTACATAATTAGAAAACAATTTCAAAGTAGAAGGTAAACACTTTACTCAAGAGTCGGTTTGTATGTATCAACAGGGTGATATTCCTCCATAAATAGCCGTTGTACAGCAGACATTCGCTCTGCTTTTCTATCCCAAGCATCTATATCCCATTCCGTATGCGGGTCTAAAAGAGACTCGTGATGATGGGTACATACTTTAACTCCTGAGCAGCGGAACGTAGTTCGAATACATGGGACATTATTTAGGAATTCGGATCGAGTTAGTTTATTATGCGGTTGATATGTTGATGAATAACTATACTGGACCTATATAATATTAATATTTATACATTTTGTAAACAATTTCTATGTAACTTACATTGTACATTAATGTTTTAATTGTTAGATCTAGTGACTCTAGATACCCAAGGGCAGAGAGACAATAGCCTACGCCGGACTTTGATGTTTTTGGATACCAAGGTAGACGGGTGCCATAGAAAAGTTCAGAGACTCGTAGCCCATCCAAACTAGGATTGGTAAAGATTTTTGGGATATTTTCATTATCTTGCATAGAAGTAGTAGGCTCCTATAAGTAATTAGCAAATATTTGATAAGTATTTGGCAAGTATTTGGCAAGTATTTGGCAAGTATTTAGCAAGTATTTGGCAAGTGTATACGTACAGAGAATGAATTGTCTGGAAACAACAGAACATCTGGGAGGGGAATAACAGGATACTTCGTTTCAGCTTCCTGGTAAAGATATTGTTTATCATCTAGGGAGAGACTTGAATTGCGGAGAAGCTCCTCAGGTATAGGGGCAGCAGTATTCGACATAGCTAGAAATTAAAGCTTTATATAAGAAAAGTTGGTCATATAATAGAGATTAATAGTATATACAACAGACGAAGGCATATTTAATACAAAGCTTTAATTGCTCTTGTCGCGAAACACACACGTTAATCGCGCACGGTTATTCTGAAGTTAAATGACATTAATTTCACTTTTCTTAAATTACCGAGCTTCGAATACAAATCTTTTTTAAAACACTTGACAAACGTTATTCAAACATTATTCAAATGCTGTTTAAATGTTCTCTTAGAGGGTCATCTCAGGTCCTTATTTGCACGGCCATTAACTAGGGTGCCCCTACTAGTAGGACTACTATGTTAGGGTTCGACCAGGCGCGCCCGGGTTTAAATCTAGGGGGCTGGCCAGCCACTGTGCGCGTTTAGGTGCAAAGCTCGTATGGCCTATAGCTAGACCCTGTTTAGTCCTTGTTAAGGGCCATTCCAGCTGCTGTGACCGGTCATACCAACTACGCTCTGATCCATAAATTAAGATGCGGGCCTTGTCGTTCTGATCACGTGCTGTCGTATTACCTAATGCGAACGGGAACCCACGTATTACTTCGTTGTACTCCCCTATGTACAGAGTTCGTACTAATAATAACTTATCAGATAATAACTTACCTAGGTAGACAATAATTCCTTTTTGCCCTTGCCAATCACCAATCGCACTACCTTTATTTAAGTGGTGTTTTGCCTTTATTGCCATGACCGACTCATCCTTCTCCGACGACGCAATCCTGATCCCAGGTCCATCTTTCCACATCAACCTCTCCGCCCTCGATGCCTGCCATCCGGTCCACTACAGCCGTCGCCTCCTCATTTTCCGCTGCGCTTCCTCTGCACAACGTGACGCGCAACTCGCCGCATTCAAGACCGGCATACAAGCTCTCATCCAGCGTTGTCCCATCTTAGGTGGCATCGTTGTTCCCCTGCCACCCGATGTTGCCAATGGGAGCCAACAAGACTGGCGAACCATCGTTCCTGGCCGGGGCGTTGAACTCATCGTGAAAGACTTGCGAACAGAAATATCCTCATTCGAGGAGCTCGAGGCGGCCGGGTTTCCAGCTCTCCAGCTTCCTTATGATCTCCTTGTGCCTATACCTCAAGGCCTCGGCAATGACCGCCCGTTTGCTGCATGTAAGATGCAATTCAGCGCCATCGATGGCGGTACGATTCTCACATTTGCTATGTCACATTCCGTAGCCGACGGCAGCGGGACGAATGAGCTGATGCGGATACTGAGCGAGGAGACGCGACTCGCACAGGAGCATTTAACTGAAAGCGTGGGAAATGAGGTACGCTCAGCTGCTGTGACTTCGGTCATAGGCCTGGACCGGAGCGTTATGCGCAACATGTCGAGCGAAATAGCGTTTGATATAAAAGACCACCCTGCATACAGGTGGAAGACGACTGCTCCAGCAAACGAACTGCCACCAGAACAAGCACTAGCCCATCCCTTTGAGGCTACATCACCAGAAATCCCAGTCCTCCTTCACATCTCCCCAGCCAGCCTAGCGCAACTCAAGGCCGACGCAACGCTTCCGGGCGCGCCACCGATTTCTACTCACGATGCATTAAGCGCCATCATGTGGCGTAGTGTGCTTCTCACTCGTAGTCGACGCTCCGCTTTAGCGCATGGCCTCCCGGCAACTACTATTGGAAGTATCTTCATGCCTTCCGACGGGCGCCGTCACCTCAACCTGCCGGAGTCGTATGTCGGCAATGCTGTCTATCAGCTCACTGCCGGGCTAGACCTTGGAAAGCTCCTCTCGCCCTCCGGCCTCCAGCATGCTGCAAGTGCCCTCCGGTGTAGCATTACATCCGTGAATCCCGCGCTCGTATCTAGCTGTATAGCCATGACGAACGAAAAGTGGATTGATTGGCAATTCATGCTCACAGCGTCCACGACCGGAGTAGCAATGGGCACGGACTGGACGAGCAGTTCGTTGTATAGCCATGACTGGGGGAAGGCATTTGGGCCGCTGGTCAGGTTTAGATACCCTGGTGAGGCCTTCAACTGTGTCATGCCTAAGCTACCGGACGGAAGCGCGGAGTTGATGGTAGCCGTCATGGCAGATGAGGTGGAGGCGTTGAAGGGCACTGATGGCTTTGGGAAATACATAGAAGCGCGATAGCTTGGGAGTGGGTTGCATGGGTGGAGCCGGAAGGCTTAGCATAGATATAGTCCACATTTTTAAGTATAGAGTGTGCGCCTTTTAACGCCCTGCTGTATAGGTTAGTGTACGGGAGCTATCTAGATGATACAGGGAATTTGGTAGGGAGGCGATACCGGAAGCATTAAGACTGAATAAAGAGGTAGGTAATAGCCCGCCTTGGGGCTACTTCCGAAAACGACCCCGAATTGCCCTAAGGATGTATGATAGCTTCAGATGTTTTTCTCAAGAGCCGTGACGCCCGTGCTTTGACGACGCAAGAACCTATTCCGTTTTCTTCCGTGGATGGTGTATATTGACTTGGTACAGGGCTGGGTGGTAACCGCCGGTGCATAACTGTTGCCTCGGATAGTTGTGAGCTCTCGTTCCCCGAGTTTGAATGTTGAAGCTTGGTATCGAGGTGATGGCAAGGATATTCCTGCTCATTGTTCGAGGTCGTGGAAACTGCTCTTAAATTTCTTGCTTGTATACCCACACCCAGAAAATAAATAACGCTGTAGAAACAGGAGCCTTGAATATACACTTCGGGCTTTAAACAGTAAGTATAACACAAACGACCTGTTTAAACTTGTTGTTCGGGCGAAACGGGGTGGAACAGCAAGTGGAATTGCTGCCGAACCTTGGCCTATATATGTAGGGGCCATGAATTCCAATTTGTTACCGTAGTCAATTGACCCTCAATCGCTCTTTTCCTATTTGAGGCGTTATTTTTCTCAATGCCCATCCAACAGAGCCGAGTATATTTGAGACGTTAAGGCCACTTTCCTCCGTGAGTTATTGGGGTAGAGAGTAAGTTTCTTCAATATACTGGGCGATTCCTATAAATAAGCTGTGATGGTTGAGAGATTATCACTCGATGATCTCAGTGCCAACTCTAAAATCCATAGGCTACTAAACTTTCAATACCGGCATTTGAAGAAAACACCACCACCTGGCACAACATTTAATACCTTCACCAATGGCATGAAATAGGCTTGGCCAGACTAGCATAAGTGAGGTTTACTAGGTTCTTCTGCCAATCACCTTCACTCATGTGAAATCTAACTACCGTTTCCTCGAAACATCCCACAGTACTAACGGATCTAATTGGAACGCCCAGAAAAATCGAGCTTATTGACCGTCGAAGAAGCCCCTACGCACGGTACTGTCGAATACCAGCACTCCTCCCGGCTCCAATAGATCTGCCAGTGATTTTCTGGCGGCTGCATATACGTTTGGATCTCGAGGTGTGAAATCCCGCACAAATCTCCGCGGTTTACTTCCTATACCAAGTATCTCTAGCCTCTTTAGGGTTGGCCATTGGCCCTGAGTAAATATTGGTAAGACGTACTGTAGAAGTCTGTCATCCATTGGCAGGCCGGTTTTCTGTAGCCTTGGACGACCATAATAGTTATCATCACCGAAATCGATAGCTGTTCCTTGCTCAATAGTAAGGCTCTCGAGAGTGTTTCGTACAGAGCTGATAAACAAAGCCCATTCTTTGTACCTTGCTTCATCTTTTTCTACGGAACCAAACGGGTTATTAGCCTCGGCCCACGTTTCATCTAGGTCCTGACCCAGAGACCGTATAGTCAAGTGTCGTAACTTCACGCATCGACCTTCAAGAAGCTGCAAATGACCACTCATTAGCTCTGCAGGAGCGAACCCCAAAAATTCGTCGTCGTCATCATCATCTTGCAATGGTGAAATGCCTATGCCTCTAGGCGTATCTTCATAATAGCTAACCTCATCTCCGGAGTCTATAAGGTTGTTGCACTCGAGCGACACCAACCCCGCGGGATTAGAATCTATAAGCTTGGTGATAAAGACGGAAGGCATATGGCCAGTCAAGCGAAGTCGTTGGACGTTTGGGAATAACAATGGAGGAGCACGAGCCCGGTCGAGCACTGACATCACTGTTTCATCCGCCCATGCTGCAAAATCAAGGACCTTAACTCGTTCAAGGTGCTTGAAAGCTATCCACATAGGTTGTATGTCTATGAGCTTCTGTCCCGGTTTGTCGAAGAATCGGAAATATGTCCAAGTCAAGTACTCGACGTATCTGCCATATTCTGGATGCTTGGTGATAGCTTCGAAGAACATCCCCTGCCTAGATTGAAAACTCCGTTGTCGTTCCATTCCAAAAGTAGCATATGACCTAGTCGGATTATCTGCCGTAATCTCACCGCCTAATTGACTCGTATGCGGGCCTGGATCATTATGGCAACTGATGTCTACGTGCCTGTAGAGGAAAGGGAGGGCTTCGTTGTGCATCATACGGCAAGTTTGGGCTTGTTCTAATCAGTAGATGAGGCTAATGGTTGAGAATTGGAATCGATACATACCGAGCGCAGACAGATCTGACGCATTACACTGTCGCATGATCTCGTGCTGCAATTCCGGGAGCAATGTATTGAAACGCGGAAATGACATTTTCGCGATTCCCATAGGTATACCAGTACTTGCATCAATTTCCTTTGCCAGTTGTTGCTCGCGAAGAGTGGGATCAGGACCACCTTCACTTATAGTATTTACTCGTTGGTTCTGCTGGGGGTGGTTCACCAACAGCAACAGTTGGTTGTTGATTGCCAGGCAGCAGTGGCAAGCGGCTATTTCGACCACTTTGACTATGACCAAGGCAAGCTGTTCCCTTGCACATTTATTCAATTGCGCAGGCAGGCAGGCAGGCTATATATAATGAATATAAAAACACCTATAATATAATAACTCGTGGGCGAATTCAATGCGGATTAGTTAACAAGTAGGGAAATTTGATAGACATGAGCTAAAACGAGTATGACCCTTATATATCAAAATAAGTGGTTTTCCCTTAACGAAAAGATCTCCCTCTCCCGTGGCCTACTTGTAGGCACGAGGGATAGTTCTTCGGAAGTCTCAGTTTAGTGATGGATCGGATGGGGTTTAGCTGTGGCGCATTCTTGGGCAAATTTGGTGCAAAACTCTTTTGGCTATATTATAAGGCCCAACGGCCACGAATATCTAACTGAAATTGAGATATTTATATAACTTGAATATCTCAATTTTAGTGAGATATTTGCGCTATTTGAATATCTCAATTTTAGTTAGATATTTATACTACTTGAATATCTCAATTTCGGTTAGGTATAGAGGCCTAAACTATAGAGTATAATAGCCTAGAGACTCGTAGAGAAAAAGCCTGATAAGAGGAGCTAGCTACTATCCCACTTTAGGTACTTGTACTACTAAGTTAGAAGAGCTAGGTCTCTAGGCAAGTATAACGACCTAGCTTTAAGAATAATCCTACTTTGCGATTAACTAGATATTCGAATGATAATTATAGTACTATACGCTGACTATCTAGATTATATATAAAAGAGTATATATACTAGTAGGAGCGCGATATCAGATTTATATCTAAGTAATAGCGGTGAGGCTTTATAATACTAGTGAAAACAGGTTTGTACCAAATTCGCCCAAGAATACGCTATAGCGAGCCCTATCTGAAATAAGGTTATATCCTGACACTAGCGACAGCTCGTAACTGGGGCTCTTGCCTGTCTGTAAAAGGGGTCTACGTTTCAGAGTTACGAGCGAGTCTCTCTGGCTTAGAGCCGCCCTTTCGGGGGTTGAGAATAATGGGGTGTCCTAGAGGGGCTGGAATCTTTTTTACATTTCTTTTAAATATATATTTCTATTCGGGCGATGGAAGCGAGGAGAAGCGAAGTCGGTAGAAAGAGGTAGATTTAAGTGTGTTACGGAACTGGGGATAATAGACTACGGCATCACAGCTAGCTTGTTAGAAAGAGCTTAACTTCACCTACACTTAAATATAAATTTATATTCTCTAGGCAGGATTAAGTTGCCAGTACTACTCAGAATTTAGAATCCCAAGCGACTAAGTAGTCCAACTAGCTGCTCTTCGTTTTCGTTCCTGCATTTAATAATCACTTCCTCCGATTGCAACCGCAAGATATCAGAATTAGAGACACGCCAGGGTAAAATCGTGCGAAGGACTGTGTCAACATCTGCCACCTTGTCGATACCTGGAATGTTTCTTGGTCGCTCAACGTCCAGCTTCTCCAACTCATCCTCCCAAGCTTTCATGACATTCCACTTGACTCCGTCCTTGGTTGTCGGCGGGAGTGGCGAAGGAAACCCATGAAGCTTTGCTTCCCTCAAAGCCATATCCTCGGTGGCTTCGTCGCTAGACCAACCTCGGAACTGACCACCAGCGCCATCAAAGGAGCGAAGGAATTCGTATGAAGGATGCGAGACACATGCAAAATCATAGTCAATGAGTGCCGTGATGCGGCCAGATGTGGCATCGAATAAGAGATTGTTCGTAGCTACATTAAAACCAATGATTCAGCATTATGATCAAGGATAAGAGTCAAGAATCGACTCGATAAACAACTCACTAAAGTCTGCATGTATAATAACCCGGTCTTGCTTGAGCCTAGAGCCTCAAACTGGGCTGGGACACCACGCTTAATAAAAGCATCCAGACGCTCTCTCACGCCGTTGGCATACCATCCTTTAATATATGGATTTGCATCTGCCTTCCGAAGTGCCACTTCGAGTCGGCCTTCGAAAGAAGCTTCGTATGAGGGCCAAGGTCCGGCGCCAACACTAGTCATGGCGGTGCTTATAGTACGACCAGTGTCATCGAATGTCACGCCCCCAAAACTAGTAATACTCTTGGGCAGCTTATAGTCTTGCAACGACTTTAACAGTTTAGCCATTTGTGCAAAAATCTGGCGCTTCTGCTCAAGATCCATAGCATCAAATGACTCGTCCACCGGCGCGCCTGGCATCAGCTCTTGGATGATCCAACCTTGTGAGGATTCGACGGCTGCACTTCCCCAGGCATATACTGAAGGCACTACACGTGGAACAAAGCTAGCAAGAGCAGCAGAGGCGAGAGCGATGGTGGCTACTTCATTTTCAACGCGGGTTGTTCGGTTCATGCCCTCGGCATTAGGGTTGGCGAGGCGGAATATGAGCTCCTTGGTGCCCTCGGGAATGGGGACACAACCGGGCTGTTGATACCTATATTTGGCCGCCTGGTTCACCGTGATGGGCACAGGGAGAGAAATACAATAGACGAAGTTGTTGTATTTGAAAACGCATTCCGGGTCGTATTGGATGGGGGTGATAGCGGCATCTTCCTGGTAGGAGGCCACTTGGAATTAGGGTTTGCGTGCGGAGGAGAAGGAGTGGGAGATAAACTAACAGAAAATTTGCTTACCTTGAGGCTAAATTGCTCCTGGAGCTGGTTTTGTATAAAGTCTAGCCGGGCCTGATAATTGGCGTGATTGTGGTTCGTGGCCGCCATATCTATCTATATCTATATCTGCAGCGAAAGAGAACGAGAAAGAGAAATTTGTTTCGAAAGAATACGGCCGACTATGAGGGTTTGGCTGGAGCTTGATGGGAAGGGGTAGGATATGACACAGGAATATGGATGGGGATAGCGAAAGGGGAGGAGAAGGAGGAGAGGAGACTGTTGCAACGCGGTGTGGTGCTGTCGTACCTGAGTGAAGTGCCAACGGACGGCCAGCATTATGCAGCTAGAAGTTGGTACCTAGGTCAGGCAGGTAGCGATTACACCTTCATGGTAAGTTCCAGGGGCACCAGTTCCAGGACTATAGGTACCTTGGGTACTAGGTAGGCTCAATGGAGCTCAACTTATCTTGATCGCATAGCACTGGATGCTCACGTACAGCTGCAGTGCGAAGAACGAAGGGGGTCAGAGTCCTGGGCTGGCAGGGAATGGGGGTCGCATGGCTGGTGCCTCTTGGTTGCCGTGGCTACTGTAGGGCTGGCGTGGGCCAACGGAATCCCGGAACATCAACCCCAATTCCAACGACACGGTCAGCGAAAGAAGTCAACGCTCGTTGCTCGTCGCCTACCAGTTACTGTGGGTATTTCTCTCCTTTTTATGATGCTACAAGAGGGCAGTGCCGAAGGATACTAGGCAGTGACAGACGCCTTTATTAATCTCACACGTTCCCCTCTAGACGTGGAACTCTGCCGCCAAAAAGCACCTTGATTCAAATAATTCGCGCTTATGGTCAACAGTTTTCCTCTCGAATTCATCTATCCAACCCCGAATTTCTTGCCACTTTCTACTCCGAACACACAGAGATCAGTACTTCAGCCCTATCAATGCATCCGCCACCCAAAACGCTCATTCAGATGGCCGGTGCGCCAGGTTCTGGGAAAAGCACCGTGGCGAACCTACTAGCACAATCGATCAACGGCGTAGTCATCGATCATGATCTACTCAGATCCTTCTTTCTCGAAAATGATATGTTATTTGAGCAGTCGGCAAAACTCTCGTATCGCTTCCAGTGGATACTCGCCGAGGACATGATCAAACAGGGGCGGAGCGTCATCATCGACAGTCCCTGCAACTACAACGAGACGCTAGATCAGGGAACCGCGCTGGCTCGACAGTACGGCTTCGACTACAGATACGTTGAGTGCAGAGTCAACGATGTCGAGGTGCTAGATCGAAGGCTACGCAATAGAATTCCCGTGAGAAGTCAGCGAACAGGAGTAAGCCTTCCCCCGCCCGATGCCACCAGCGCCCGTCACGACGAAGATCATCACGTAATCTTCAAGAGATGGATCGAGCGCCTGTGCCGTCCGGATGGCGATGTTATCGTCGTAGATTCGACTAGCAGCCCCGAGGAGTGTCGAGACTACATACTCAAGCAGATACTACCTTCAACTAGAGTTCAAACAAGCAATAGTGGAGGAGGGGGTGCATAGATTCAACACATGAAAGCGATGGGTTTACCTTCGCAACCAGCCTTCGAGACGTCGAATCGGACGAGGCGAAGATGGCGCTCCTCAGGCCTACTAGTCCGAGCTTTCTACAAATCAGCCTTGGACAATTCCCTTGAGAAATTTGGAGAGGACTATGCTGCAAGAGCTAGGTATTTCCCAATCAGCTTCGTGCTCCCAGGCCCTTTATACGAATGGACCATGGGATCGAACTATGCCACTCTCAGCGACTCGGCGTCAACTCTGATTTAGGCTGCTCAGCACCAGCATCCGCGATGCTTGGCAACCAGTTGTAGTGTTGAGCAGAGTCAGGAAGGGCGGCGGTAGCTATGTTGCCGAGATGATCGATTAAATATTTCAAAGGTGAAGCATGAGGCCAGGTGGTTGTTAAGGTAATCGGCAAACAGTGTGTGTTTAATTTAAACCCTGATAGAGTAGAGGAATAAGTAGAATCTTAGAGACCTCAAATTTATAACTTCAAATTAACTAACGTCTTATATTAAATTATCAATAAAATACCTAGGCAAAGGGCAGAAAATTATAGAGTACCTAGTAAGGAAGCATACTCATGACGTGCCTTCCTCTCTACAAATGAGACACCAACTAAATCCCCCTTAAAGATCGCCCCACATATCCTAAATCGTCCCTCGCCTTGCAAGTGTCAGGGCAATTCCCTAATAGTACTTCGGGTTGGCAGGGTCAGTCAAGTCAAAGACAACACTCGAATGTGGCTTTGCGCCGCCACGGTTACCATAAGGCCCTGTGAAATCAATCGTACGATTGAAGTGCAGGCTTCCATCATCATTGATATCAATATACAGTGCCTTGAAATCAGCTGGGGTGTTAAGGATGCCGATATCACCCGTCTGGACAAAGTAGTCCGTCACGAGAACGTGCTTCTGATCCGGAGTGATCTTGATGTAGTGCGGGCCGATGGTGGGCTGGATCTCATCAGGGTCGTCGAGTCGCTTTACGTTGTTCAAGTCAGAGATGTCGAGTGCCGCAATGTGGTTGGCGGTGGTGAGGGTCAAATAAATGAACTTTCCGTCTTGGGTGATGTCCGAGCTAAGTGAGGAAAGGGGTGTTAGTAAAGATTATACTTTTTAGAAGAAGAAGGCTGAAGAGTATCTTACTAGATGGCCGTGGTGTCGCGGGCTTTGGGCCCGAGGTCATAAAGGAGTTCGGCCACTCCTTGCTTTCCGTTCGAATCGGTGCGGAAGGGGTAGATGATCCAGATTTGACCGAGGTGCACTGCAGTCGCCAGCGCAGCTGTCTCCGGGTTACCGGGAATGAACTTCACATCTTGAATACCGCCGCCCTAAAGAAAAATAGATGTTAGAGGTCCGTTTACCGCAAAGCAGCTTGGGAGGTTTTCAGGAAGCTTACATTTGGGATAGTGATGGTGCTTATAATTGTTCTAGATGCAAGGTTCCAGAGGCGTAAGGTATTGGCCTTTTGGATCCCAAGACTCGGCTTCAAGACAGTGATGGGAATGACAAAGTCAGAGGTGAGGATGATATTTTTCTCGAAGTCGACAGTGAGACCATGGGGTGCAAATGTCTCGCCGAGGATATTGCCCAAACCACCGAGATCTTCGGGATGCTGGCCGATAATATCGAAGTTTGCATCAGTCTCGACTAGGCGGCCGGGGGCGGTTCCTACAGTAGCTATAGAAAATAAGCATATGTCCAATAAGGGGAACGAGGAAGAACAAACAGCCCATGTATGTAATCAAAAAGCCACTACAACTTAGTTAGTATGTGCCTTGCCTTGTACTGGAAAGAGAAACTTACCCATCTGGCTTCGCACGAATTTCATCCGTAATGGAAGCGAGGAGGGCGCGGTTGCTCTTTTTGAAAGTTGGTCGGTATGGGTTTGTGGTATCAAAGTAATAGGCAGTGTCCTAGGTAAGTTAGCAACAGCAAAAGACTTGGGCATGACATGATTTTACCTGAGTTTTCAACAGGGAGAGCAATCCACCACCCACGAGGGTCTTTCCATCCAAACTAGAGCCTAGATGATGTGGGCTGTTCCCACTGGTAGGGACATCTGTCAACCAAATGAATTCACCAAATGTATCCTATGTGGTATCAGTAGATGAAATGTGTATGTGATTTGAGCATCTCTTACATCGTCAAGACTATATGTGGCCAAGAAATCTGAAGAACATGGTTAGAATTGTCTCGAGTATACAGAACGATGTCATATACCGGCGTGAATATTGTCTCCAGCACCCGTCCAGAAATAACCAATCTTCTTGGGCTTGATATTGCTTCCAACGAAAGGAGGACTCGCAAGCGGTGGAGTAGGCAGTTGCAGGATTGGCAGTGGCGGTGCATTGCTGACAATAGGATCCGTGACTCCTGGGATGCTGGGAATCAGAGGAGGCAAGGAGAGCTGAGGGTCTGGCTCTGCGATAGGCGAGGACCAAGCCGCAATGACGAAAGTCGCGAGTATTGCAAGTGACTTAGACATGATATCGTTTTGGGGATATCTATTTCTTGGGTCGAGATAGTTTGCTCAGGATGAGTGCGGAGAGAATGAGTGAGAATGAGCATGTTTTAGGTTCTTTAGGGATATATATATAAGTAAGAGCTTCCACCTCCAATTCTCAGGTCCTTCGTCGATCCCAACGTCTTGATTCATGATACTAATTACCTTATACAGCCATGAATGTCGCCATAAAAATGAAAGAAGGTTCCTAGATAGTAGGAGAGTGAGCTCTTCTTATTTAGGTGAGGATCTACAGAACCAATTCTAGGTACTATTTAAGCTTAGGAAGTTGTATCTCATCAACTGCCGTGCACGGCAGCTGAATGCCTTATAAAAACAGGGAACATTACATCTAGAGAGCTTTCTAGTACCTTGAAATGTCTTAAGTGTAGTAGATAATTCAGGGATGGGCTTGCATAGCATCCTAGCTCCTGATATCAAATAAACTATTCAGCTGAGACATAGTTGTTATATTTCAATATAGAAGTATCACTTGGACACCCTAAGATCGGCGACTATTCAAACCATGGCAGCTTGGTCAAGCTATTGAATGCACCCCGCCGTGGAGCGGGACTTTTGCGAGCTGATACTCTCATAAAGCCTCAAAAGAGTTTAATAATACAAGCTGAGGTATGGGTACGGCAAGGTTTGGGTGTCGATAAATCTAACCCTAATGCTAGCCTCTTTTGACCAGTAGCTCAATGTTCCGCAGGCAGGAGACTTTCTATATCTCCGTTCGGGGACCTCGATTGCATCGATCGCCGCAGGCTACTTAATCAAGAACCCCTCATCTCATAATGCGCGATGATGCGGTGTATGACCCTAGGCCACGCAGTAGCTTCCCGCTTCCATGAAGCCGAGCACATCTGCAAGGCACCACATAAAATAACAATCTGCAATCTTTGCAAGGCAACCAACAGAATGACGGAAATTGGACAGGGGCCGACGGGTAGTTGCCTGCCACGGAGATACAGTCGACTTGGACTTGCAAAGAATATCAAATTGAAAAGAGAACATGGCAATGGGTGATAATATAATGGAAAATATTGGCGCAAAATAAATCACTAGATTTATTGATCTTATTCATACTGTGATTTTCCTTAAAAACAGTCTATGGCCTTGCGGTTTGAATTTATCCACACGAAACATCCAGCAATTGAAAATTGGAAGCACCAAGTTTGTTGGTTTGAAATTCGAAATACGCCAAGACACCAAATCGAACGCTACCATCGCGCCTTTCAAAGCCACAATCACGACATTAATCAGCAACCAGCCTAACCACAGATCGCAGGCGTTAAATAAGCTTCTAATCAAGCATTTTGCATGCTCAGTGATATTGAAAAGAAAAGAAGGCTGAAGGTGGGATTGACGGGGGCCGTGACACGATGATCGTTACCCTCAAACATGCCTTAGCATTGCTGCAGGCGACAACGATCACGCAGTCGTGATGATGGCTTCAATTGCATCATCCGGACCAATAATCTCCTTTGTAGCTTTCTTTTCACAATGTATGCATCCCGGTCGTTTATCAATTGCCTAATTGCGGATCAGCATGAGGCACTCGGGCTGGTATAACAAGACCACAACCCACTGCAATAATGACGGGACGAAAAGGACGCAACTCTGTTCACTGATCATTTGTCGCACGCAATGATGAAGCTCTCCACAGCCACGCTGTGGTTGATCACTGCCATCTCATCTGTCGTTGCCTCTCCCCTCGCGGACACTGAAGTTGAAGCTATCCACGCCGTAGCGGCCCGTACCGTGGAGAAGCGGAATGGGTTCACGGATGGGCAGCCCATCGACGGAAAGGGAAAAGGGGCTCCCATTCTTGGTAAGTCAGCAGTCAAGCCGTACCCGCGCTGAGTGTGGGGTGTGCATAGGCACGAAGCACGCTGACGAGGACAAAGGGGGCACGAATCATCAAATTGACCTCGCCAACCCGGATAATCTTGCAGCTCAAAGCACCGACAGTGGAACAGTTGTGAATCTTAAATGGAGCTTTAGCGATTCCAAAACCAAGATCTTCAATGGCGGATGGACGCGTGAGCAGGTCGTCACTGATCTGCCTGGGAGCCACGACATTGCTGGTGCGCAACAACACCTCAAGAAGGGTGCATTGAGAGAGCTCCACTGGCATAAAGTCGTAAGTAGCGTGCTATTATCGAGTTAATTTTCGGGGAAAGACAAAATTAATATTGGTCGTCCTTAGGCTGAGTGGGGATATGTCTATGCCGGATCAGTCTTGGTTTCTGCCGTGGACGAAAATGGGCACTACCAAGTTGACAAGCTCGAAGTCGGGGATATTTGGTACTTCCCTAAAGGGTCCGCTCACACGGTTCAGGGTAAGTTGGCCCCTGACATATCTGGAGCTTCGTTAACGTTGTCCAAAGGCCTCGCGGATGAGAACGAGTATCTTTTGGTCTTCGATGATGGTAAGTCAACCACCGAACGAAAAGCGAAACCTCGCTGACCAAAATTGCAGGAGACTTTGATGCCCTCGGGTATTGCATTCTGAGACATAAGAGGGAAACCAATTGACTAACAAGTTACCTAGAACGACCTTTATGGTTGATGATTGGATCGCACACACGCCCAAGTCTGTCCTCGCAAAGAACTTCGGAGTCAATGAATCGGTATTCGACACCGTACCGACGCCAGACCCATACATCATAAATGCGACAGTCAGCACATCTGAACCAACAGGCCCGGAAAGTGGCCTTACAGGGAACAGCTCATACGTATACCATCATTCGCTGAAGGACCGAGTCCCTGTGCCGGGCGGAGGCGGGAATTTGACGATCGTTGACTCAAGGAATTTCCCAATCGCAAAGACCCTTGCAGCTACTATTGTGAGCCTCGAACCAGGAGGATTAAGAGAGCTTCATTGGCACCCCAATGTGAGTTGTAATGTGTACTTGGTAGACAAGCGATGAAGGCTAATCTGTTATTAGGCGGAAGAGTGGCTGTACTTCCATTCCGGCAATGCGCGTGCGACCGTTTTCATCGGCGGTGCCAATGCTCGCACCTTTGACTTTACATCTGGGGACACGGCAGTTTTCCCTGACAATAGCGGTAAGAGCGCGAGTATCCCATCATCGCAAACGAGTTCTAACTTTCTAGGACATTATATCGAGAATACTTCCAAGACAGAGAATCTTGTCTGGATCGAGATTTACAAGTCCGACCGGGTTGCTGATATCCCTCTCACCCAGTGGCTTGCTCTCACTCCTCCAGATATCGTGGCTAGCACTCTCAAGATCCCGTTATCAGTCGTGAACCAGCTGAAGAAGGAGAAGCAGGTGTTAATTAAGGGCAACAAATGATGAGATGCTTTTTTGTTAGGACGTGTGTTTTTGGATGAGACGCTCCCCTATAATGTCTATTATATTCTGTCAGATGTCAGATTCTATCATTGCACTTGCAATATCGCATATTTTTGGAAACTTGTGAATAAGATGATTTTCCGTTCCAAAGTTCTACGGATCAATCGATCTCTGCCTCAAGCTTTACGTCGTTCTATGCGAATTAACTGATGTGCGTAGTCGGGAGCCGGACTGAAGCATGTCCTATTCCATCGTTGATTTCGCTTCCAACACAGTTGTCTGTCCCATTAAAGTTATTCGTTTCTAGCACTAGGGGCTATAGGAGCTTTGCATCGGATCGAAAAGGGGAGGGGGTTCGTACAGTTATCACGTGATCAACCCCCCCCCCCCCTTTTCACCTCCGGTTTCCATCAATAGCCTAACATCCACTACCATGAGGTGTTCATGACAAATAGATAAAATATTCATTGATAAATAACCTACGCACTTTGATTTGCCAAATACTAATAACACTGGTTAAAAATACCTTTGCTGTGGGGTAGAGACGATGTGCAGTCCCGGTCCATCGAAATGGGCTTTGCCGCTAGAATCTAGATTCTCACCCGCGACTTGTACTTGATGTAAATATCTTTTCATGCCATTATATCAAATATTGTATTTACCTGTGATACAATAGGCAGTAGAAATATAAAATATATCATATCACTCTGTGAACTCCTCTCCTATAACCATCTATCAATCTGTTTGACCAAACCCGCTTTTTATGCAGCCTCATCTCAATGTCAAGTGCTGTTGTCTAGAGTGGGTCTTTGGTGGCTATCATGAAACTGGGTTGGTTGGTTGGTTCGAAGCTCGATTATGCGCGCCATTAACTGCCTTTCAGAGGGCGATTAACCAAGGCTCGACGTGGAGTATTATGCGTTTAACTTTCGCACATCCACATCCACCTCCCCCTTTAAATACCCCGAGACTCAGGACTAATTTTCCCTTTCGCTGGTTCCGTTGTAGTCTGCGGACGTGAGCAACTGCTGCTTTAACCTGAGCTGAGGGTGAGCATACTTGAGCCGAGGGTCAATATGCCGGAGCAGAGCCTGAGCAAGCTTGAGCAGAGCACGCTCTGAGTTAGCTTCTTATATACTTTAGCTATAGTTTCTTTATTGAATTTTACTTGGGAATCTGCTTTTACTTTTTCGTAGGGTTTCTACTAGAGTAGATTTTAGATCTTTCTTGTCAAATAATATATAGCTCGTAGTTTAGCTTTATAATTTACTCGGAGTAATTTTAATAAACGAAATGTTATCTTTTTCAATATCTACTTCTATCTTTTTATCTATGTCGAGAAGTTAATATTATATTTATATAAATATATCTTAATATTATAACTTTATAAATTTACTAAAGAAAAAATTTGTAATTCTAAAACTATAAATCTATCTTATAATGTAATATATCTTCTAGGACACAGGGACAAACTATGATATAAGGCAAGTCAAGTTATATAATAAGTTACTTAGAGTCGAGGTTCTCAGAATGCTTAAAGTCAAATCGGATATCGGATAGCGGGGCACATGTTTGGAAAGCCCATCAAGAGCGAGTGATCCAATATTTCTGCCCTTTTCGTCCTCATTGGAACCTAGAACAGCAAGTGCTTTAAGACCTGGGCTAGAACTCAATTCAAACCATGAGTCTTCTTCCTCCCTAGAAAGATTCCTCCACTCGCACAATCAGCTACCTTTTTTTAGGAGGCATGCTGGAAGATATGATTGAGGTCGAATTGATTCTTGTACGAATAATCCGGTGTGGTATTTTGATTTGTTTGTTGTTGTGCCTGCTTAGATGTGAAGGTATAAAAGGATGGATCAAGGAAGAATGGGTAGTTTGGTGCGAACGTTGTGGGTAGATAATTTTGAACAAAAGCCTGAGCGAGAGTTGAGACGAGTAATGATATAGGGTGAGAACGATTTTGATTGGGGATATGCTATGCTTTATATGTCTGATGGTAGATTAAGATGAAGTGTAGTTTTCTGTCTAGGATGTGTGAGAAGGGTAGAAGAAGAAATGGCTTGTTTGACGGCCTAAGAAGTAGTTGATGAATTATATATAAATTTTAATGATAAAAAACGGCTCTCATTTCTCTAAATGATGTCCGACATTTATGATCGCAAATGCAACGATTAATAGGCTACCAACCTGTTGGACTTCTCGTATGCGGTGGAGGTGGAGGCTGATACATTGGGACTCCTTGAGTATGACTATACGGACGTCTCATAGGATGCTGATATTCGTAGCCCATCGACTCCGGTGCATTCTGCATCGGAGGAGGTCGAGTAAAGTGGTAGCCGTTGATTCTGGAATTCCCTGTCGATCTAGTTCTAATTGCTGGTTCGAATCTCGCCTAAAGTGCTGGCTCGGTAACCCAATTGTAGTCGTTTCTCCGTGATCGTCCTGTATCTCTGCGTCTTGGCCTCGTATCGTCGATGGCTGCCGGCATGGATGGCATGGAGGCTGTCTCATTCCGAATGTGTTGTTCGTAATCTCTGTTGTACAGTGGTTGGATTTCTTCAGCTGCGTCCTCCTCGGGGCCTGCGTCTGGAGGCTCGGGAACTTCTGGGACTCGAGGCATTGCAGATTCGCCAGGCATAGAAGCTGTTCCTCTGGTTCGCATAGAATCTCTCTCCTGCTTCCTCGGCCTAGGCAATTTTGGTGGCCGATATGGTTGCCGCGAACTTTTCTGGTGGAGTCTCACCACTGGCTTGCTTGGTTCTACGTCAGAACCTTCCGTGGAATCGTCCTCAGCGTAGGCAGCTTCATTACATGTTCTTCTCTCTGGCGATGGTCTCGCTTGATTGTTGACTGGTCTTTCTTCACGGATCCTGTCTTCTGTAGGTACCGGTGCAGCATTTCTTCGGTCTGGTTTTCTCTTCGAATCTGGTTTGAGTGTTGATTTAGTATACGGCCTCCTCGTGCGTTCTGGAATGACGATTGGCGAGGGGTCTTCCTCGTTCCCATCCTCATCTTCGTCGCCTGTGTCTGGTGCCGTCGGTGGCCTCCAATCGCCCTTATCTGGCGCCTGTTCGCTTCCACCCCTTCGAGTAGACTTCGGTGACGACCCTTGATATTGAGAACTCGGTGGGCTCCTTTCGCTCCCACCTTTTGGAGAAGACTTCGGCGTCCTCGGCGTTTCTAGCCCTTCTGGAATCCTAGAGAACCTAGACTCAGTATCATCTGATCATGGAGTAAAATACCCAGGGCTCATGTTTCCTGGGCTCATATATCTAGCATTGGGCTCGTACACGGACGGCAGACGTTGGAAGCCACTTGAAGGGCGCAGCTTGATCAACTCTTGATCGATTTCCTCAACGTTCATCCTTGCTAGCAGCAGAGACACCCTGAACAAAACATCGTCGTTAGTCTCAAACCATGTCCAGAGAGGATCAAGTTCCCTCAGCGACATCTCACACAGCCATTTTTCACTGTCCTTGTTTGTTTTGTTCACGGGCCGGACGGTGGCAAAATGGACCAGGTTGTAGAGGGCATAGAACTTCCTGAACCTTTGCGGCATACCCTCAACAACTAATATGAACTTCTCTGGAAAGCGCATGATGTCTGCAACAGACACAGTCATCTCGAGGATGTCTCTCTGATCTAGGATTATGTCACGTGTCTTGACGTCCGTATTGTAGCATTTGGGGTTGGTTGTGTCAACTTCGAGATCCTTGACAATTACAGACTTTGGCCGCAGATAAAGGTTGTTTGTGCGACGTTGTTCCTCTCCGAGTGGGCAGAGGATGTGTTCCAGTATTATGAGAGCGGTAGGAGCGCTAGACTTGGCCGGAATAACAAACCCCTTGAGGATTTCCCCTAATCTCCACGGCGAGTCGAGGCCAGTGATCTTCAATACCTAGGTTTCAAGTCAGCACATCTTGACCTCAATGGTAATCATGACTAAAAGGCGAATAAAACACATACAAGAAGCAAAACATCCAAGTGTTCCATTGACCCTTTAGCCTTATTGATCTGTCCTCGCAAGAAGCTCAAGAGCTCATACTGTTCGCAGAATGGTTTGTTTTGATATGCCACTCGATCGTCCATGGCCGTCTGAAGTTGCTGCAATAGGACTTCACCAGTGTGCACAAGGCCATTCGTGGCATCGAGAAGTCGAAGCTCTTGCTGTGAAGCCGGCCCGCTGGTCAAAGTCTTGTACACGAGATCGTGGTCTATCTCCGCCCAAGCATGCATCAGTACCGATGCGACCTGAATCTCAATTACTGGATTCGTCTTCTGAAAGTCGTCCCGAAGCTTCTTCGTAGCCAAGTTCTCAACCCTCATTCGCACGCGATAGAGGTCCGCCGAATAGCCATGGAATCGTTGTTCGAACTCGGAGACCTTCTCCGTAACAACGGATATTGAGTCAGAATTCCGCTTGTTATCCTGCTCTGGGAAGCTCTTATGTTTGACCACGGCGAAAGCGTCGTGAATGATTTTGTCAATCTTCTCTCTGTCGCTTGGGAAGTAAAGAGCAATTCGCACCCCAGCAATGTCAACGACATCGTCGCGAATCTCTTTAGCACTTCTATACTCTCGTCCAAGCTTCCGGACTCGCTCTCACAACTTCGCTTCTAGTCGATGACCTTGTTTTACTCGATGAGTGACGATTGCGCGAATTGCATTGCTGGCAAGGAGATCCTCGCAGAGCTCTTGTGCCAGACTAGCAGCTTCCGAATAGAAGTATTTGATTTGCACCCAATTTGCAATGAACGACGAAATGGTATCTGCTGAATTATCGATCCTGCTTCCGGATTCGTAGGCCGAAAGAGCATCAATGTCCATCTTCGGCGAGCTGATCACCAATAGAGCCTTATAGCGGGGATGCAACTGTACTCGGCGTGACACTCAGCCTCGTCGGCGATGTTGTGAATGACCTCTAAGATGCGCGTCTTTGAATGCCTCTCAAGCGCCACTTGCTAGAATATGCGTTACTTCTGCTCTGAGATATGAATTTCATCGTGAAAGCCTAGAGTTTATCGAAAACGAAAAGGATCTCGACAATAAATTTGAGGTCTACACCTCCCGCCTATAGTATGCACGAACACTACGGAGGAGGCGGTTCAGAGCGAATAAGCATTGCTACCTTGATGCCACTGCAGCTCTCACGAGGCCACAATGAGGCTGAGCTCCGGTGCTGCCTGGAAGAAATTTCCAGCTTCATAAGGCATAATGGAAGGCTCTTCGTCCAAATAACACTCATTGAAAGCAAAGTGCAGTAGATTTGTTTTGGAGAGAAGCATGGCGCAATCATATTCGGACTATATCTTTGCCCAGAGCAAGCGAAATCCGTGTCTTCGCAACCTTTGCCAGTTCATTGCAAATGGCAGCGCCAGGAATGCTTGTAGAATTGTAAGCCTCGAGTTTCACACCCAAGACGCGAGGCCTCGTCGAGCCGACCTCGATTTGCCGCAACTGGAGACCATCGTAAACAGCGATTCAAGCGACTGTCAAGGTCGAATCATCATTGTGGTAAATTTGAACAAAGCCATCATTGAGACACTCGGGTCTTCTCTAGACATCGACCCAATCTTCTTTGCTTCTCATATTCATGGCCCCAAGGTGGAAATCACCTCGTCAAAGCCTTCTATGGCTATATTACCATCCAAAGACATAACTCAGAATTTCCTCAGTATTCAATACCAGCGCTCAGTCGACTTCGGTGCGTGTTCAATTGCGCCGAGAAAGGTGTCCCGCAACTGCAACGTGTCAAGAAAAATTGTACTTTTACCTCACATCAAGAACACATACATTGGATTAGAGCAACAAAGATGTTCCATTCTGCTGCCAAGCACTGATTCCAAGCCATGGCTAGGTATAACATAAATCAAATATATGGGAGGGCGAAGCTGACGATGATTTAGGGCTAATATTGGTTGACAACTCAAGTTCTGACTAATACATATCGCTAGAGAAGCAATTCGTCCTCCAATCAAGGCCGTTTCAAGGGGGGTATGAAGACTTCTCGGAACGTCCATCATTTTTTGAATCCAATAAGGGATACCCTACACGGGTGTCTCTCCTCGAGGACCTGGTTTACTACTGGCAAAAGAAACGACCTCCAGCTTTCGACTCCGCACACCCGACTCTGCTCTCACTAACCTACTATCCTTTGAAGGTTGTAGTCGCTGAGTGGGTATGCTGTGTTACAGTGATGAGCAACAGCATCAAACAGTACGAGTACACCACCGAAGCTTCCAAAAAGGGAGATGGACTCGAAGGGATCGATTCGGACTTGGGCTCTCTCGAGGTCTGGGGTCGTCGTTGCTTATAGACTACAAGCAAACTTCGATCTGCGATCGATTTCCTCCAACATCGTGCAAAGAGCAATATAGGACTTGAAGGGTACACCTTTTTGATTCGAGACTTCGAACACATCGCTGCCTTGGTTGATACATACGGTCGTCGACTTGAGATTATGGTGCCGGTTGTCACGTCGGTCCTTCAAATCGTAGACACCCGTCGTTCCTTGAGGGAAGCAGCAAACGTCACTCGATTGACGAACCTCGCTTTGCTTTTTGTACCGCTGTCATTTGTAGCGAGTCTTTTCAGTATGAATGGCAGTGTATCGAGTCATGATCTAGCCACATACTTCGATCCTCTATAGAGATTCACGATGACTTTCCCCTAGCGATAAATCGGCTTCATGAGGCGAATTCCCATTACTAAAGCCTGGTCGTCGCAAGCTTTCAGTACGACGGAACTCCAAGTCGGATTACATATACACATTAGGAAACCCCTTTCTCTTTCCCCGCAAAATATTTTCGACTCTATGTGGACGATTCCATAGACCCGGGTTTGAGCCGTATGTATAGCTGCCTAGCTTGCAGAAGATATCTCCTTTTCCCCGTATCTCCGCTACGTTATTGGCTTCTGAGACATTTCTATAGGTTTAAGCCTCATCGCTTAGACTTCGGCACCCTTCCGCTTCGTCGAGACGTACAGGGACGCCACTCCCGCAGCCCTCTGTCACTTTAGTTGAGTTTAATTCGCTCAATCTCGTAAAGATTTTCTCTCCTAGAGACCCTATGTCTCATCTATACATTCGACGTTTTCTCCATAAGTCCGAACCGTCAAAGTCTGGGGAAATGGCCTATTTTTGAGCCTGCTCTAACGATACTCCCCAGAAAATCCTCATTCTTCACCCAGCATGCATGTGCATTGCAGCATGAGGATCCGCTTATAAGAACCCAGCACCCTCCATTCTCGTCTCCACTTTCTGTTCTTTATTGCCAGTATTCCAGTTTCCCTTTTCGCAAACCGGCGTTAGAAGTATATTCTCGTATTTCTCATGTTGAGGATTTGATAAGCACGCCGCTATGTCTTCTCTACTGTCTTTGCCTAAGGATTATGTACCCTTGGTTGTTACTCCGGGCGATATGAAACTTGCGAGCGTTGCCTGGGGTTTTACGCTTGGAGTTGGGGTTCTCACGTGCGTTTTTCATCGACTTGTTTACTACTTCTGGTGAACACGCGGGCTAACGGAACTCAGTTGCTGGAAGGCACTTAAGCAGACCCAACGGATCGTGAGAGCGAAACGTCGCAAATCTGTCTATGTATGGATGATATGGTGTGAGATCGCAGCCTGTCTCGTGTTTAGCGTCCTCTGCTGGCTACATTTAAATGGCAATATCCCTCCTAGTTTTGGGTTCTACTTCGGTATCTGTAAGTCTCCATCCTGCCAAGAAGTGCGTCGTTAGAAGAGACTAACATTTACCTCAGTAACCTGCTGGTCCCTCCAAGTCCAACTCCTCCTCCAGATCATCATCAACCGAATCGGCATAATTGAAACCAACACGCGACGCATCACCGTCCTTAAATGGGTCGTCGCCGGCATCGTCACGGTCATCAACATCTCCGTGTACTGCATCTGGATCCCCGCACGCATGCAAATCTCTCCGGCGTACATAAACATCAACGACAAATGGGACCGTTGCGAGAAAGTGATTTATCTGATTGTGGACATGTTCTTGAACTGGAGTTTTATCTATACGGTCAAGCGGAACTTGGTGAAGATGGGATTGGAGAAGTATAGGAGCTTGGTGCATGTTAACATTGCCATTGTCCTGCTGAGTTTGAGCATGGATGTGCGTATTCCTCCAACAACCCCCGTCGGATCCCCGACTTACTGATAGGATTATTAGGTTTTGATTATCGGGATGATGAGTCTTAATAATACCTTCGTGTACGCATCTTCCCTTTGATTTCTTTTTCTGACGTGTGAAGAACTTTCTTGACTGATGACTCGGACTAGATACTGCCAGTTCCACCCTTTGGCCTACATTGTTAAACTCCACATCGAGCTCCACCTCGCCGAGCTGATCGCCCAGATCGCCCAGCGCAAAGACCGCGTCGTCAACGCCTTCTCGGACTCCAACCCCAAGCACCACCGCTCGTCGTCGAAAACTTTCCCCATCCCCCTCAATCACCTCTCGTCCTCAACCAAGAATCAAGATCTTGATTCCCAGACCCGGAAGCACGGTATGAGTCATGGACAGGGCATCATGAAGACGCAGGATGTGAGTGTGAGTGTCGAGACGTATAGTATTGGAAAGGAAAGCACGACTACTAGTGGGGAGGTGGGCGATTTCGAGGGCGGTTTTGGTAGGAGTGGGCAGGGGTTAGCTTCTAGTAGTACGATTGTGGGGGGGAAGTGGATGAAGAGTGAAACTAGTGTTGGAGGGGATGAGGAGCCATTGACGGAGATTAAGACGTGGGAGAAGGATGTGGAGATGAGGGAGGGGGTGAGGTTCCCTTCTTAAGGGTTCTTTGTGAGTGATTGTGGCAAAGGCGATCTGCTAAGCCCGGTTGGTCAATCTCGCCTATTAGTCAATAGGCCCTCCAATTAGTTAATATACTACCCCATACCTCAATTCAATATATATTGACTTTTGGGCCACCCCATTACTCAATATTGACGTATCGGATATATTAACACCCTATTRGTCAATTTAATATACAATTATTAGGTTCCTGCCCTACCCTCCTGAATTGCCTTAGCCTTAACTGAGGCCACTTTTGTTCTTTTTGCCTGTACAGCCTAGGCCTCCCCTTGAGGCTCCATCCTCCTTTTGCTAGTACGACCTGCAGCTTGTTATATAGAGATAGTACCACGATTATTAAATAACTGAACAGCTTTATTAAATGTAATATAGTCCTTTTTGTGTATAGCGCCTGTTTTGAGAAGGTTGGAGTATATATCCTGACTATAGAGCTTATTCAAAGTCCCAGGGGAATGAATACAAGTCAGCTGACTTGTGTAAGTAGAATATACTCCTAAGACTTAATTAGTAATAAATAAAATAATAAGAATATAGCTTACTTTGTACTCTTTTCGTAATACTTATATAAATATTCTACTTTCTTGATTCTTTACTTTTAGCTTTTTTGGGATTTATAAAGTAGCTACTTCCTGATTACTATATTCAACTACTTACTTTTTTTCAGCTTTAACTATACATTTAGCTGTAACTTTATTATATTCACTTACTCTCTTATTTATTTAGAGAGTAAATACTCCTCTTTAGCTTAGAGCTCCTCCTGATTAACTATATTTAGCTTACTTTCTTCTTCTTTATTAGTATTCTCTTTAGTAAACTCTTTGTTCTAGTTTTAAAGCGAGATATTGTAGAGGAGCAGAGAGGACCCTTAGGATTATCAGGAGGAATCGTGGATAAAACAACCAAAAGACTGCAGTCAAGGGATATAGCTTCAATTGGGCATTCAGGCGCGGTGTCAGATTATCGTTGTTTGGTCATTTGGCTAAAGAAGTCCAAACCATGGTTTAATGTTCTTTTGAGGAGGTGAATATTCAGGGCGCACTCAGGCAGTGGCACTTCAGGACGACTAATAGTCACAAGATCCAGTCATTAATATAAGTATAGCAAATTGAGTTTGTATTCGTAATTATCCCAACTGGTCAGCTTCTCCCTGGTCCAGCTGTATTGTTGTACAGTCCGTATATTTGTCGGTCGTCGTGCGTGTGTGTGTAAAAGAGAGTGTGAGTGCCAGGAGCTTATATGCTCAGGTGGCTCCACTTATTCACGTGCTAATTCTAATACAGGTAAAAATGCAAAAGCAAAGCAAAAGACTGGTGGTCCTTTGGATCCCCACCACAATATATACATAGATTAATGTTGCTGAGTCAGGCTTAGTATAAGTACGTCTTATATATCCGGTCCTCTGAGCTTATATCTTTGTAATTAGAATAACCGTCCTGATCTATACTTTGGATTACTACTTACTTTGACTATATCCACTTATTAGTTATCCTTTTGGGCTTATTCGTAGTTCGTAATCTTGACAGTACCTAGGTATGTACTGGTAGAATGAATATCCGGCCTGTATATCACGCGATTATATCAAAAATAGTGTTGCCTAAGGCAAAAGTAGATATGCGAGCTATTACATGGCAAATAGTTACCTAAAGTACTGGAGTAACCTTGGTTCCTTGCCCCAAGGATACCAGCTGACTCTGAGACTTACCTCAAACAACCGCCAAAACCAGAGTCATGGCCTCAGCTACCTCAGCGACCTCTTCCGAACACAATCCAAGATGAGTAGTCTTAAGGCTTAAAGTTAGCGATTTTGAAGGTCGGGGGTCTTCGGAGTATAGTAATGCTATCAAGGCATATCTTTTGTTTGCAGGACGTCCAACGAACGAAGATGAAGTCAACAAACACTACGCCCACATTGAGCCTCTCCAGCCCCCCGAACTTCGGCAGACTTCATTTCATATTATCATAGACATCGAAAAGAGTATGATCAACGACGGGGAATTTCTGAACTTGCTACATGAGATCTACTGCATTCGGCGCAATGAACAAGGTACTTTATAAGAGTTAGGTGTTTTATTTTTTTTGAAATGTTATTTACTGTTTAATAGAGAAGTCAAGCTATTCTAGAACCTTCTGGAAGCGACGAATTTCCTTTCCAAAATGCGCATGTTCACTGATACATACGCATGGGCAAAGTGATACGAGCTAGTATTTGCAATTGTGATCTTTGTGGAGGTGAGCAGCCGCTGGAGGTAGAAGGGTATTTTTGAGCAATAATTAAAAATTGTAGGTGGTAATCTGCCGGCACCACTGGCACACGGATGGTTGTTTAAGGAATGGGGTTGATAATGGACCGTCTTGAGTAGTATGCTAGTATCTCGGAAACTATCGAGATCTTCGATGGGATATATGGGACGGTTGCTAAATAAACACTAGGCGTACACTTCCGGCTCTGTGGTCGAACTAAATCGGCTACGATAGTTGACTAGTTTGTTCCATTCTTAGTCACCACCTACCCATTCATTCATTCCAGCCTTCTACAAAGATAGGATCCATTTATGACCTCGGCGTTTAACAAGCGGCTCGTAGATTTGCTGCTCCTGTGAAAGGAGGCATACGTCCTCAGGATCGAGGGGATCAAAACATTACCGATGTCTACAGCATTCAAGAAACCAAGGCCGATAGTTTCGCAGGCTGTGAAGGTGAGATGCACGGTAGCCGGATGGCCTCTATTGATATACGTCGGCCAGAGGTCTTTACACACTGAGTGATGTTATCGCGCCACCCCTGGACTCCTAGACGGGTTCTACGAGACTTATCGCCGCGGAGGCGGTATGTTGTTTTACGCCTATAGTGCATTAGCAATATACTAATCAGAGGAAGGATTCCGTAACCATTATTTAGAGCCCTCAAGTTCGTGAGTCTAGGGAATTCATATCCACTATTATATCGGTGACCTAGAAGCACTATTGCTAGGAACAGTAGCGCGGCCAATTTCGACGATGTAGGCTCTCTGATAGGGTCTGTACATAGTAGCCACTTGGCTAGTCTATAACCAAGTATCATGCACTTTGTTAGGATTATAAAGAATAACCATTGCCAAAATTTAAGTAGCATGATCTATCTCCTATTAAGAATTTCGCAACCTTCGTATCTATAGTCCGCTCTTTAATCTACTAAGGCAGTAATATTAGCATTTCTAACTTACTTCGTTCTATTCGATAGAGAGGAACAATGCTTGAAGTGACGCTGAATAGAAAACCACTGGTTGAGGGGGTAGCCACTCGGTAATTCCGGTTTGGCGATGGTACAGGGTGGTAATTTCAAGGCGAAGTTGAATTTTACTTCTGGTCGTTCAAAATAGAAAGGGAGGATGTAGATGTAGTATAGGCAACCTATGTTATATCCGCAAAATAGTGCTGATCTTGGGTGGTGGGTATGATATTTGCTAGCATGATGCTGGTGATGGGTCGAGGGTCGGGCGACGTAACTTTTCCGCCGCCATGGCCAGATTTACCCCTGCTTGTGGTTGGGGTATGCAAGCGACTGATCACGTGCCCCGCACCACGACTGTCCCCCGCCATTCCGACGGCATTTGCCTGCAAGTGATCTTCCATTTACACACCCACCTAACGATCACCTTTGTTCCCCACGCAGGATCCAGGACTCGACGTTTCCGAGTATCTGCCGCGTCTCCTCTATATACGAACCATCCCGGCGTCTCGAAATCTCGTGGTCACGATCACTTTTGCGACAACTGTCACCGCGAAGCCCATTCTCCTCCCTCGTACCCTGCGCCTTGCCTAGGCGGGGTGCACCATGGCGCGAGTTTATGCAGATGTGAACCAGCAGATGCCAAGGTCCTACTGGGACTATGACAGCGTAAATATCACTTGGGGGGTGTTGGAGAATTATGAGGTGGTGCGCAAGATTGGTGGGTTTTGATCGCTCCATTCCCTCCTGCTTCGGTTTGATCTGACTTCTTTCGTCGCCCGTAGGACGAGGGAAATACTCGGAGGTCTTCGAAGGGATCAATGTGGTCAACTACCAAAAATGCGTCATCAAAGTGCTGAAGCCAGTCAAGAAGAAGAAGATCAAGCGTGAGATCAAGATTCTGCAGAATCTATCTGGAGGCCCAAATATTGTCGCTCTGCTGGACGTAGTTAGAGACAGTCAAGTAAATCCCTCTTCTCCTACAAGTCAACTCGATACCGAACCCAAAGCTGGGGGTGGAAGTTCCGCATTCGATGATCCTGCTATGGCAGATGAAGAGACAGCCGACTCATATCTTACACAGAGCAAAACGCCTTCCCTGATTTTCGAGTACGTCAACAACACCGACTTTCGCAGTCTATACCCGAAATTCGTCGATTACGATGTTCGATATTACATTTATGAGCTACTGAAGGTAATACTGCTTCGTATTTATGTGGGTAAATGAGGCTGATATCTGTGTAGGCCCTTGACTACTGCCACAGCAAAGGCATTATGCACCGAGACGTGAAGCCCCACAACGTAATGATCGATCACGAGAATAGAAAGGCGAGTTTACTAACTGAGAATTATTTTCAGAGGCTAACATCGTGTAGTTGCGCCTTATCGATTGGGGTCTGGCGGAATTCTACCACCAAGGTACAGAATATAACGTCCGCGTCGCGTCCAGATACTTTAAAGGACCCGAACTTCTTGTCGATTTCCAAGAGTATGATTACTCACTCGATATGTGGTCACTCGGCGCCATGTTTGCCTCGATGATCTTCCGGAAGGAGCCATTCTTTCATGGTCAAAGCAACTCGGACCAACTCGTCAAAATTGCCAAAGTTTTAGGCACGGAAGATTTGTTCGACTATCTTGACAAATACGAGATCGAGCTTGACGCACAATACGATGATATCCTAGGGAGATACCTGAAGAAGAGTTGGCACAGCTTTGTTAATGCGGAAAATCAGAGATTTGTCAGCAGTGAGGCTATCGACTTCTTGGATAAGCTACTCCGATATGACCATCAAGTATGTTCAGGAATCTTGGTTGAGAGCCGACTTGTAGCTAACATGAATAAGGAACGATTAACTGCAAAAGAAGCCATGGCCCATCAATATTTCGCCCCTGTCCGAGCCAATGAGCAACAAGGTCGCATCACGTCTGGTACATCATCCTCCGCTTTAGTATGAATGAGGACATATCATATTATCCTAAAAAGGAATGCGATATCACCTCGTGTCCGGCTTTGGGTGCATAGTGCTATGTCAAAATTGATTGCCACCAACTAACCTCCCTACTCGGGCGTAATTGCATTTGAGCTACCGGGAGGAAGGGATTAGAGCGCTTTCATTGGTTCAAGTTGCATGCGATGTGAAAGGTGGATAGCTGGGCGGCCTTGGTGGCGAGCTATGGTGGCTACGGGAAATGGGGCGTTACGATTGTTTAGTGATAGGCCTTGGCATACCCTCTGCTGCGTTTCTTCAATAGAAGCTACGTACGGTCAATTAATAATTGCATTCCACTCTTCTTACGTGGCCTCTACGGTACCCGTGTTACAACTCGCGACGTCCTTCAATGTCTGGCAACGGTAAAACCAGCATTCGACTAGGCAATTATATTGATATTGAAGAGATATAACATCTCTAGCATGGGTACTAATAGTTCCCCGTGGTCGGTATACCTAAAATCGCCTCTCGTAACGCCTCCCCTAATAAATGCTCGTATGCCATATAAATCCCTAATGTACCTCTGCCTAAACGCCATCCTCCTTACACAACACTTACGAACCATGTCTCCCATTTGGCGCGTTGATATTGGAAGCATGCGCCAAAAGGAACTTGCAACACGTAAGAGTAAATTTGCACGCCCGACTCCACGCATCATCTTGGGCAATACCAAGTTTGATGCTCACGTCTCCAATCTTATCTCCCTCAATCTTATATGGCAAACTGAGGCCTCGGCCACCATCCGATGTTTGAGTGGTTTCTTGCTCTACAAATACCCCTAGCTGCTTCATGCATGCGAGGAATGCTACCATGGCAGTGTCGAACTTTCGGTGCATAAATGTTAGACCGAGAGGCATGTCGCCTGAAGAGTAGAGCTCTAAAATGGATTTCTTAGGCGGCCGAGTGCTCCCACGTTGAGAGCCGGTCCGACTTGCTGAAGGCGAAGGGTAGTCGTGCCGGATTATTCGAGACGTTGATCCCATGGGTTGAAGTTCGTAGCCTTCAAATTTAAAACCCAGCTTGTCAGCTACTGTAGCAAGTAAAAGAAGCGTGTGGCCCCAGGCCGCGTTGATCTCCGGCCAATCGACAGGGACATTCGATAGTCTCCCGAGGCGCAGTCCGTTGATGGTCCCGAACTTGCCGTCATGGCTTATACAGAATGTATCGTTATATACGTTGGTGCGCTGTAGTTTTTCCAATAGTTGGGCATCATGGTCATACTGTTGATTGACACTGTCCCTCACACTCTGGAATTCTGCTAGTTTCATGGCAAAGGCGTTTCTGTCGCGCCAAAATTTCTCCTCTTCCAGATCTAGAGTCCGAGCTTCCTCTTCAAGCTCGGCAATCTCTTCATCCACTGCTGCTCTCTCCTTCTCTACTTTCTTCAACTCTTCGATAGCGGCCGCTTCATCCTCCCGAGCTTTTGCCAGGTGTTCCCGGGCTTCCTTAACCTCCTCTTCAGACGGGATACTGGCGTTGACCTGTTTTAGAAAACCGCCATAAGCATCTCGCTCCTTTGTAGCAGCCTCTAACCGCCTTTGTAATCCATCTACAAGTAGCTCTGTGCATTCAACACATATTGGATGATCAATGTCGGAGCGAGCAGAGAGTATTTCGAAGAGTCGCGATACTCTCTCCATTTCCTGTGACATTTGCTTCCCCTCATTCTCTAGGCCATCCAGATTCGGAGCCCCGTCTTGCCGTTGCTTTTTCGGGCTTGTATCGTCGGGGCTCTTCACAATAGATGGCGGGACGACTTGTGACTCTGTAAGCATGACAAAGGACATGGCGGGGTTTGCTAGGCCACTCCTCGTAGTATCAGACAACGAAGTATCATTTCGTCGCGGCCCTGATATGTGCCGCTTGAAGGTGGGCGGAGGGGCATTTTTAGAGACTCGATCGTATAGCTGTTTTCGTTCTGGTGGAAAAATAGGTCGGGGTGAGGGGAGGCTTTTGGGCTGTTGGTGAGAAGTGGCCCCTGTATATGTGAGCACTTAACTCCAGGAAGAGCGGAGTTTAATGTGTACATACCGACTAGCAAGTCAAATGCTGCTGGATTAAGATCTTCGAGGGAGCTATCTAACTTCAGAGGGGTCCGACACTTTTGGCAATGCATCTTGGGCGTAGAAGGAACTCATCCCTATGCCTGCGAGAAAGTGGGATTTCGTCTGTTATCTCGTGGGCTTATCAAGCTACTGATATATCGGCTAGCAGCATAAAGAAGAAGAAGGCTGAATACATGTTCTCTATAGATTCAAGTAAGCTGACGTCTCCGAGCAGCGGGAGAGCTGCGGTTCGGAGTGCAGGGGTTGACTTGCACAACTTAAGCTTAATTTATGCAGCCCCGCATCTGCTGCATGCATATTTATTTATGCGCGCCACTATTGAACGCGACGTCAGCGCGTCCAAAAGGTTGCAAAGAACAATTGATTTTATGCACCTCGAAGTAATCGGCATACCTTCATACCTATAGCAATGGTCCAAAATATTGCCACCCGATAACTATGGAGCCATTTCCAAAACGCCAGCGACTATACTCTCCCATCAGCCGTGAATTTCCTTATAGCTTCGAGAATCAACATCAATACTACCACATTCCTGACAGCGAAATCAAGGGATTGGAGGACTGCGATGAGGACTACGATGAGGAAGATGGGGCCGATACGCCAGTACACGATCCAGACTCCGAACTTGACCGGAAAAGAGCGCAGGCGGAGTACAAGCTGAAGTCTTCCTTTGAAGCAATCTTCGAAAAATATGGAAAAGACTTCGATGGCATTGCAGACGAGATTGATCTAGTCACGGGCGATATTGTTGTCAACAATGGCCATATTATTGAGATGCAAAATGAACAAGATGCAGGAGGTCGCACCCCTCGGCAGGACTTTGAGGACGACACAGTGGAGTCGGACGAAAGTTCTTATAGCACTGCCGGAGACCATAATCTCCTTGAGGAGGAGGGCAACGACGATGAACCGAACGAAGAAGATGGTATGATGGAAGATGACTTGATATTGCGTGGCTTTGCACAGGCGACCCAGTTCTTGCAGGCAGAACCCTATATGCCAATGCCCCGAACGCCTTCCCAGCCAAGGGAAAAAGAATTGCACTCGACTGGCCCTCGACCCAGTTTCCGGACCACGACGCCTCCGTCTCGCTCCGAAATTCGTACCCAATTTGGACCCCAACTCGGCTCGCAAACAGTTGAATACGTTGCCCAGCAGAATGTGAGCGATGATAGTCACATTGAACCTGCCTGGCGTGTTCCATATCTTCCACCAGCGTCGACAAGTAGACGCTCGTTGCCTAAATCTATTATGACCAGGCCAGATATTTATCAACCGCCATCTCCCGATACTGGCCTTTCCCTCTGGGCCCCTGAAAGGCAACGGGGACACCGTAGGACGCGGAGATACAGCAAGGATGTGAGGCTTCCCAGGGGTGCTGGTAGTCTTCACCACAATCTATCTTACTTGCCTGGGTCCTTGGATTCTCTTAATAATCGACCGATGACCAGTGCCGGGGAACATACACGAGTGCCTCGCCCGATCTTAACTCGCAATAGGTTTACTGCCACAGACGATGCTCTGGTTCTGGATTGTGTAAGAAGGGCAAGAATTCATGATATACCATTGACACAAAGCTTCTGGGAGGATATCGGGGCAAAGGTATTATATCCTGTACACTGCTTGAATCTTTAATAATAATGACTGCAGTATCCACACCACACATGGAAGAGCTGGCGCTGGAGGTACAATCATAAACATTTAGCATGTCTTGGTTCAAGTCCAGCCCCAGCAACAGAACTCACAACGTCCCCTGCATCTACATGCATTGGTGATATCTCAAATCCAAATAGACCAAAGCCTAGCTTGATAGAAACGATTGCTTATCGATCAGTGGCTAACGCCGATTATCATCGCCCTACGCGCATGAGGAAGCCTTACCAGAGAGATTCCAATATTGTCAGCTGGTCAGAAGCAGTAAATAGCATTAAATCATCGGATCCCGAGCTGCATAGCGGGATTCTACGCGATAGAGGTAGGAATGGCAACGATGAGGGCCATTGGGCCATTGATCGGCCAATGACTTCAGCAAATCAACCTATTCCAGATAGTCGCTTCTCTGATCAGATCCCAGTGTTAAATCAGATCACATATCCACAGCATGGCGATGCTCAAGTCTCGAGCCCCCCGAGAAGATTCCACGACTCAGCTAATGGTATGGAAGATCGATCAGAGCAGTTACCACATTTGGAAAGTTTAAAGAGTCGGGACGCAGATGCCAATCTGGCTGCTGGTGCTCCTTGTCCATGCCCACATGTAGGGTGTAAGTCGTACCCTACAAAGGTCTACAGCCTACAAAGAATGGCGGGAGACGAACTTTCACAAATGTCCCTGCATTTACTCGAACTGCATAATACAACACCCTTTCCATGCAGTGAGCCTTTTTGTGCGCACACAGGCGAACATGGATTTTTCACGCAGGAGGATTTAGTTGAGCATGTCAGAACTTCCCATTCGATCAGCGGGTCTTTAGATCAGCTTCGACGTCGAGTGGATTCGAATTTGCTAGATAACCGCAGCAGACCTAGCATATCCCTTGGGCCTCATATGAACAAGGGGGATGGTGACATTCATGCCGGGAAACATAAAGACTCTGACTTCGTGTCTCCGCGAAGGGCAAACGGCATCCGCCCCTCATCCAGCAGCGGCATGTTTTCTTCTGGCTTTGACCATGACCGGGCTCTGGGTTGGCGAGGCATGACTTCCACACCAACACGCACGCCGATGACGAGTGCCTCATCATTGTTCGTGGACCATCCATCGATTACGATCAGTGGGACACCGGATGTCGTTAGAACTCAAGGAACATCTCCTACTCCTCATCCACGGATGTACGATTTGTCCCCTAGTAGTTACAACGTTCCAAACCGACGGGGCCATGTTGCCAAGCCAATGGAGAATCGAGAGACTGGACACCGACTGTCTGGGAACCACCTGGCATCTCCTAATAAGGGTGCCCTCATTGCACAGATGTACGCAATTGAGCAGGTCTCATCCACGGGCCCTGGCATCCAAGCAGACGTTGGCATCGAAGAAGACCTAGGTATCCAAGAAGACATGGGTATCCAAGAAGACGTGGGTATTCAAGAAGACGTTGGCACCAGGGATGGAGCAAAACCACGAGCGCATGAACGGCTATATAAAGGGGATGTGATGTCTCCACAAGGCCAAATCTCTCCCGTCAAACCTAAAACATCCCTTCCGTCTAGTATACCAAACTCTCAGAGCTCTGCATGCGATGAACCGCCTAGCTCGAGTAGCCGTCCGAGCCAGAGATGGAAAGAGACATATGATGACGCTATCAGAAATGATATCGCTAAGCCGGATGAGAAGAGAGTCCATGCGCCTCCTAAAGTATCGCTGCCCTCGACTTCGCCTCTAAATAATGCGCAGTCAATTCCTGCTCAACGGCATTTAAACACCCCGGCGGAAAAGAGAGGCCATGCGTCTCCTGAACCATCGCTGCCCTCGGTTTTACCTCCAAATAATGTGCAGCCAACCTCAACTCAACGGCACCTCAGCACTCCGGCGGAAAAGCGTCCACGAAAACCTATCACGTCTGATGATGGTGACTCGGAGGATGAGCTGAGTTTGGCTTCTGATGGCTTACTCTTGCTGTCTTCTCGACCTAGAACTACCAAGACACCGTTTAATGTATCTGTGCGCATCAAGTCCGAGGATGCCTCTAGCCCATCTCGAATTATGTCTGCCACGCCATTACGAAAGAGAAAACTTGACGTCGCCGCGGAAAGCGATGAGATTGATGAATTAATGGGGGATGAACCCGCATTCTCCTTATCCATCACAAGGCCAGCAGCGAGATTACAGCCCCAGATTAAAGAAGAATCTGTTGAAAGACCTACGGCCCGGCCCCTTTTCAAGCGTGCCAAACCGAAACACAAGCCACCATTGTAGAGCAGTCGGGATTTAGGTGCGAAGGGTATATCTACCCCACAGCAATGATCACCTCAAAACGGGGGTCCAGAGGGGCATGGTATGCAGATACCAACACGTTTACTTGACCCCACTCCAAGTCACACGAAGCAAAACCCAAAGAACAGGGACGATATTACTAAATCGGAGCTAGAAAGTTCGATTGCACTTCCACCGCAACCTCTAGCATCTCTAAAACAGCACAAACTTCGGACAAGGAAGGCTAGAACAAGCTCACCCCTAAATGGCCACCTTGCACCTACAATGGTAGTTAAGACCCCCAGGAGGCACATTCCGGAGTTGTGGAAAGGGTGGATTTACATTTCAAGAAACCTTTCTGCTTCCGTTGTGGTGAGAATGCGGCTTGAGGTTGCCACTGTAGATCTGCATTTTACAATAATGACTCCTTCAATTTAGCCTCTCGATCAGGGGACCTGGCACCTGTGCAAGCTTTTCTTCGTTGCAAGCGAGAGGATTAAATAAATGTCCCTCCGGCAAGTCCCTCGAAAACCCTTGGTTGATGTCACAAGCGCCAGGTTAATCGTGTGGAACAGCAACCGCGACCAGATGCCGAAGCCGTGAACAGCATCCGCCGACAAGACGGAAACTCGGTTCTGGAATGCCGGGGGCAAAACCAAGCCAGAGGCCAAGATGCAAGACTCAAGCCACAACTTAATAGCCAACTACAACACCCATTTTTGATGTTCAACTGATCCATAATCATTGGATAATGTGACTCCCATATTGATTTCACTAGTGTGGGCCAGATGCGATCTGAGGATTCATGTGGATGTGCTGCCCGCCACAAGGCGTCATGGGCTTTGTGAATTGACAAGTCGCGCCTTGTGATTCCTTGTCTAGCCCAAGATAATTTTTTTTTGCACATGTACGAAAGACCCTGGGTGAACCGTATTATTACTTTTCCCGGGGGCGTGGGTGTGGTGGGTTTTATTAATAAAGAACGCCGTGCTACAGAGGCGTTTTCCAATGATTATGGCGAGCCGTGGCTCGTGGGGAAGGTTTGGCGGAGGGTCAATATGGAGGGTGCTGGATACCCGCACCCCACAACGCCTCTATCGTGACCACCATGAGGAGGAATATCGAAGCAGAACTTGTCAATCGCAAGGCGTTGATGACTCCGCGTGCCGATTACGGCCCCACCACAGCACAGCTAACAACTGAGCTAATAAGCTATGCGATGGAGACTTTTTTCTCATCGGCTGCGCTATGGGAAATTTAAATACACTATTATGTACGATTTTCGGAGTCGAATCCTAGCAAGCAAGTACGGAGTAGTAAGTGGTAAGTGGTGATGATCAGTTTCGGGGTTCAGTTTCGACTTCGTCAATGCGATTGATTGACAGGAGATGAGGTTATCCTGGCTGAATGATTGGATGGGAGCTTAGGTAATGTGTGCAATTAAGCGTATTAATAATGAGAGCTGGGACACGCTGACAAACTGGTTCGTTTAGAGTAGAGAGGAGATGTGGGAGATCGTCCACATATGGCACCATCCACCATCCACCATCCACCATCCACCATATCCTCTGCTAATAATACGGAGGAATAAATGCAAGACGGAGTAATTCCAGCGGCTTGGTTGCATCAACAGCAAATCCGCACGTAGCCGGGGCCGGCACGTGGGCCCGGCTTGTGTCGCTTGGCGGCGTGTAATCGAGCTCCGGCGTCGCAGCGGACCAGCAACAGCAACAGCAACAGCAGCAGCAACAGCAACAACGACATGTCCCGGAGTAGTAAGAAGTCGTCAAATCATCCCTGCACGCCCTCCACAATCCACAATCGACATGTCCAGATCGAAACGGAATAGCGCCGCACGCTAGCAACCTCGTCCAGGCCAGAATCCCAATTTCACAAAGCCAGCTTGCCCATGATCCAATCCAAAACACGCCTGCTCCACAGATGTCGTGGGTGACTCAGGCTCAAGCCCAAGCCGCGCCCTGTGGAAATACACATCCAGCGAGTGCAAGTGCATGGTTACAGAGTCACATAGTGGCTCCCAAGCACCAATATCAATATGCTATTATATAATCTGTTTGATGATTAATGGGCTGGAGAAAGCTCTATCCTGGTTATGCATATGGGCTCCGTAGGTAGTCAGTGGGAAGTGGGAGGTGGTAAGTGGCAGGTCGGGCCCCGTACGACTCACAGAAGTATATCTTGAGCGAGCACTCCCGCTCTTTGTTCCAGGTAATCCATTCCACATCCAACTCAGTTTCACTTGCATCTGCATCGAACTCTATCTACCTAGGTACAAATTGCATCTTGCGTTACCTGTTTGCCCTTCCCAGTCAAAGCCCCGTCCCAACGTCCAACGTTACCTGAGCTACTCTCCCCACCCCCCGTCAACGACATCATCTACACCAGAACCGCACGTCTTCCTTCTAGAATACTGCTATAGCTAGCCACTCAAAATATTATACACGGTTCCCACATCCCCTCTTCCAATAATGGGTTCCGACTCAAACTCCATTCAATCCCAAACTGGAACCATTGGAACATACGCCAAAAGGTTGGCTCAGCAGTCACAGACCTATCCAGATATGTCTATTTTCATCAACGACCACGTCGAGGGCAAGGCCTACACGACTTACGACGCTCTCTCGGGCAAAGTAGACATCACTGCCCCCAACAGCTCCCGATTTGACGAGATCCAAATTTCCTTGGAAGGAGTCGTGAAGACCTATGCCATCTCCCTAGCGCCAACCACCGCCGCCGCCGCCAAGTCGAATGCCGTCCACAGATTCCTCAGAATGGCCATGCCAATCGCCGAGTCAGACTATCCCCAGCCACGAATTGCAGAGGCAGGCCGCACCTACACATTCCCATTCAACTTCGTCGTTCCCGATCAGCTGCTTCCCCGCTCCTGCTCCCATGACTGCCCTGCGGATCACGTCCGGGAGGCCCATCTACAGCTTCCCCCAAGCATGGGTGACCGGGAGGTCTCGCAACGGGATGATTTGGCGCCGGAGATGACCAAGGTTCAATATGCCATCAGAGTGAAGGTCGTCAGAACGAGCGCGACCGATGGCAAGCAAGTAGTCTTGACCGAGGGTCTAAAGATGCTCAATATCATACCGGCTGTAGCTGCAGCCCCGCCACTGAACGTCACAAAAGATGATGAATACGTCCTATCAAAGACCAAGACATTGAAAAAGGGTCTGTTCTCCGGCAAGCTTGGAAAAATCACCGCGTCCGCCGCCCAGCCCAATGCGATTATCTTGCCTGCGCCTAATTCCTCAACTACGACTGCAGCAACTACAATGGCCAAGATCCAGCTTCGATTTGATCCCCATGATGAATCATCCCAGCCACCGCGTCTTGGAGGCTTGAGCACAAAGATCAAGGCATCCAGCTTCTTTTCAGTCCGTCCAGTTCCCTCGATCCCAACTCACAACAATCCCACCTCGCAAATAGAGCCGCACAAGGGCGTCTACCATACCTCAGTCCCACTCTCATCCCGATGTGTCGAGTCGGTATCATGGACACAGCACCTGCCAGGCCTCGCATGTACCAGACGGGACTCGGCATCTTCATCAGGATCAAGCTCTTCAGACGACTCCAACCGGCGAGCTTCTGATTTGAAGCCAGATGTATTGCACTACACGGCAACGATCGTAGTACCCATCACTCTCCCATCTACAAAGGCCTGGATCCCAACTTTCCACAATTGCCTCGCCTCTCGAATCTACATCCTCGATCTCTCCCTCTCTATCCACACTCCCGGAGCAGGCGTTCCAGCATATAATATCGGTCTCCACCTCCCAGTTCAGATTGCCGCAGCAAGTAACTTCATGGCACCACCCGCTTTAACTGCTGCTGAGGAAGCTGCAGAACTTGCTGCTTCGGCTGACGAGCATCTCCGACCAAGAGTCATGGAGGTCCCGAGCGAGAATCTCATTGAGAACAGCGTTTTGCCCGGACACCAACACACTGTGCTGCCTCCGAGCTACGAAGTTTTCGCTGCACGGCCTGCGCGACAGATTGTTGCTCCTGGACGGTGTTAGTTTGCTATTCTTTTCCACAAGGTTGCTTTAGGGGGGGGTTTCATTGATTGCGATACAAAAATACCATTGCAGAGCGTTTGAGTTTATGGGATAAAATTAGGATGAAGCGGGCGTTTTACACATGAGTACTATTCGGAGCGTTTGTTGATTTGCATAGAAAGGAGGGAAAGACATGAGACACGATACCAGTTATAAAATTAATACATTGCTACTATTGCCCCACGTATTCAAAGTCCCTACTTCAGCTTGAACCGCTTTAGCAACAACATAGTTGGTTTCCTAATCATTATAGCCCATCAACAGTACACCACAACCAGCAACGCGTCTTTACCTCCAAAAATATCTACCCATCCGGGTGCCAGCTCGAAAAGCTCTATTAATAATAAGGATATGGCCCGATCTCCCGACTTCTGGGGAAATAGATGGGATGCCCCACGTGATACTTTTGTAAGCCAACGATGCTGCGCCTGCCCAGTTATTTACCTTGCCTATTAAGTAAGATATTGTGGGTTCATCGAGTCTACCAATCCGGAGAACAGCGTGGCCTATTATGTTAATCTGCAAGACTTATCGTTTAAATACGACCATCTACTCCTTCATATCATCTCCGAGTATTTCACTACGTCTATAATCCTCATAAATTACAAAGCCCAAAATATTCCGCCACTGGCAGATAGAAAAAGGGCCAATAATCGCTGTACTTCATTACGCTATATACGCCTCATTATCATGGCATTCCACCATGCAAACTTCCCTCCCTCAGCTTCCCTCCCGTCGCCAGACACAGAAGGACGACTCACGCTCCACGTTCCAGCGCCCACAGACGTATGGCGCAAGCCGCCCTCCCACGACGTGTTCGGCGCACCAATAGTCTACCAATCCATGAAGGTATCTGAATTCAAGTCCGCGCGCGTCTCCGCCTCGGGAGAATGGAAAACGCTCTACGACCAAGGCGGTCTGATTATCGTGCTACCAGCCAAGAAAAGCAGCGCAAGCAGCGACCGTTTACAAAAGCGCTGGATCAAGATGGGCATTGAGTTCTACGATGAGCGGCCGATGATGAGCGTTGTTGCTGCGGATGCGTGGGCGGATTGGAGTCTCTGCCCGCTGGAGGGGGAGGATGAAAAGGCGGGGAAGATGACCGTGGCGGTGGAGAGGAAGAGGGCGAAGGATGGGGGATGGGGCCCGGTGTTGCAGGTTTTAAGGGTTGGGAAGGAGGGCGTGAAGACGCCGATTAGGGAGGTTACTTGGGCGTTTCATGATATTGATGAGGATGCCGAGATGTGGGTGGGCATGTTTGGGGCGAAGCCGACGGAGAGTGATGTGGAGGAGTTGGTGGTGAGGTTGGAGGGGTTTGAGGTTGAGATGAGGTCATGATGCGATGTTTAGCTGGGCGTATGCTATTAATAATGAGGGGTTAATGATCTGCTTTTAAGGGACATTTAAAGGTGTTTATGCCACTACTAGGTATGTTTAATGGGCCCAGCTAGGCTTCAATGTTGGACCCTGATCTTCTAAATATACATTCCATCTGTAGACCTGCCTAGAACCTTTTCCTGCCTGTCCTGCCTGTTTACCTATTGACCTTGTTTGCTACCAACCTAATAAATAAACCCATTCACCGCTTCCCCCTTCCCCCACAATCCCGCCGGGTGCTGCCGCTTATCTGGAGTTGCCAACTCGCCCACTCGCCAACTCACTCCTGTGACTGGCGAGATTTGCGCCAACCCATGGGACAAGACACAGTCAGTCCACGACATGAATGATACGATCGCTCTCTCGCTCTCTCTGCAAGCTGCAAGTTGCCTGGTCGCACTCGCACCGGCAGCAGTGATCCCCGAGATCTCAAATATGCGACGCCGTCTACCTCTTGCTTTATCTAACCCGCTGCACTGTTGACGATCGTTCCCATGGCCCAACCGGTTGATGCGAAAGCTTATTATGGCTACTTGTTTGAATCCGACAAAAAGCCGACCAAAGTCCTGGATGCGCTGCTCCGAGGCATCGCCAACTATATCGTAAGTCCTGTTGTTCGCGATTCGCCCCGATGTAACGAGTCTGGACCCTGATGATAACCACTTATCGCTCGTAGATCGAATCGGTAGGAGACAAGAATGATAAGAATCTCAGCCCCGCGAAGCTGGCGACCTTCTACAAGGCTGTTGGTGGCAACTATGACTGTACGTCGCCCCCCGATTGCTCTGCACGTCATGAATATTATTTGCGAAATGCCAGGCACGGTCAGCTAACATTACGCTGTGCTACTGAAGCTCTCTTCAGCGACGTTCCACATCCCTCCATCTCTTGGATCTACGCTTCAATAGGCTGCCAGCATACACTCCAACCCACAACCAACGAATTCGAACCACCATCGATCCCCGCTCTCACCCAACGCGGCTTCGTACGATGGCAATCGATAGAGATACTTCTAGGGCCCGAAGAACACGTCCCCTTCATACAAAGCGCTGTCCGCGACTTCGGCATCAAGAACCCAGGGACGGGGGAGAACTTCCCAGCAGACCTCCCAAAAGAAGCATTCCCGCTCGAACCCGACGTCGAGATCGAAAGATGGCATAACGAGTGCGCAGTAAAGCTGCGTAATCGAGCATCCTTGAGGGACAACAACCCAGATGATGCAGCTCCGCGTCCCGATCTACCTCCAAGACCGAAAGTGCAACCTGGTTATCCACCTGTCCCTATCCGATTACACCGACCCGTGAGAGGAGATACAGAGTTCTTCGATCCCAGATCTAGAATTTCAAGACCACTGTCATACCAGCATGTATCCAGCGTGGCGCATGGTGCGCGAACTGTGCGTCCCAAACTATCACGCTCTCCCTCCCACCGCGCGCGGCAATTCCTCGCTCCTGAGGAAGACCTCCCCCAAGACCATGTGCCTCGCTCTCGACGACGCAGCTATCCCGAGAACCTCAACTCCCCTGATACCCCCATAGAACGTGTCACAAAATCACCGCCAGATACAAGATGGCACAATCAACCGCGACATGCGAGCCCTGGCGGCGCACCGGAGAACGATGATGATCCTCCAAGTCCAAAAACACCCGCCGTGGATAAACGCAGCTCGCGCCCTCATTCCCATTTCCACTCCACCCGTGCAGGACACGAATCGGAGCCTGAGATATCACCTCGATTTGTACCGGCCGTCCCGGCGCCGCCCGATGCTCGACGACGAGTACCGAGAGGCAGAGAAGATGAGATCAAAAGACGCAGTAACCCCGTACCCGTTGACCCTTCTGGGAAATTATCTGCGCCGTTTATACTGCATAGAGAGAAGGAGAGAGATAAAGATGGCAGGAGTATTTCCCGCGACAAAAAGAAATTGAGCTGGAAGGACCTGAGCGAGGTTACGGAACGGTGGAGACGGAGTGCTGCTGGGAGGGATGCTGCCACCGATGAGACGGCCGCGCGCCATAGACGAGAGAAAGAGAGAGATGGTTATCGCGAGAGAGATAGAGAGCGAGAGAGAGAAAGGCCGAGAACAAGCTCGACGAGAACCAGTTATGAAGATCTGTTGATGAGGCGAGATCGCGATAGGGAGCGCGAGAGGGAGAGGGAAACCGCTGGACGGGGAGGGGGGTTGGATAATAGGACATTTAGGGACAGGGATAGGGATCATGAGAAGGAGAGGTTTGCGGTGCCGATGAGGGATGGGGATGGGAGGAAGTATTCTAGTCATAACTAGTCCTGCGAGAGCGCGGTCTGCATATATGCATGATGTGACATCCCCCCTTTATTCTGTTGTCCAAGGCTGCTTTTGTGTTAGTGATTTCGTTTCGGGTTTTGCCAGTCACTACTAGTAAGCGTATTGGTATTTCAACCAACGTCAAGCTGACCTCTCGCCCTCCCAGCTACAACTTCTCCTTAGTATCAAGCACCAGCGCATCGACCTTCGAAAAACGATCCTCCAGCTCGGTAGCTCTTCAGCGAACGAGGTTGCGTAAGTGATATTCTTCTTACGACCCTACCATTTGGATGCTGGCAACTAGTATAGGGACGCTGATTCGAGAGGTAGGCAACTTCGCCTTTTTTTTCCTAGTCTCTTCTTAAAGGTAACGGAAGAACCCCTTGCCGTAACACCGAGTTGATATTTTCTAGAAGGTAAGTTGGATGGCCATAACCCGCTGAAACCTATAGTGAAGAATCATCACTCTCATCCGAGACTCCTTCATCGCCTTCATAGCCGCCAGCTAAAGGTGTTCGTCCCTACTGCCGACCACCCCTCGCAAGCCGTCGAGGGTGCTCGCAGTGTCACCGCTCCTACTGCTCCTATTACTGCCCCCGAAACCGCGGCAGCCGACAAATCCAATCCTCTTGGTCAACCACATCATGCCATGTTCGTTAATTGCCAAGGAAGGCAGAAACATCCGCGCCTTCAAAATCACCCCAGCTTCGGTTAACTGCCTCCTAGAGGCTACTACTTCCGCGGATTTCAATCCTACTTGACAAGCCGTCCCTCACACTCAAGCTCAAACTGCCCCCTACTAAGAGTTTGGATGTCCGTCGTCTTATACCGACAGCTATCCGCCCAAGCATTGCTAACAACGTATTGTCAAGCCCGGATCTTATGACTCACTTCTCCCTATCTCTCTTGTGAGCTGCTGTCATTTGTCCTCTTGTTGTCATTTCTCTTGCTACTGCTACTCCTGCCATTACTATCATATCCTACTACTGCTGTCATTTCCTGCCTGCTACCAGCTTTTGGGTTAATAGGTAAGAGAAGATGAAGATGACGGTTATGGAATGGAAGAATATAGCAGCCGCGTTAGCGGAGCAAGTTAAGGCGGCGACTAGGAGGAGATTTGTGCTGGAGAAGAAGCAGAAGGTTCCTCATAAAGAAGAACTTGCAGGGAGGTAGACTTAGTTGTTGACGAAGATTTCGGCAGAAGAGGGGGAATATATGGAAGTCCTAGGGGGAGATCTTTCGGCAGGCTTAACAAAGTACCTCGTCCCCAAAGGAAATTCTTACTATCCGGAGTCGATTTAGGGTGGTAGAAGATTTAGTAATAAATCGCACGTAGCCCCTGGTGATAATGCTTCAAGGCACTCAATTTTTACAAGAGAGGAATAAAAACGAGGGCTATATCCAGCGTTAACTGGAAGGTGGTGAGGCCAATCTTGATTTGTCTTGGGGATTTGTCTGCAAGCCATTCTCGATGAGAAAATAATTCGACAAATTCGCGCCCCAATTCTTCAGGCACTCCTACGTAAGATAATTTCAAAGTTCTCGAGTTAACATTTTAGTTATGTTCCAAGCATATTCTTTAATAAGACAAAACGCAAATTTTCTTCACCGTATGTTGTAGTTGAAGAAATTTTCGTGGGTCAATGCCGCTCACCCTAGCCCCCCCTAAACGAAGAAAAATTCATACAGAGACCCCACTACATCTCCGTCCTTTACATATGAAAAGAACCATTTCTCTTCAAATCAAACAAGCCCGGCTAGCTCAATCGGTAGAGCGTGAGACTCTTATATAACAAGTGTCTTCAGACGCCTGGAAAAAAGAATTATCTCAAGGCTGCGGGTTCGACCCCCGCGTTGGGCTCAATCCCCAACAATCAATCAGCTTTCTTTTTTTTCTTATTTTTTTAATTCCTATTATAATTATAATTATATTATTTGCTATAGATTTCAATCAATAAATACTAAAAGATTAATCTAAAGCGCATGAAAAGATTAAATAAATAAACCCTAAAACTAGTTGATCTCATGCTTTATTTTTATTTTTTCTCGCGTCGAGGAAGAAGTATCCGCGACTTACAAATGACCGGGTGTTAAATTTAATGTACAGCACACCAAGTCATTTAAAAGGTTCCAAACTGAAGATAAAACGCTTTATTCGATGGCCGATACTACTCTATATACAGCACATGAAAGACTTTTTTTTTGTCTGCTCTCTAAGTTTTTCGGTTGCAAATATCGACACTGCCAAGTTGAAGTGGATACTTCACAGGGCTTAACGAGGACAGGGAGCCACTGTGGGTTTCTAGTTACTCTGAATAATAGGGGCAATATCTCCGCTCCCGCTCCACGTAATTCTGTATTTGGTTGGTGCTATTTATACCATATGTTTATTATTGTTCGAGATGTTGAGCTGTACTGAAGAAATTTGCATGTCGATGTACGGGAAGAGTTTCATTGTGTCGCAGCACAGCGTATTGTGGGGGGAATCACGGCTTTGTCATCCGGCGTTAGGAGACATCATGCCTCTCGTCCCTGGAGTTAGACTCTTCGACGGGTTTAACTTCGAAACGTGGTGGTACTCGAGTACTTGTAGATAGTTTCCTGCTTTGTCATCCGGCGTTAGGAGACGTCATAGCTCTCGTCACTGGAGTTTAAACTCTTCGACGGGTTTAATTTCGAAACTTGGTGGTACTTGTAGATAAGGAAACGATATATAAGAGCTATTAGTTCTGGAAAAGGCTGAATATCATTCTCGGCAACAATCTTCAATCTCTATCTCAATCCACTTTCATATTTACCTTCACAGGTTACATCTCACAGTCTCACACATTGAAACCCACCCAACACAACGCAATTATATTTTCCCACTTTATCACCTCATCTCCCAAACAAATCTCAAACCACAAACATTATCGTCAAAACAATGTCTTCCCTCCCCCTCGCAGGAAAGGTAGCCCTCGTCACAGGAGGCAGTAAAGGCATCGGCCGTGCCACGAGCCTAAAACTCGCTCGCGACGGCGCTAACGTCGTAATCAACTACGCATCCTCTGCAGCAGCAGCTAATGAGGTGGTCTCAGAAATCGGCAGCGAACAGGCAATTGCGATCCAAGCGGACGCGGGCAGCGTGGAGGATATCGAGAAGTTGATCGCTTGCACAGTTCATATTTGGGGGCGTATTGATATTCTGGTTGCTTGCGCCGGGGTTATGAAATTGAATGAATTGGATAGTGCGACGGAAAAAGAATTCGATGAGACGTTTAATTTGAATGTTAAGGGACCGTTGTTTTTGGCGCAGGTACGTAGTTCCCTTTTTTACCCTTGAAGATTCCCTTCACTGTATGCGTTTTCTAAATCCCCATATACCTTCAAAGCACCCTCCATCCTTTACCCCTCGCTCTTGGGAAATACAAATATTAATTCCACATTTAATAGAAAGCAGTACCGCACATGTCCCCTGGCTCCCGCATTATACTCTTCTCTACAACCCTCGCCCACGCTAGCACCGTAACACCAAACTACCTCGTCTATGTCTCCTCGAAAGGCGCCATTGAGCAGATGACGCGCGTACTCTCTAAAGACCTCGCCCGCAAAGGAATTCTCGTCAATGCGGTTGCACCCGGTCCAACCGCTACGGATTTGTTCCTGGAAGGAAAGAGCGAGGGGCTGCTAAAGATTATTGCAGGGTTTAATCCTCAGAATAGGATTGGGAAAGCGGAGGAGATTGCTAATGTTGTGGCATTTTTAAGCAGTGAGCAGAGTAGTTGGGTTACGGGACAGGTACTTCCGGTTAATGGAGGGATGGCGTAGGTTTGGGAGGAGTTTCCTGAGAGGATAACGCAGTTTGTTTTAGGTTTTGATTACTCACTCTAAGAAAAGTCCACAAGATTATTCTTACTACCTAGTTGATAAGCATACTTTTGTTCATCAATTAACGCCTTCCATATACTCTCTCGAAATTCCAAGTCCCGGATCAATTTTCACTTGGTGGTCATGCCATTCCCCTGTTAAAGCAAAGTGCCCAGGACACTTCCTCACATCATCCAGATCCTAACCCCGTAGACCCCTCATCTCGTTATTCATCTGAGTTTTCCTTCCATTAATCTCGACGTCAACCATACTTCCGCCTCCATCCTCTGAGTCCTCACTCCCTCCACTACCCCTCAAACCATCATCCCCATTAAAATCACTGACCGGCTCCTCTTCATCTCTCTCCACGCCCTCCGGAATTGGTACCATGGCCCTCTTACACCAAATATGCCGCGCCTGTTTCCAATCCAGGCCCTGGATACATCCCCCTTTTACGCTTACTACACTTTTGCCGGGAGTGCTGTGGATCAGGCGGGTTCCGCAGGATTTGCAGAAGTAGCAGTTCAAGGTGTGGCCGGAGGCCGTGGGTCTCCTATAATTGGGAGGTTTATGTTATTATGGGATATTTCTCTCTTTATTTCTCGGTATTGATATAATTATCATTTGGGAGGAAACTGCGATTGGTGATTTATGGCCCAAGCAATACACCATTTCAGATCCCGTGATGTCCAGCATGAGTCATGACATCAAGGAATAGATGAACTCTCTTTTCATTTCTAATTGAATGAAACAAATCATATGGACTCACGTATAGCAAGCCATCATATCCGCAGACGGCAGTGGAAAGATAGGGAAGATTGCAGAGCAGCCAAAGGCTGATGCCGATTGGCGGCGACAGTCATCGCAATGGCAAATGTAGAGTGCAAGTGGTTTTGGAATTGGTGTCTTGAAGGTTATTGCACCGCATTGGCAGGAGACGTCCATCTTCAGGAAGCTTTGCGATTGTTCTTGGTGTTGGTGGAGAGCTTGTGGAATTGTTGGAATTGAGGTTGGAATTGAGGGTAGTCATGAAATAATGAACGAGCGGACGCGATTGATGACACAGGAAGATGGGAGACGCGTGACTAACACGAAAAAATGTGACAGCTAAAAATAATTCCCCGGATTGAGCGCAATGAAGCGGTGAATTGGAAAATGACGTTGAGGTCCGTCGTAAGGCTGCATCAAATAGTGGTTGACTCATACGCCGAAACAATTCAAGGTTCTTAGGCGTGTCCCCAATTGGCTAAACCAACTCCGTCAACCAATAGCGATTTTCATTAAACGAAGGTTCATGTAAGTCGGCAGAACGTTGTGCAGAATATTGTATGTGCTGAACATTAAGGTACCGTATGCTATCTCTCCTGTGGTAATTGATCTCTACTGTCCCAATTACTTTGTTGATCGTGGCTATTCGTATCGCCTTCTCCCACGGACCTATGAACGCTGCCACCATCACCATGCTTCGCCGGATCAAATACATAGATTGGGAACTCCAAGAAAATAGTCCGTTTCAAAATTCTGGGCATCATCTGGTATAATTTCGGAGGGAATGGAATCAAGATACTTGTCCGATCCAAGTATCTCGAATACTCCTCCCATTGGTTGTTTTGTTGGTAGCGCTTCTTTGCCCCAGGTCTTTCTTGAAGTGTCAAACCAGACACAAAAAAGAGGAGGATCGTGAGGAACAAAGGCCCAATAATTGTAGCATAGAGCGCATTGTAAGCTTGACCCTGTACGTGGCCATCTGCTACTGGGGAGACGCAAATCATAAAGATACCTACGGAGATTAGCGGCTCGGATCATAGATTGATACTAAGATGCTTACTGAATTGGAGTATGATCTCTCCGAAGTAGTTTGGATGTCTCGTCCAGTAAAAGAAACCCTTATCACAGATTGCGGACTTGTCGCTCTGTCCACTCCTGAAACGGTATTTCTGTATATCGCTCACGCTCTCCATAATAAATCCAGCAGCAAATAGCACCACACCTGCAATGTCTCGACCAGTCCCAAAATCTGGTTGCGGGTATTGAGTAACGTTCGGCGAATTTAGGACTGTGACCGGAAAGGATACTGTCCAAACCCAGAGCATCTGGAATACCCAAAAACCAAGAAACGGGAAGAATTTGTCGCGCTTGTCATCAAAGCGATCATCCTTGCCGGTCTTGATAATTCGAAAGAGGAGAAAGGCTGAGAGCCGAAGGCCCCAGACTATAATGAAGAGGGAGGCCACGATTTGACGCGCATGATGATGTCCGCTCAACGCTAGAGTAATTACAGCTAAAACGACGAAGTTGGTTCCACCAGCGAAATCTGAAGCTCTACATCAGCTCAAGAGGGCGTCTAAAGAATTCCACGCCCAGCATACCAGTGACCTTGTCAAATTTGAAAGAGAACGCAATGGCAAAAAAGAATAATTGGTATCCGATCGTGACTAAAAGGGTAATAGCAAGATAGTAATTGTCCAGTACGTAAATCTCCATTTTGACGGGTTACATTTATATTCGAAGAGCGTTTGTCATCTGGACTCTGAAAACAACGCGTTGGGGCCGTTTAGATGGGACTTGTAGAATTATCAATGGAGCATAGCCTAAATAGCTGTCACAGATGGTGTCAACTATCACCTGACGAACGATTGTGTAGTCGTCCCTTGTAGACTACTTGGGATTTCATCATCATCAGGAAGAGGTACTATTAAAAATCAACGTAGCTGAATGCGAAGTGGCTTGCTTCTATTCTCCGATGGCCGGGTATCAAGACATCGAAAACTGCGATCACAAACCGCGAGAGAACTTGGAAGTTTGTACAATTGGGAGCGGCCCGGCCCCGTTAGCGCCCTGACCCCCCCAGCTCGGTTTGACATCTCGCCCAGCCACAACCGACCCTCCTCCTAATCTCTTTACGGAGTATCTCTTCAAAGCCCAGAGATCTCTGGAGTCTAGGCTCACAATTAACAGCGACAATTTAAATATTGGCACCAAGCACAGGAAGCCGCCATCGCTACAAATAGAAAACCCCGTTGTGTCCCTTCTACTCATATCCTTAACTTGTTCGGGCTGGCGCTGTGTGGCGGGAACGAACCATAAGCTCGGCGTAAATGGACACAGAAGGAAGTTCGACCACAATGGCATACGACTTTCAATTTCTGCTCCAGAATTCGAGCTGGTTTTGCTGTGGCTGCCGGGTCCGCTATGGTCATCTCAGGGGTTCATGTCGCTTCGGTGGGAGCTTTAAGGTTAATGAAACCCCCTGCGTTTCTGACAGCTGTCTTCCATGTCTCACATCCCGGTCCGAGTGTCGGAAAGCCCTGACTCTCAGACTCTCATGAGACTGTCCACGCAAAATGGAACGATCTCGAGTCGAATTGTCAATTCGAGGGTATGGCACGGCTCCCAGAGCGGCCCATTGTTTCTGTACGTGTTTCTTGGCTCGGTGTCTCGAAACGTGGGTGGAATGAGATCGCTAGAAATCGTGAAAACGGAGGCCCTTCACCTCATCCCATGTTTTTATATGCTTTCTTATTGGTATCTTTCTCTAAACGGTATTAATCTTGCGGGGCCTGTTACATTTGTCCGAATCTGATCGTAGCGCTAACGCCCTCACACATCGTGTAACAACAGCGCTCTGGCTGTTTCCTGCTCTCTTTGCGCATACGTACTTTTCATCCCCTTCTTTCGTTCAGTCTATCATATCTAGCACGCTTTTGCAGTTGCCGGTCACGCTCTTTCAGACCCTAATTACAGTACATTCATTCAACATACCACGGCTGGTCTGTTGGGAATTTTCATTTTCAATCTGGATTGGAAAAAAAGCTTTCGGTCCGAGGACTTGGGTCCCAAATTTAGATAATCACACTCCTTATTCAAGACAATGAAGAATTTCCTCCGGGTTTCGGTGTTGGCCGTCGCCAGCTTAGCATGCGCCGTACAGGTATGGAAATTATGGTCGCCATATAACTAATAATTCCCACTGACTTTGGATAGGCTCAAAGTCATTCAGGAACTGAAGCGCAAGAGAAACGAGGGTTATCAGAAGCAGATTTATTGGGTATTCTTGGAGGCTTAAATAATGGTCAAGGAGCGAATGTAGGAGTAGGAGCGCAAAATGGGGCACAGAAGGGTGGAAAAAAGGGTGGAAAAAATCAAGCCCAAGGAGCAGTGACGAGGACATTCGCTGTTGCAGGTGGTGCCGGAAATGGAGCAAACCGTGGGGGACAAGCTCAGGCTCAAGCTGTGACGAAAACCATCGTTTTGGGAGGTGCTGCTGGCAATGGAAAAAATAACGGCCAGGCCCAGGGAGCCCAGATCAGGACATTGACGATAGGAGTTGCTGCCGGCAACGGAGCAGGTACGACATGTGCTGCGGAAAAGACTCTCACTGTCACCAAAATAGAGAAAGCTGCAGCGGCTGGAAAAGGAGGAAATGCGTATGAGATCTCAATGCATTTGTTTGGATCTGTACTAACTTTCTCAGTGGCGTCCAGTTATCATTTTTGACAACGACAGTATTTCAAAGCGGTGCAGCTCCAACCGTTACCGTCACGCCGCTTCCACAGATGGTCACTCAACAGGTTACGGTTACTGTCACTGCCGCTGGCGCCGCCGTTGCTGCTCCAGCACCTATAGGTGCTCCAGCCAATGCAAGCAGTCAGCTGGCAGGAACTGCAGCTCCTGTTGCGGGTGCCCCTTCGCCCAGCAAAGCCAAGAACCGCACAACAGCTGTGGCCCCAGCAGCAGTCGCTGCTCCTAGTGAGTTCTTCCAACTTATCACGTAGTATGGTATAAGCTGATTGTCTCCAGAACTCGCAGCACCTCCTCCAGTCGGCTCTTCAGGAGGCCTAGCCCAGGGAACAGGAACTGTGAATGCGAATGGGCAGTGTGATTGTGCGTGTATGTGTGGAAGCGGATCCTTCCCAACCAGTATCAATGCCGCCCCTCAAATAAACGCCGCGACAACTTTACAGACTCAGGCTTCAGCAGCGGTGACTGTGAGCACCAACATTATTCAATCGGCATCCTCGGTTGGCGCTCAGGGTGCCATTTCCTCAGCCGCTCCTTCAAATTCTGCACAAGTCGCCAGTTTCTCATTGGGGGGAAATACAAATGCAGCTGCCAGTACCGGCGCAACAGTTGCTTCTGCCACTCCTGCAGCATCAGCATCAGCTTCTCCAACATCGGCTTCTGTTGCCCTTGCGCAATCCGCAGTTGTGGGATCTTCAACATTAGCAGCCGCGGCTACATCTTCAGTTCCCATCGCACTGGCGCAAAGTGTGGTTGCTGCATCATCAGCAGGAGCTTCTCCTCAGTTCGCTCTAACATCTGGAGCTGTCCTTGCTGCGACCCCTACTGCCCCTCCTATCGATATCGCCACATTCAAGCTCACCAGTAGTTTAGAACTCGGCAATTTGGCAATGCCAACAATAGCTGTTTGAGGCGGCATGGAGGGTTCAGTTTGTATTATTGTTGCAGTATCAATGGAGCTTTGGCGTTGTAGGCTTAAGGTAATACCAGTTAAAGCATTGTTATATGGGATTGCGTCCCGGCGACGAGAGCTCATTGGTTGTAGATATCATTCGCTTCTTAGATAAAAAATGACGAGAAATATACGTCATCCATTTGATTTGGCTTGTATTGAAGCAGGCGTAGCTGAACCCTCTGGCGAGGTCGTGTCATTTGATGGAGCGGTGTTATCCGTGGTAGCATCGGCTGCTAGGGATGAAGATTCCTTGCTGGCCTTCAATGCCTCCAATCTCATCCGTTTGGCCTGCCTCTTGCTAATTTGCGGCGTACTTTCGGTATTCGATTCCTCAGCCTTCCTTTTCCCCTTTCCTTTTTTGTCCACTCCCTCAGCCTTCCTGCCACCGTCTTTAGCCTGGCCCTTATCCTTCTCAACCCGTATCTCCCCACCAAAAACAACATCAACAACGCCCCTAAATGCGCTCCTCTTAATCCCCTCATTAACCACCACCGCCCTAGGGTTAACTCCCATACTCTCTAATCCCCTCTCCCTTCCTAGCCCCCAAACCCCTAACAAATTCAGTACATCCGCCGGCGCTCTTGCCGCAACCGCGCTTTTCGCCTCACTACTAATCACAAGCCCCCTCCCCCTCGTAGCTCTAATAATCCCCAAGCAATTACTTATAACATTCCTCCGCGCGGCCGCATCACCCATCGTTGCTTGCGCGTAACATAGCTCGAACCTGATCCCGCGGTTTACGGCGGCCATGAGCGGTTTGGGTCGGAAGTGGAAGGGGAAGCGTTGGGTGAGATCGAGGGATATGAGGGAGAATTCGGGCAGGGTGAGACATGCTGCTAGGAAGGCCTTCTCGGTTGTGGGGCGGAGGGCGAGGATATCGTAGGCGGCCGAGACGGCCAGTAGTCGTGGGTTTTGTGAGGGGTCTGAGATATTCAGTGTGCAGCGCCGGAGAATGGTAGTTTTGGACGATATGGGAAAGGACGACGGGAGTGGTATTGGGTTTGTGATTTGTGAGGGTAAGGAGGTCGAGGAGAGGGTGTGGTTAAGAGCGATGGTGTTGTAGCCTAGGGACGATAGGAAGGAGATTGTTCGTTCGAGCTCGGCCGAGGGCGTGACAGCTGTCCACGGGATATTGAGATCGTACATTGTGTTGGGAAGAAACAGCAGTTGTTCAATTAGGTGAGTTTAATCGCTGTGGAGCTTCCAATATCTCCAACAAGGACCAGATTAGTGTTGTTCGTTTGAGATGTGACGCGACTTGTGGAGGCATGAGCAACTTTTTGATAACGCCTGTTAGGGCTGGCCTGTACCTGATCGCCTTAGGCCGCCAATGCCCCCACCAAGCCAAGCCCGTTGTCCTGTCAAGCCACAGCAGCCACACTTTACAGGGTATATTAACGTTATGGTTCGCTAAATTTAAAGGGTGCTTTAGGTGGTCACAACCAGCAGATTTCAAAAGGCAACATCAACTACTACAATTACACGACTACTTCAGGATTGAATCTCTAAAACGACCTAATGCATTTTAATATATACCCCGAATTTCAAGTATTTTCAGATCTTTGTTATGCTAATATTTGGAAGTGAGTTGATGGGTAGTGTGGGTGATTGATTCGAGGCATCGCGCTATATTAAAAATGAAGACACCTAACCCCATCAGCACTGCATGCTACAATCCATATCTCGTCCCGTGCGCGAATAGTCCGTAGGCTTAAGTCTAGAATCCCAATCCCCAACCTTGCACTTCTGACCTTGAGCTCCAACATCCTTCGTCGTCCAGCTCTGACCACCAAGATTGAACTGGATATAATCTCCCCGAGACTCAGGAGTGAGCACCAATGTGTCGTAATACACCGCACCCATTTTATACGAATTAGGGTCGCCAGCTTCCATATCTCCGCTAGTAAAAAGAATGTTGCCCTTAGAATCTTTAGCAGTAACATTAGTCGTATATTTATAGCGTCGGAGGGTTCCAGCCAAGTCAGCGCAATAGTAGGTTTCAATTTGATGGACATGGAAGCTGCAGATTCCAGGGACGTAGTGTTTCTTGTTGGGGATGACCTCAAATTTAACTTTGTCAAGATCATAGGAGCCACCATGCTTCCAGTTCATGGGGTTATCTGGGTTGTTCCCATCACAACTGTCCATGATTACCGTCATGTACTTGTTGCAGTCTGTCTCAGACGGGAAAGGTGAATCTCCAGGCCATTTAATCCTAAGGGCAGTCCCCTCGTAGGCTTGAACGATCCATCCTCTACTTTTGTCTTGAACGCTTGGTACAAAGGTCGTAGCACAGAAAGACTGGATGAAACCCGCAAGGCTATCCCGACTAAGCCACACTACATTATCAATGCCATTACAATGTAACGGGGGTGTCGGCTCCGGAGTCGGGGTCGGACTTGGTTTAGTTGAGGTCGGAACCGGTGTCGTCGATGATGAGGAAGGATCTATCGATGATGGTGAGGAAGAACCTATCGATGTTGATTTGGGTGAAGCAGTCGATGATGACGAGTTGAAGGCTGACACCCACAATGATAACCATGAAGTTGTAGGGTTCAATGCTGAAGATGTCATGGTAGAGCTTCTCGATGCTAATAAACTTGCACCTGCTAAAATTGTCCCCGTTGCTGAGCCGGATGGTGAGACTATACCAGTGGGACCTCCCGATCCAGCCGACGAACCCAAAAGAGTCGATGATGAACCAGACGGAAGAGGGCAGCTATCTCTTGCGAGGATCGATCGTTTCATCTCCATTGGGCTCCCACGACCAGCAAGAACGGTGTTGAACCTAAATGAATAGTGGGATTCCTTCGCAAAGTCGCTATTCTTAAATTATCAAGTGCGGCCTGAATATGGGTCTTTTCTGGGCTATCAACCATCGCATTGATTCTGGTTTGAGTGTCTGGGATTGTTTTATCGATGAATGCCCAAGTTGCAACAACTTACTTTGCAAGAAAGTCCTTCATCCAGGTTTCGTAAGCAATAGTAAATTTGAACGTCGAATCCTTCAGGGTAATCCCCTTGGCCTCAATAAGTCGGTCTATGCCCTCGCTATCATACTATCAGTAGGTATTCGAGATCGTTACCAAAAAGTCATCAAGGTTAAAGTTTTGGCGACGAGAGATGTCTCAAACTACATGGAACATTATATCATGAACTTTTAATGCCGGTCAATCAGGCTCTCGGTTCAAGAGATGCATTAAAGATCCTACTCCAGCAGCGCTTGAATTGGGCTATTATAGGGCCCGAAACAGAGCTACCTCGAACTAGACAGGCAACGACTACCACTTAAAAGAAAGGGATTCAATACTTACAATGTATTGTAGATACGAAGATTTGTTTTGTCGAACAGCGGTATTACATCTGGGTCCTTGCAAATAGCCATTGCAATCGCGACGTTTTGCAAGGTGACAATATACGAACTAACGTCTTCGACCCGAAGGTTCTTTTGCAGCCATCGGGGTTGGACGAATTCGCCAGGCTTGAGGAGCTGTAAGGTTATTAGTAGTCAAATAGCATAGCTTCTAACAAGCAAGGTTAAACTTTTGTGGGAGAAATATTCTCTCAATTCTAAAGATAAATTTGAAGTATTGATTGGAGGATGAAGCGTCAACCACGCCGTACTCATACATCAATTCTTCCCCAAGGAGTGAGAGAATGGTTCTCCTAGAATGAATAACCTGGAAGAAATTACGAACTCACCACACCCTTCATATCATTCAACGCCCTCAGCATAATGGCAAACTCTATCTGTCTGCCAGCCGCTGCATTGGTGTTTGTCGGTACCTGGTTATACAATGTCTGCATAACTTTGTTGCAAGGGCTCGGGAAGAAAATTTCATTGAAGTTGTCGCAGTCTTTGAACACGGTAAACGCCCCGCCAGATACAGTCGGTGTGATCGTTTTGAAGAACTGGAGCAAAAGTTTAAGCTCGACTGTATGAGCATATCAGCGACGGTCATATATTTTTCCTTAGAGGCCATTTCCTCTCCGAACAGACATTCTCTCGACTGAACAGAGGTATTACAGGGACACAGGGACAGTTATATGGCAATTTATGCAATGACCAATCAGGTAATGTGTCTTGAAACCAGATTCAATCCCAGTTAGGGATATTTACCGCCTTCAATCTCTGCAGTGCCTCTGCTGCTTTTGAGAAAATGTCCGTCATTGCATACCTTACCATCACTTTTACATAGAATTAACTTACAGATATGATCCGTGCTATAATCTTTAATATTAAGCCCTTTAGCCACATTAGCTTTAGGATCATTCGTAAGCTCGGCCTTGGAACGCTTTTGAAGCTTGGTGATACCGTCACAGTCGACATCTCGATCGTAATATCTCGCAACCCCATTTAATAAAGGTAAATCAGTAGGCGCAGGCGGAGAAGTATCTTTGGTAAATACTTGAGTAGGTTTGGGATGCCCCGGAAAGATAATTTTGAACTCTTCAGGAACTAGACAGACACCGAAACTAACTGGTGTACCGTTGGTTGATTTCCGCGGCTCGAGATCGAGCTTGATACGTCCGGCTATCGAGCGTCTCTTGGGGTCCGCATCGACTTCTACACCGTCTTCTTCGGTTTCGTCATCGGTGGGAGCCTTAAAAGCAGTGCAAGCAGGGTGTGCCGTTGCAGTTGTTGTGGCTGCCGTGGTTCCGGCACCGGTACATCCAGCGATGGTGGTTGTTGTACACAAGGTTGTAGTGATCGTTGTAACTGTGTAGCTACTCGTGCCGCCAGACAAGAACGATGTAGCGAGAGAAACTGTCTTCGTACAGATTTGAACCGCGGTGCTGCCGTAGCATGATGATGAGCTCGACGATGAAGTGGTTGAAGATTGCCTTGTGGAGGATGGCTTAGACTCCGTTTCAGTAGATTCATCGCTGTCGCCCTTCTTCAATTCTTTACCAATCTCGGCCAGGCCTTCCGTCAGGGTTTCGATTACACTGATAGGAGGTATCTTCCCATCAACGGCGTCTATCAGGTTGTCAATTACGTTAATAGAGCAACTAACAAGTTTAGCGACACGGTGGACCACATCCTTAGCCACATTGATAATTCCAGATAACAGCCCCCTATTTCGCAGCAGGCTATTCAGCTTCTCCTCCGGTATCACGTTCCGTTTCCTGGTCGTACTTGAGCAGTCCGGAGCTGATGGGGGTTTGACATCTAGAGAATTGAACAAGGCGAGCGTCTTATCCTTCGTCTTTTTGATATTCTCGATATACTGAGATCTTAGCTTGACATCGGTAACCCATTGCCTGTTTGCATGAAGGGCTAAGAATAAGGCACCCAGGGCTACTGCCTCCGATGTCGCTGTGGGAGCTGGAATGGAGGCTGTTGGGACAGTGAACCAGATGGAGGGCACGGGTATCGTAGTGGGAGAAGCACTCCATGTACCGGTGAAGGTAAATGGGATTGTAGATGTCCCGGATGTAGTCGACGAGGAACTAGCGCTGGTTGGAAAGGCTAGGACACCAATGCTGACTAACAATGAGAAGGCAACTCCAGTATTATTCGCCAGGCTTGAAGTCGTCAAGGTCGTTACACCTAACTTGGAACTACTTAGCCCAGTAGTAGTCGAATTAAAGCTGCTAGACTGGGTGCCAGTCGATGCAGAGGGCCCAGAATTAGGGCCATCGTGAATAGAAGTCAATGTGCTAGATTCGATGGTCTTCGATATAGAGCTTATTGCCGTACTGTTTGTAAAGATTCCAGCAGTGTTTATCGTTGGAAGTATCACAGCCGGTCCGGTACTGAGTGGTGCAGAAGTTCTTGTGTTGTTTGTAAAAATGCCATCAGTGTTTGTCGTTGGAAGTATCTAGAATAAAAGGCAGTAAAAGCAAAAAGGTCAACAGGCGCATCATAGGAGTAAAGAATGACTAATCGCAATGTCTGCAATTGCATAAAGAATGACTTATTCAAGAAGAATAGCAAGAAATTGCCTTGGAGAAGAGACCTTTGACTGAAAAGCATGATGGAGATATATATCGACATCGTGAACACAAGGCTTGGAGATGTTTTCTCGTGGGGGCCAGTGTTGGAGGATGGCACCGGGAACGCAGATGAGGTTGATAGAAACGATTAATCAAGTTTGCTTATAACCAACATGGTATTCAAACTCTCTGGGATCAATACCTCATTCGATCGAATTGTTAATCTATGGTAGCATGCGGTGTAGATTGAAGGAAGAGTTGTCGAAGGGTGGCTGTTGAAGGATCGGCCGTTTCATGACCTGGTTCTTTCTCGGTCGCACAACATGAGACCTTTACTACAATCTAAACGACGCTATATGTAGATTTCTTTTTGCCTTGTTCCTCGGGAGCATGATCCTAAAGTTGGAAGGCATGAGCCGCAGGCTCTATACATCGAATGTTGCATAGCATGGCTGTGAGCGATCGAAAGGAGAGGAGGAATCCCCGGCTTTCAGAAATCTTGCGATGTAAAGAAGACGTTTGGGTAGGAATCGCCATTTAATTTTCCCGGAAATGTGGTGTCGGATTTGACATGGGATGTTAGGCGGTCTTAAAGCCAGAAGGCTGCTGAAGAAGTTGGGATGGTAACGATGTCGTTGGCATTGAGGTACCAAGTATCTCCGCTAGCAAGCGCCCAGTGTAAATTTAGGCGAAGGCCACTACATCTCGAGTAATATGGTACAGTACGCTAGGCCCTGGAATCCTGGGAATCCGGTTGAGCAGGCTTCGCCACGGTCACATTGCCCCATTTCGGTATACAACGATAACAATAGGTCCTGTGGTGTGATATGGCTATAGACTCATACAGCACTTCGTAAGCTCACAATTACCCAGCGAGGGGACTCCCAATGCAAGTAAGCTGGAGCCCTACAGAGTAGAACACTTGCATCCGGGTCCTACCTGCACACCCCCCTCCCCCGGATGGCCCCAGTCCCTTACCACCGCCGCCTCCAACACATAGCCACCTTCACTACTATGAACACTGCATTGTTACCCGAATCGCAACATCTTTAACCACTCTCGACATATCGCTGAGCTTGGCTGTAGGATTCTTAAGCAACCCCTACCAAGATACGTCACGTTCGAGTTTCAGCTGTAGACCTCCTGCCTCGAATATAAAATTGTCGCATCTGGGGCTGGTTTGCCCAACATTTTTCGACCCCTAATGGCTCCTCCATATATCTTTTGTCCAATTTGCGGCTGTACATTTGATTCGGCACTAAATGGGCAAGATGACAGCTTCGAAGAGGGGGGCGAGGGGTTTTGGCCCTCTGTGTTACCTGAAGACAAACGTGATGTTAGTCTGACCGCGATCAAATGCGTCGTGACTTCGCTTTACAACCACCAAACCTGGCTTTGGTCGAGCTTGTGGAAGTTCATGAGAAGCTTGACCAGTATCAGGAGTCATGTTGGCTGATAAATAACTAGTGGCTTGACAATCATCGACTCATAGGAACACCCCAATATGTGGAACACCTTTGCAGAAATCCAGACATTATGTATGCCAGTCCATCTGTGTCCCGTTGGAAGCCCCTACTACCCCCGCTAACGGTAGTACAGGACACCGAAAGGCGGGGAATTCGTTCCGTATGCTTCTTCTTCATTCCCACCTCTTTTCCAAAATATACCCAACTCACTAACCTAGATGTAGACCGAAGAATATATCGGATATCGAAGGTTTGTTTATATCTGAGCCTACGCATTGGTCATTTGTGGACGGTATGGAAGTCCAATTAGATATGGGTGAGTATACGGTGTTCTGGGGAATTGATGATGTGGATCCCTTGTTCCCAATCCATGACACCTGTATTGACCTGGCCAAACGTGTGATCCAAACTCGGAATGACAGGCTTCTGACGCCTACCTCTCGTGCCACCCTTATGACACTGTACGAGTCTCTGAGCAAAGAATGGACGAGAGGTTGGAAGCTCATCACCTCACAGCCAGCTCTTGTTCAGGGAGCATATATGAGATATGATGTGCATGGAGAATATGGATTGGAGTGGGAGCACAAATACTTCGGTGCTCGAGACCGCCAGGAGCATCACGGATGGAATGTTGCTCGCGGTGATGAGGTGAGTCGCATTACCCCCTATGGTTTTAGTCTGTGGTTCATAATTGACATTTTAACCCACAGTGGTTCTGTGCCGATCCCACCAACATACCTGAACTCAGGGATTTTGTCTTGAATCTTCTCCCTCAAGCTCCGATTCCTTCTGGACTTCCCGACTTCAAGACGCTTCAATTATCTAGTGAAACTTTCACTTCGACGGAAGAGAAATATGGTCTCGAAGCGCTTCCAAAAGAGATACTGGACGAAATCGCATGTCACCTTACAGTTTCATCAGTCTTTGCCTTGAGATCGTCAAGTAAGACACTGGCTGCATGTCTTTATCCCGATCAACGATTCTTCTTCCAACGGCTACTTGGAGGGACATTAATTCCTCATATTTGGGAACTGGAAAGCCAAGAGTGTGTTGATAAAAATGGGGAAGATGTATCTTTGAAAGGAACGTTACAGCTAGGCGATGAGGCTCGATGGGATTGGAAGGCATTGGCAAAGCTGTTAGCTAACAAAGATGCTATTATGATCGCCGAGGAAGGAAAATTGCTAGATGCTCCAATCGGTTTTCGGAATAGGTGCCGAATCTGGAAGATCATCGAGGCGGCCCTTGATAGTATGTAAAGAGGCATTACCTTCCGCCTTCCTATAATGAGATGGCGTGTTCCACCACAGTCAGTTCGAAGCAACCCGAAATTCCGGGGAATTTACTTTAGACGAGCTCGAGGATCATTCTTTTTACGTTGAAATGAGCGAGGATTCAGTAGCCCATCGATACAAGAATCACTGGTTACTGAGAAAACCCGCAGCAAAAGCCTTCGCAAAAGGCGATATTGTGCTCGGTATACCCCATGGATCAAAGGTGAGGGGATATGCGACTTTTATACAATATATTAACTAATTGCCGGCAGTGGAACGCATTTTTTACAGTATTGGCGGTCGACCACCTGTTGTTCGTTCGGAATCTGCTGAGCGTTTCCTCAACTGGCGTTGTCATTTGGTTGATCATTCCGAATCTGGCATCGATGCGCCGAGTTCCGAGTTGATTGACATCCATAATTGTTTCGCAGAGGCTTTCAAATGGAGTGAAATCTCAGAAATAATTACCTGGCAGAAATTCACGTCACAGCCTATTCGGCGTGTGGAACGTAGGCACAGCTATCTCGAACCGCTAAAGTCGGCCATCCTCGCCTTACGGCTAAAAGTCCCAAACACAATGCACGCGTGGAAATACAACGCTTTGGGATTTCTCGGACTTCACTTATATGGATATACAAGTAGTTGTGCCCAAAGACTTCCGTTCGGGATGTATCTCAAGCATTCTTAAGAGAGACAAACTCGTCTACTCCTCCAGGCACATGACCTATGCTTTTGTCTTGTCAACCTGAAGGATCTTGCTCGGCCACGTCAATTCAAGCACCTTTCTCAAGTTTGCGTCATTGTAGTCAACCTACTAATGGTTACCACCTCTCCTGTTGTTTCTCTCCGGCCGTCTGTTTGGGCCGCCGTATGGATCGTATCGTGCGCCTCTACCGCGGTACCCGTTTCGGCCTCTTCCTCTTCCTCTACCACCACCTCGGTAGCTGTTGAACGCAGGCGCAACATTGTAGTCGACAGCCGCTTGAGACAATACATTATTGCCCTGTGTACCATTGTTGGTCATCCGAGACAAGAGAGTCATCGCGTCTGTGATCTGATGCGCGCGGGCCAACTGACCAGTCGAGGGACGAGAAAATTTGGAGTCTCCCAGGCCCGACACTCGCTGACTATAGTTGCCGCATCTTATGTTGGCTGGCATATCACCTGCACGATTTTGACGCCGCGGATGCTGCTGATGCTGGTGCTGGTGCTGGTGCCGGTGCTGATGCTGGTGCTGATGCTCATGTAGATGCAGATGTAGATGCTGCTGCTGCTGACGCCTCTGATCAAGCTGTATGAGCTGCTGCTCAGGCTGCTGCTGTGGCTAAAGCTGACCGGATTCTAAGGCTTGGTTAGCATATGTAGTGTGAAATTGCCCCTCGCCATGTACTACTGGGAGGGAATCTCGCTATCTGGGCGCGATTGGAAGGAGCTTGAGCGAGGCCGTGAGACTGTCGCAGCTCTTAGTCTAGCTGCATCTAGAGAGCATCAATCTGAGCCTGTTGCTGAGCGATGTAAACATGGTACGGGGATAAGTGCGCTGGCTGCTCAGTACCGTCCAACTTATCTTAATCAATATTATCCTCGTCCGCTTCTACTCTTGGATCTAGAAATTCTTCCTTACTTGAAGGAGCCATTTTGAACGTGGGTAGGTGTAGTTGTAGTTGTAGTTGTAGTTGTAAAGGATGCGTAGGTGGGTAGGTTGTTGCAGATCGCGACGACTTGATATCGGAGGATCCGCTTAAACCGTGTGTTTGTCGTGTGATCCATCCTAAAATTGTGACTTAAGATGACGGGCAAAGTGTCACAAGTTCGTAATTAGGTTGGATTGCAAACTTGGATCTGCTACAGGCAATGTACTCGAATGCGCGTCCACGATTTCGGACGAGCCCTCGTAATTGTTTCGCCGTCGCGATGTTCCAACATTGACCTTTCATCCTCTGCCATCCCAAATCTAGAGCACCTTGCAAGGCCTGGCCCTCTTCCAACTGCCCTGTCCCAGGCTATTTCTCCCCGGAACCAGTTCTCGGTTCATACCGGTTGCTTTGACAAATGATCCTCAACAACCGGTGCGTTCGACATCTAGATTAGCTTTGTCTTGTGCAAATCCATGTTGCATCTAGGCTCCCGCGATATCAAGCTCCGTTTAATGGTCCGTTCCATCTTGTGTTAGGTCACGTGACCTCCGGTTGCTTACTCGGCACTGCCCGGGCATGTACGCCGTAATTCTCCTCTCTCTGATAGGCTTCTCCTGGGCAGACTTAATATAATACCATCACTTACTTGATCCAACATCTTCAGCCAAATCATATTCTAGGCTACCTTCAATTTCATCACAGCCAGTGCATCACGACGGTCATTTCCCGCCTCTCTTGCAAGTGCACTCATGGCAAAAAATCGTGTACTATCCGCGACTCACCTCTGACCTGCGAGTATTGAAGTTACTTCGTCCCTTGAACCTGCTGTGCCCTTGCGACTGGCGTCCCGCGAATCTGGATGGGGACGACGCACATTGCCACTTTATTGCTTGCGATAAGTCCCATCAAGCTTTTTCCAGGCAAATCACCACTCCGCATTTCAAGGCACGCGCAGGGTGACTTTCGGCGAGGCGGCTAAGTTCCTGTTATTGCAACAGGGAATGTTTCTCGTATTACCCCTTGGTTTTAGAGTTTTGAATTTCACATGTAGTTTTAGCCTTATACCCAGATTGCTTAGTTAGCTGCCTAGCCGTTGCTATATTATATGTATCCCTTGGCAATAGGGAGACGCCAACGAAGGCTCCAACAGCTAGTTTTGGCGGCAAAGTATATTGAAAAATTACTCAACGCGCGAGACTTATTTTTAGGTAGCAAGTAAACTTTCCTTCCGGCGAAGACCGATTCAATCTATCTGCTCCTAAATTTAACATGCTATATAGTTATAGTTTATGTATTTAAAGACCCCTTTCTCTCGCCCGATACTAAGAAATAATAAACTATTCATCTGCTCATCTCCCGCTTTTAACATATTCAACTTACATCTAACACAATGGGTCTCTTTTCCACACGCAGCTTCGCGCTATTCTTGGGTATCACCCTCGCCACCGCTGCACCAGCGCCTGCGGCCATCGCTGCCCAGGTCCTCTCCGGAGCGCCAGCAGCGGCCAATGCCCGGGTCGCTGACTTTGGATACTCTGGCTCGGGTTGTCCCCAGGGAAGCGCCGAGTCTGGGTTCGATACTGCAATCAATGCCGACAGAGGCTACTTCCATGACTTAACAGCTTTCATGACACCTAACGCTTCGCAGGCCGACCGTAGCAACAACTGTCAGATGCATATTTCCGTGACATGCGACCCGGGCTGGGAGTTCACCTTGAAGCCACACAGTACCAAGTTAACAGCGCATGTCAATCTGGGGGATGGGGCGACGGCAGTGTATTTGACTTCATATTATTTCTCCGAAGCGGCGACTCAGACGGTTAGTTTGTTTCTATTTAGAGGGATTATAAAAACTACTAATATCGAGTGTACTAGGCTACAGTTAGGTATAGTTTTGACGGACCACTCAACGATTGCCCAACTATAGCCGATCCGGCACCAAATATAGATTACCCACGCTCAGGTGGCGGCGGCGGCCTCTTAGTAGTTAATCGGAGAGTGGCTCTTACAGGGGATAGTCGGTCCGCCGTGGGATCGATTCAACTTTGGGGAGATGCGGATGATGGCAACGGCAAGAATGCGAACTTTGTCCCATGGCGCGCGTTCGAGTGGTCGAGGTGCTAGAGATTGAACGGAATAAAGTCAATTATATTATAAAAAAATTAAAATTAAACATTTCTATACAGTCGCACACGTGTACTTTTGCTTCAGTTATAACAAATAATAAATTTAGACTTAGAGATTCTTGTTAACTTAAGTAAATACTTATACTTTGATTTATTAGTAATAAGTAAATATAATACTTATAGTCGGAATAAGAGTATATAATATATACTTTATAGAAAAATAAAAATAACTTTTATTCTAAAATAACTATAGCAGTTAATTTAATAAGACTTTATTATTAAACTCCAAAGTCATGCGAATGAATACAACTTGTTCGGCGGTATACTACTATACCAACACCTCGACCTATCGATCTAGTTGCAACTAGTGAATTTTCATACCTTGTTACTTCTCGAATGCCAGGAGATTGTGCAGGCTACTCCGTGGACTTGTGTAGCGATGCTGACGCGGCTACTTTGGCCGAGGATCTGAGTCGCTATGTTGAGGAGCTGCGTAATATACCTAGAACGTAGCCTCCAGAATACGGCATTTCCAGCACTTTGGGGGGAGTTTGCCTGGATGGCCGTATCAGCTTCGGTCCAATAGGCCCGTTTGTGGACGAACACGCTTTCAATGAGTTTCTGCGCGTAGGAATAGCGCCTGATTTGGTTCATAAAACAGGCCATAAGACTGTGTTTACGCATGGCGATCTGAATATGAGAAACATATTGATGCAAAATAAAAGAATCTCAGGAATTGTTGACTGGGAAAATGGAGGTTGGTATCCGGATTATTGGGAGTACACCAAGGCAAACTTCACTGTCCGACGACATACCCGTTGGCTTGGTATTGTCGATAAAGTCTTCGAGAACTGTGGCTATGAAGATGATCCAAACATTGAGTGCTAGCTTTGGGATTTGGCTATGCCTTTATAATTGATTACAGGCGATGTAGCGGTTTAGCGATTTAGCGGTTTGAATGAAATTCCCTTCCTGTGTTGCTCCGAATGATGCACTATGTGGCATGAGATGGTTGTATATATTTATAATAGGAAAGCCAACCATTGTCCGCAAATGGCAGAATATTACCATTTATGTTGCGTGAATACCCATCCCATGATGCCTTGAGGACCAGCTTCACCTCAAGGACCACTGCTGTAGTAATGCACTATTTACCTATATAGCAGTACTGTGAATTATTTACCGCAGGTTATTGCGATTACGTAGAAGACGGGGAAGCAGTTGATAAGAGTTGATTAATATTTGGAGGATCCGAATGCGCCGCCATTGTGAGGTGGTTGGGAGTTCCGAGGTAGGGAAGTAATGTTTAATTAATAATGGATAGATAATGAATGAAAAGTTCTATTCGAGATTCCCTTAATTTATCTTTGTATTGTGTCCCTACTTCCTCATTAACCTGCTTCGTGGTTATATTTTCACTTATGCGCTTTGTATCTGACTAGTTTTTATGGCTAAGTTATATTATACTTGCATTTCTTAAGTCATTATGGTGGAGAGTTTCTTGTACCATCCACCATACGAAGCGCATACTAGAGTCATCAGAAATCTCACAAACACGCGCGCAAAGTCTCAAGTGTGCCCGGTTGACTTGTTCAAACTTCTTGACAAGGTACTTCGAAGCTCTCCTAACATCGTTTCCACCATTGTAATCCGGGAAATAATTGCTTAGAGGTTTGCTTCTCAATTTTTCTTCGAAATGCCCAACATTGCAAAGTAGGAGGGTTATAGACGTGCGCAAGAACCATGGAGAGTTAACCACAGAATCGAAGAGAGAAAGACTCTCGATTAATCTGTTCGGATTTGATTCTTGGAGAAGAACATGGTCGTACTGGCTGAGGTCCACGCAAAATACGATGCTGATGGAGGTTTCGAATTGGTGAATCCACTTCATCTTCACTGATCGTTGTGAACTGATATCGAACATGTGGAGAGAAAGTCGTCCCATCGTAAATCTATGTTCTTGGGCCCCTGCTTTTGTTGGTGTTGCAATTCCAAGTTTAAGTATGTCGGTGTCAGTTGGGAGGTAGTCGTTCTGGGCAATCCTTTGGATCTCTTCGATAAAACTATTTGTTTAGTAGTTGGTATGAACTCATCTGTCGAATTGGCAGATTAAACTTACTATAGGGACGAGTCCGGTATAAAGACCTCATAATCTAGAAGCCTTGTCACAAATTGCCTATCCTCCTATAAACCTTGGACTGCACCCGCACCCTCGATAGTAATTTTTCCATCGCCGGCTTGGATCTTCTCAATCTCCTGAGATAGAACTTTGGCATGCATCTTGGCAGTATCGTCCAGGTCAATATCCCCATTCTTTAGTATGTAGGCCAAACCCTTCATCACACGTATAATATAATTCATCACTACCACCTGATACTCCTCGCGTTCTTCATAGGTGAAGCCACCCGAGTGTGCGATCTTCATACTCTTGATGAGAGTCTGCGCACAATCCTGGTCTCCTAAGAGAAGTACCTTGCACTCTCTTCTCATTTTTCTAGCATGCTCCTTGAGCTCATGCTCAATAAGCTTGTTCGTGGTTCTTTCTTCTGGGGTGGCTATCACATAGGGTTGCTCTGCTTCCCGGCGCATGTTTTCGACGGTATCCTTCAAGGAACCTCGGAGGGCCTTTTCATACACCTTCGAGATGAAGAGTTCGCGGTCAAACTCAAACATCTTGGAGATTTTGGATAGGCTGTCTGTGCAACGGCTGTAGATTGAGGTAGAGCCGCGCTGAACGTACAGCGATGAGGTGTCATCCTTGACTCGTTTGAATATCTTCCGGGTGGATGTTTTCTCAAGCATAATCTTCTGCTCAGAGATGGCTTTGCTACACAGGCATCAATTTGCTGCATGAGTAAGAGCTTAAATCTTCGACCACTAACCAGTTGCAAACGGTAAGAAGGAGAGTCAAAGCACTCGTCTGGCGATCAACCATCTTCTGCAATTCCTCCAAAGTTCCATTCTTAAGCACTAATTTAATCTTATTCTGAGCATCAATTCCCGTCTCACTATTCTGCTGAAGATCCTCGACTTCGGAATCCAGCCGACGAACCAGCATCCTACAGCAATTCACCGAAGCCTCTAAATCCATGGCTAGTTGATGATGCGGCTCGTCCATATTAGTATCCATCCACTCTTGAATTTTGCTTAATGCGGCTCTGAGAGCGGTCAGCTGGGCGATAAGATTGATGAATGTGAAATCAGCCTCTTTCCAGCGACTATGTAGCGTGTTCAATGCGCTGACTGTTTTGCCGACTAGTTCCACGATGCTTGCTACAGATGCGGCTGCGCCGATGATGGTTAAGGGGTCTACCATTGCTTTTGGGGAGAAGATAAACGTTTGGCGTGCGTTGAAATGGAGTGGAGATGGAGTGGAGATGGAGATGAGGCTGGCGCTTCAGCGAGGTCCTATTCTTACCTATCTCATGTATCCCAGCTCTATTGCCATTGCCCCGTCGGAAATCACCTGCAGGCTTCTTTTTTCGACCAATGACAACAACTACGAGCGGTTTCCGACCAACAATCCATACCGACTAATGCACACCAATACCAGCTGTCGCCATCTATTTTCATTGTCCGACTTATTTATCGAAAGTTGGTGATGTTATGGAAGAGCTGAAATGAATGGAAAATCTGTCTGGAATCGATCTTGCTGGAGACCATGATGAATTACCACACGAACACAATGTACGAAGTATGGATGGATGTTTGTTCAGCCACCCCCCTGATCACCGACACTCTGCGGGCCCTCCCGTCCGGCTTAGATTCTTGGACGGTGGCCTTGGCGAGTATTTAATAAACCGACGGACAATCCCCTATCCAACTACCTAGTTGCTATTACTCTTGCGGAGTTCAGCGATTAGTTCTCTACCAATTTTAGTTCACTCTCCGCGACATTACCTAATACTTATATCATTCCTTGTTAACCTCAACTATTAGATGCTACACCGCAGGTTGGTCGAAGCATGCCATCACGATTGAGCGCGTGCAGAAACGCCCTTCGGCAAAAGTCATCATCCTCAAGAAAAACCTTCAGCATTTCATCTAGAACTCTGCAACTAGAAACGCCTATCGAGGAAGAAACTCTCCCTCACTATAAACCTAAGCAGTACTACCCCGTCAACATCGGAGACGTATACAAGGCCAGGTACCAGGTCGCGGGAAAGCTTGGCTATGGGGCGTATTCAACCAGTTGGCTATGCCGAGATCTCCAGTGCGTATCCTAATCACGATCAACTCTGGCAATCTTCCCTTTAACAAGCCACTCTTTTCAGGGACAAGAAATACAGAGTATTAAAGCTGTTCACATCTCTGCCAAAATTTCCCACTGCAACTGATCGCGAGCTAAAGATTTATGAGCATCTCGCGAAAGTCAATTCTACGCAACCAGGGCAAGCGCTGATCCGCAAGCTTTATGATTCATTTGATCTTCAAGGGCCTGTCGGTAGACACCGCTGCCTCGTGCTGCAGCCAATGCACATGACGCTTCTTGAGATGACGAGACTGAACTCGAGGCCGTTTGATCTACCCCTCCTCAAAATGACACTTAAACGCCTTTTACTGGCCCTTGACTTCTTGCATACAGAAGCCGAGATAATTCATGTTGGTACTAAGTCTGGAATTCATATTGTACGGGGAATCCAATGCTAAATAGAACTAGACCTAAAGACCGACAATCTTATGCTCAGTCTAGAGGTTAATACCATGCTGGCCGATTTCGCGAAAGCAAACGTCGAGGATCCTAGCCCTCGGAAGAAGATTGATGAATCACGTATCATCTACAAGAGCAGTAGGTTCCGCCGACCTGCTGAAGGCCAAAGCTATGGACTCCCGATTCTGTGCGACTTTGGTGAGGCACGAATTGGCAAGACACAGGTGTCCGGCACGTTCGTCCAACCGCATGTTTACAGGGCACCGGAGATTATCTTCGAGATGCCATGGTGGACTGCTATAGACATTTGGAACCTAGCAGGTCTGGTAAGTACGGCCCATGCTCTAATGATGACTTGCCTCGCTGATCACTCTGTAGATCTGGGACCTCGTTGAAGGCGAGCACCTATTTGGAGACATATTCGATACCAAAGGAGGCCACGACCCGTTCAAGTATCTGGCGCTCATGGTCGCATTGGTTGTGCCACCGCCGAGCGAATTTGTTACACTCAGTGAGACGATGGAGCAGTGTTTTGACCCCAATGGTAAGAGCCCTGCCTCTGCTTGGAAATTGCACTGAGGCTGACGCACATGCAGGCGCCTGGGTTGCCCACGAAGATGCAGCCATACCGTTGGTTTCCCTGGAGACTCTAGAGACGCGACTCTCTGGACAAGAGAAAGCACTTTTTATTCAGTTTATGAGGTCAATGCTCAAGTGGCTACCAGGGGAACGCAAGACGGCAAGACAGTTGCTTGAAGATCCATGGTTGCTCTAGTGCTTCGATCAAAAGTTTCTCTACCTAGTCACCAATCGGAGCAATTCCAACCAATATTGTCTCTAAGTCGACGTCTAGGCCATCCTTTCTTTTGGCACCGGCGGTAACACCCACGTACCGAGTAAGATTTCCTGATTTAACGCCAGGGTTAACCTGAGCTTCAGGTCTCTTGAAGCGCCTAAAATAGCGAGACGACCACTGATGTGGTTGAGAGCCGATGTCTAGAACGCCAAAAATGTCAGAGTAGCTCCAAGACCGGGAGTCAGGTGTAGTATTTAAGTTCAGGGCTATTCGGTCGCCTTTTCAGCATCTAAACGGATAGACGCGCTAACCTTCACTTGCTCCAAATTATTCTATACGCATTGTCCAACTTCCCTGGTTATTTCTTGTCGAATCACCATGGATACTGTCATCCACCATTTCATATCCTATGCTAGCAAAGTAAAGCTGACAGATTTCAAGGACCCGACACACGTGACCCTGGTCGACAAGTACTATAAACACCAGCACACTTAGCAATCATGAAAGAGGCTAGTTAGCTGGGAAGGGGTAATTTGGGGTTGTCTGGCGGATCACAAAAGACCGTGTGCTCAAGGAACCAAAGATATACCCCGAAGACGGCCCTGGATCAACTTACTTCAACATATTAAACCGCGCTGAGATCCAGAACGAGAAGGCTGTCCACGAGCGGCTGGGAAACCATCGCGGAATTATCCAATGTATCAGGGCATCGGACGAGTCGACTGAGCTCGCAATTTCCAACCAGATGGACCGACCCCTAATTACCTATATGAATATGTACCCTTTGTCACTTCCAGAATTCAGAACAGATTGGATCCGACTGGTTATAGATACCGTCAGCTACGAACATGCCCGTAGGGTTGTTATCCAAGAAATTGCTCTACGGAATATTCTCGTACACGATAACTCTCTCAAGCCCTCAGATTCTGACGAATCACTTTTGCAACCATTACACACCAATATGGCACAGTTTGGTGTCAACGTTGCGACTCCTCAGCTTGAGATGCTTCATCTTAGAGCTATCTTTATACTCTATTTCTTCCAGGCGGGAACTTAAATATAACTACTTCGACGCAGATCGCTGGCTAGCCGTGGAAGAGCTGCCTACAACGGATAACTTTCTCTTTGCAAACATCGTTCCAAAGCTACTAGAACGGGGGTTTTGCCAGTATGGAAGAGCCTCAAAATGAAGTATATGGCTTGGCTCGGGAGTGATGGACAATCCTGGCCGCATATCCATTATATCTCAATGAAAATACCAGACTACACCGCAAAGCGCTTCGGTGCCAGGAATGCCCAACATTATCCGGTATGGACTTTCTTCTAAATAACTAACAAATGAACGAGTGAAATTGGGGTTTAAACAAGGAGCTGTATACCAGGAGAAAGAAAAACAGCTGCAACAGCGGCTGCGTCCAAAAAATGACAAAAGTCTATACACTTGCATGTGCAGAGTAGGACTATTGTCACTGTGACTGCGGCATAGATTTTATATAAAGGGGGTATGATATCTGCTCAGGACTTTGAAGGAAGGATGGCGTTACATTTGGTAACCGATTAAGGTCGGCAAGACATGGTCAATTTACCTAAGTGACGACAATGATAAATGCATGGCACGTGAAATGGTAGGAGAGATAGGTTTAGAGCGTGCAACCAAAAGCCTTAATGGTGAAGAGCGAGGTTTTTGTTTTACAAAGGTGGGGAGAGGTTCTAGTCTAGTTTAAAAGCAAAGCCCCCTGCAACGCCGAATCCCAAAGCCAATGTTTTGGCCATGTCTACCACTCTCCGCTACGCGTGGTGATTTCCTATCATTACATCTCGGGCACCACTGACGGAGCAGGAGGAATTAGTTTTCCTTCACAGTTGGTCCCAGCGGTCATCAACCTGCTTGAAGATTTTGGAATCCTCGGCCCATTTATCAACAAACGATTCGATGGTAATACCTCGCTTCTCTGCATTGGCGTATAATTGGAGACAAGCTGCCTTGGCCTCACGAAGCTGCTCCTCTTGAGCCGTGGCCTCTTTCTTCTTACCAGGGTTCTCTTGTTCATAGGCTAAGTCAAGGACGAAGCTCAGCTTCTTGAGGTTTGGAAGAAATTGCGGGTTTCCAAATGACTCGACCCATCTCTCCCAGTGTTCCGATTTAGCGAGGGAAATGGGACCTCTGAATCGCAGAGTGGAAAGGTTGGGTGGGAATTCCGTGTATAACAGCGCAAGAAATTGGTCATCTCGGAAAACGTCACCAGCAGTGAGTATGAGGGTTTTCAGTCCTGCGAGTTGTGGAAGGACTTCTCGAAACATCTCTTCAACAGTGAAGTGGAAGTCAAGCCCATGAGACGAGCGGATGTTTAGCGTTTTGAGGTTTGTAACAAGATGTGGAAGAGCGAGCGTCATTCTGGTAAAGGTATCAATGGCGTCATTCTCGAGAATTTCTATGGCCTCTAGATGGATCTGATCAGGGATCTGATCAGGCAGTGTGCTTATTAGATGAGATTCATTGTCCTGGACCTCCTGGCCTGCGTACTTCTGCTCCATCCATGCTCCGACAAGTTTCGGGAGGTAGACAAGTGTGATTTTACGCTCTTCTGGTGTACCTTCCCTCACAGTCATATACTCTTCCTTTACATCACCTCTCGTGATCGCTTCATCATTAGCGCCGTAAAGCTCTTCGCTTGTCGGTCCCTCAAAACGTAAACCAGATGTCAGCAGAAGAATGAGATGCTTGACTTTTCCTTCAAGCACAAACGGGCTGCGGAAGACCTCTGCACATGCTGAGCTAACCAACAGACGCTCTATAGGCCAATGCGACGGGATTCTTTCGTCATTCAACTCTTCGTTGAAACCAGTGTCCATTCGTAGATCCTTCACACTGCTGAAGTGGCTGCCGATAACCGACCATTCAACATCAGACGGAGTATCATTTTCAATTTGGAGGACCTGGGCATTCTTTGGGATGTTCGTTAGCTGCCCCAGAAGCTTTTGCTTGTGATCGTGTCCTTCTTCTTCGTGGGGTCCTTCAACCCGAATGGTGAATATATTTGGGCTACTTGGCTTGTCTCTAGAATCCATTAAAGGAGCCTGGACGAGTCTTTGTTGGTGAAAATGTTGGCATTCCAGGCGAAACCTAAACGATGACAGTGACGGTTTCTGAAACACTTTGATGGGACCCCTGAAGCACTTGGAAGATGAAAGAAGGTGCCGCCGGAGGAATGTGAACGCGAGCTAATAACGTTTAAGTTAGTAGGGAAGACCTAGAACAAGTAATAGGCTCACCATCGAGGCGATGCTTCACATTAGTTGCTAAGAGTGGCGCTCAAGTGGTATCAGATGCATTAAAGAGGGACGATCATCAGTGGGGCTGGCGGAGTGTGAGGTTGCTGTTGGAGCCGTTGCACGAAGGTATCCAGGCCCAACCGTGATGCCTATAAGAAAGATGATGTTGTGCGACTTATCGCTTAAATTGCCAGCCTTTCCTCCCTGGCACTTTGTGAGATCGCAACGCCGACCAACGCCAGGCCCTTAGTTACTGCACTTCGACAGAGTCACTTGGTTTGTGAAGCTGTTACCTTTGTGTATTGCATTTCCGGCACAAGCTGAAAGATGCTTCAGTACCGCCATTCTGGATGCCAATTGGCCGGCCGGATACTCGACACCGACAGGACAGTGCTTCTTCTACTCTTTCGAAATTCTGCATGCAGGTTACATCCAAACCCATGCTTCTCATCGTCATAAGGTTTATCGGTCTTGAAGCCTAGCCTCGTACCACGTAATCGGTACTCCGTAGGGACTAATATTAATAAACCGGCCAGGACGAACACAGAGCCTGATTCGCGTAATCCCACCTGCCTCTACCTGCTAGTGGGATGTGGTATTTGCCGAGTCTCAAAGTACGAAATGATAAAATGCAAAAAAAAATGCAAAAAGAATTTGATTAGAGTGGGACTCGAACCCACGCCACTTTCGTGACCAGGAAATGTAGTTAAGATATACCTTAACCTGGCGCCATAACCAGCTCGGCCATCTAACCTATGATTTCGTGGGAATGCACTTATTTCAACTAATACATATTCAATATTCGAAATAATAAAAATGCAAAAAAATGTAAAAACAAATGCAAAAAGACATTGATTAGAGTGGGACTCGAACCCACGCCACTTTCGTGACCAGGAAATGTAGTTAAGGTATACCTTAACCTGGCGCCATAACCAACTCGGCCATCTAACCTATGATTTTGTGGGAATATGCTTATTTCAACTAATACATATTTAATGTACGAACTAATACATATTCAATATTCGAAATAATAAAAATGCAAAAAAATGTAAAAAAAATGCAAAAAAAATTTGATTAGAGTGAGACTCGAAAACGCTACTTTCGTGACCAGGAAATATAGTTGAAATAATATATATCAATATACGAAATAATAAAAATATAAAAACAAATGCAAAAAGACATTGATTAGAGTGGGACTCGAACCCACGCCACTTTCGTGACCAGGAAATGTAGTTAAGGTATACCTTAACCTGGCGCCATAACCAACTCGGCCATCTAACCTATGATTTTGTNTCGAACCCACGCCACTTTCGTGACCAGGAAATGTAGTTAAGGTATACCTTAACCTGGCGCCATAACCAACTCGGCCATCTAACCTATGATTTTGTCGGAATATGCTTATCTCAATTGATAACATAGCTTTCTCTGTAAAGGGTGCGGACAGCCGATACGGGTGTTATTACTAATCAGTACCCCTACCTCTCCTGGTACTTGACATCCACTACGTAGGGTAGGTAGGTACACGGCCTAATTGCTTATGACTTCGCTCGAGCAAGCATAATCAAGGATGATATTTTTACCTACAGGTTCACATACCACCGTGCCGTGAAGCTTGCCATGTAGAGTAGAACCCTTCTAGGACAAAGAGAATTTATATTATATAGCTACCTAGATTAGCAAGGTTAGCAGTCACTAGAGGTTATATAATCTATTATGAGGTAAACGCTTAGATCGGTTAAATAGCTTATCGTATATAAAAAACCAACGCATTCTAATCTTATACGATGTGTTCCGTCTAAGCTTTATAGGCAAGCTGCTTCAAGTGGTTTTCTTGCTGGATGGGCAGATAAAGTTTGATCCAAGCTAGACCCCACATGGCAAGAGGTGGGGGTAGTTGTCCCATATTCTTTAAGCGAGGCCGGCGATTAGAATTGCCGATCCGGCAGCCTTGTCGCAACAAATACTCCCAAGACCAATATCAGAAGAGGAGTACTTCTGTCCTTGTCCGCTTTATCTTCACCTTCTTCACCTCCGAACAGCACATCCAGACACTCGCTACCACTCCCGTTTTGCTGGAGACGCTTGGCGGGCCAAAGCAGCGAACAGCTGTTTCAACATCGGTGTTTCGCTCGTACTCACACTCGTGCCACTCGTGGTCCCTCTTTATCGCATACGCGTACCGGAGCTCGTCGAATTCGTCGCCATGGACCAGCGAGAGCTAGACAGCCAGCTAAAGACCTTACTCAAGGCAGTGGCTGAGAAGGATGCAGCAAGCAATGTTATCTCTATCCTAGAGAGACTGAAGAAGGATGTGGTTCCTACGGAGGAGCTCCTCAGAGTATGTTCTTTGGTTGCCGTGCACATTCCTCAACTACGAATCCGGACATACACTGGTCTTTATTCACCGCGTCCATATAATATCTACTGACCTATTTCTGCTTCTAGGCTACTAAAGCTGGCATGATCGTATCAAAGCAGAAAGGCCACGCAAACAAAGATATCGCAAGACTCGCTGCCGAAATTGTCGCAAAGTGGAAGAAGATCGTTCAGGCCGAGCAGTCTTTGTCTAAAAAGAAGATATCTGTCTCCTCCCCGCCAAAGGCTGGATCTGCATCATCGCCGACGCCTGCAAATGAAGCCAAAGGATTCATCGGCGACGCGGCGAAGCGACGTTGGGAGACCGAGAAGGTGGATGTTAAACGCACCGGTATCCCGTCTCGCGATGCGTGCTTAGGTCTTATGTATAACGGCCTGGCGTATATGTCTGTTGACTCCTCCAGCCATATCATTGTCAAAGCAATCGAGGTTGAGCAGGCGGCATTCGACGCCTTCAAAGGCGACAATGCAGAATACCGCGCCAAGCTTCGCTCCCTCTTCCAGAACTTAAAAAATGCCGGCAATCGCGATCTAGGGCCTCGAGTCATGTCTGGAGAGATCACTGCCTCAAGATTCGTTGTTATGAGCCATGATGAATTGAAGTCCGCTGAGCGGCGCAAGGAAGACGAGAAGCTCCACCTGGAGAACATGAAGAAGGCGCAGACTCCGCAGATCGAGAAGAGTGTTAGCGATGCGCTGCAATGTAGCAGGTGCAAGATGAAGAAAGTCAGCTACAGCCAGGCTCAGACTCGAAGTGCTGATGAACCGATGACCACGTTTTGCGAGTGTACGAACTGCGGCCATCGCTGGAAGGTATTAACCCTTCCCAACCCCAAAATTGCTAGACAACGACTGACATATACAGTTCTCCTGACCTATGGCGTCCGTGGAACCTTAAATCATATATTCCCTTCTTGTGAACTCTTTAGGACGGCTTAGGAGTTTAGGGTGGGCAACGCACATGCTGTGTATATCGAAATCAAAAGTGGCCCTGAGCACTCAAACGCAGTTTAGCGAATTAATATTCATGTGGCGGGGGTTTAGAGGGTAGCAATAGAGTTGCAAAATAATCCGGGGCATGGTTCCTTCAATACTTTTCATCTTCGCTATTTGATCCCCAGAAGTTCTATGAGATCGCTCTGCTCATCCTCCTCTAAGCCCGACTCGGCAACATTCTTCCAGAACTTGCTGAGGTGGCGTGTTCCGCTATCACATAAAATAGTCACGACACGACTCCCCTTCGGCATATTAAAAGCAGTAGCAACGGCTGCAACACAATTAACAGCGCTACTGCTTCCCACAAATATTCCATCCTTCTCTACCAACCATCTAGCCATCCTGAGAGCCTGCAGATCCGTTACCTTCACTGCATCATCAATCAGCTCTCTTCCCGCCTCAAAATTCTCAGTAAGGCGATTGATGCCAATGCCTTCCACGATGGTGTCGACCTGCTGCCGTCGTCTTGTGCCTTCTCTTTCAGTATTTGAAAACATAACCCCGTGTTTAACTTTGTTGTACAAACCACTGCCCTCCGGATCTGCGAGGACAACTTTGAGGTCATGGCTCATACCCATTTCTTGTTTCAGGAACACTGCAACACCTGATATTGTACCGCCAGTGCCAGCACCAGCGACGAATGCATCAATCTAGAAACCAGCATTAATTACAGTTTGGACACCTAGAATGTCAACACTCACCTGCCCACTAGCCTGTTGGTATATCTCGGGACCCGTAGTCTGGAAATGAGCACGATAATTGGCCGTAGACTCGAATTGATCAGCAAAGAATCCCTTGCTAGATGTCTCAGCTGAAGCAGTGTGCTCCTTTGCTCTCGTCCTTGCAAGGTTTACAAAATGCTGTGTAGAAGTAATAGGTGCCGGAGTCACTCTCTCCACAGTTGCGCCCAGGTGATGCAGCAAATCCGACTTCTCGGTAGACTGATCATTGGGCATACATATGTGACACTTATAGCCCCTTGCTCGAGCCAAAGTAGCCAGAGAAATTCCCGTTGAGCCCACAGTGCCCTCGTAAATAGTGTCTCCTTGACCCGGCGTCAAAAGGCCTTCCTCTTCCGCCACCTTAATCATATTCAACGCCACCCTGTCTTTCGGACTCCCACCAGCGCCATTAAGAAATTCCGCCTTTGCAAGAATTGTACAACCAGTAGCCTCAGATAAGCTCTTGATTTTGAAGAGGGGGGTATTGCCAATACATCCTTCAATTCCTTCTGGGACCGGACCAATAGGCAGTCCAACCATAGACTGCCTTGCGCTTCTTGACCGATCTTCAAGCTTTACCGGAGGTAAATATGTACTAGCAGGTCGCGAATCTGCTGGAGAGCTGGGCTGGCCTTTTCGCCGCTGATACCGGCGCTCCAGATCGGGGTAGAAATCTTTGAACCCCAAGGTCAGGAGGATGCCGGTCATAAAAGCAAAGGTTACGGCAGCAGTGCCGTAGGCCTTGGGATGGTTGCTCAAAGACATTTTGTCATTGTACCAATTTCATTGTAAACAAAGACATATTCATAAGAGGTTTATAAACTGCGGTGGTGAAAAAAGAGGACATACGTAGTACCACCAAGACCCTTCAACAGCATCCCCTGCAACATCATGAAGCTTGGACCATCTCGAATTCAACGGCATCCCAAATACATACCACAATCTCACGTTCTCCAGACACAATAACACTGCCACCTATATGGACTCTCCAATCATTTCACAGTTGTTTAGACAGCTGTTCACCCACAGGTCTTGCCAGTCTATACGTCCGCATTCTTCGATACCATTTCGAATACAGCATGCGCGCCACCAGCAAATCAGATATTTGTCGCGTAGAGGAGGGGTGGATGATACCCATTGGCAGCAGAGGACGGATGTGTTTCCTCAGGATATGTCGGGGGAGTACGAGAAATACCCAATGGTCACGGCAGATCAGTTGAAGAGCCGGAGAGAGCGGCCCAGGCGGGTGAAGATGTTGACAAGAGATTTTATTGAAGGTATGCAAATCTGGAGGAATCCTCATCTGGGCTTAATGGCTAACATGTTTGCAGATTCTCTGTACAATCCATCATACGGGTACTTTTCGAAGCAAGTGGTTATTTTCACGCCTGGCGAGCCGTTCAAATTCAACGCCATGCAAGACGAGCAAGAATTCCATCAGCTTTTGGGGCGCAGGTACACGGAGTTCGAAGATAAATTAGATGAGAAACAGCCCAACGACACGCGGCAGCTCTGGCACACACCAACTGAACTCTTTCGACCATATTATGGCGAGGCTATCGCCCGGTATCTCGTGGTCAACTACAAGCTATCACAATACCCCTACCACGACCTCATAATCTACGAGATGGGCGCTGGAAACGGAACACTCATGCTCAACATACTCGACTACATCCGCGATACCGATCCTTCAGTCTATGACCGGACGAAATTCAAGATCATCGAGATTTCATCCAATTTAGCCAAGTTGCAGGCGCAGCAGTTATTACGGAACGCGGATTCAAAGGGCCATGCATCGAAGGTGGAGATCATAAACAAATCCGTATTCGAGTGGAGCCAAGTCGTTCCTGAGCCCTGCTATTTCCTAGCCATGGAGGTGTTCGACAACTTCGCTCATGATGCTATTCGTTATGACCCGGTTACCGAGGAGCCGTTGCAGGGCACCGTACTCATAGACAGCAATGGCGATTTTTACGATTTTTACGTTCCCACGATTGACCCAGTAGCCTCGCGGTATTTGCGAGTGAGGCATGCTGCTACTGCCGGAAGGTATCCGCATCCTCTTAGCCAGAGCCGGATACTACGGAAATTGAGGACAAGTCTTCCCTTCTCTCCTAATTTGAGCGACCCTGAATACATCCCTACGAGGCTGATGCAGTTTTTTGATGTTTTGGAGAAATACTTTCCGGCTCATCGGTTGGTGACGAGCGACTTCCATGTTTTGCCGGATACGATTAAGGGGATCAATGCACCGGTGGTGCAGACAAGGTATCAGAGGCGGACAGTGCCAGTCAGCACGCCATATGTAAGCTTCCCCTTGATGGAATTATGATGGTTTCTAACGGGGTTGTTGCAGGTACACCAAGGATACTTTGATATCTTGTTCCCAACAGATTTCCATGTCATGGAGCTTATGTATAGGGCAATAACAGGCAAGCTGACAAACGCTTTATCTCACGAGGAATTTTTAAGGAGATGGGCTTATGTGGAAGAGACGGAGACAAAGAATGGAGAGAATCCACTCTTGAGTTGGTATAAGAATGCTAGTGTTCTTACGACTGTTTAATCAATGTATATGATACCAGAGGCTCAACCTCTTGAAAATTTTGTTCCTCTCTGATGTGTACTATTGACGAAGTAGTTGGCATCATAAACAGTATGGCCAATTCCCCTCAATATTGCAGTGTTTGTCCGGCCAACTGGGCGCCGCGGAATATTCGAACATCCTTCAGGTTATATCGAGCTTCAAACTAGACCAGAGCCCCTTCTCTGAGAGGTACCTTCTGAGAGAGATACCATCCTATAGAAGGCAAGTGAGCTAGCATCGAATCGGTCCTGCATCCTCAGATCCTGCAGGATCCTACAATGCCGAGCTTCGTATTCGCGGAACCCATATGGTCCCTACAAACGACCTTGGGGAACTTAGTTGTCAACCCCTCCCTATCCACAGCCCTCCTAAAGAATCAAGAAAGTGCCATGGAGCAGAGTAAACAGCGCGTTCCTAAAATTCAAATCAAAGTCATACATGAAGCGGGTACAGCGTAGCATGCATTTCAACCTTGGGCTCATCATCTTACACAATTCCAAAGTAAAACTGATATTCAGCTCTGGTCTTTTTCCCATCATGAAACCGTCTCCCTTCATATTCCCTTCTCCCAAAGCTATGTCCTATAAATGTAACAACGCCAGATCGAGCGGAATGCTCAAAATCCCACTATGGAATAGCGAGGTGAGGTATGTCGCGCGTGAGGATGCGTCAGAATCGTTCCTACCCTACAAGCAGTAGGCGGTGTCACCAGAGCGCAATAAAGTTTTTATTACACGCACGCTTGACCCCCGGGTCCATATAGCTCAGTTTAAGCAGAAATTATTTGAACGGTCTACCCGGGAAGTGTCGTGGTGGGCCGAAGGTGAGTCTAGGTGAGTATGGCGATTAGCTAGGAGAGGGACCCGATGTCTCCTAGTGAAAGCCAGGTAAGTCCTGTATTTCTTTTGCTTTTTTATTATATTTTAAATATTTTAAAGGCAGCATGAGGTTTTCTTTACTCTTTATCGTTGTTCCTTTTTTTCGTTTTGAGTTTGTTGATATCCACTTTTCGCGTCGGTGAGCTTCAGAGGTGCCTCCCCCTTTGGCAAGCGAGGCAATGCGGTGAGGGATTGCGTATCATGAGTGTTCCCCTCTATAAGAGCTTTCTTTTCCGGTTACCTTGAGGAGGCGAATTGCTAGGGTATAAGAGCGCCCTTTGGAATTGGAATTTCAAAGCTGTACCGATAATAGCAACTCAACTCTACCACGTTAACGAGTTATGTCAAGGGAGCTTGGAGTATTCTGGTGTCTGGTAAATATGCTTGTCAAATACCATCCTTCGTAGCACCGGCTGGTTGTAGCGCCGACTGAAGGCGCATAAATGGAGAAGTACAATCAGATCAAAGCCATGCTCGTGTCGCTGGCTAAACTGTGCCTAACGTGAAATATGTTTGAGAACGCCAGATTGTACAATTTATAGCATAGCAAGAGCACGGATATGGTTGCAGTATGTGATTTCTGATACTCTCTCCCATTCAGAATCTAGCTAACTGACTAGAGCACAGTATTTGTAGCCATAGTGTACTCACACCCCAATAAACCCAACTCTCAAAACTCCATCTACAGCTTACTCAAGCCTGATGAGTTATAATCTAACAAGCAACAAGCAAGTCGAAGGTTACCAAACACGCAAAACTTCCCATCTGTAGCACCATGTCCTCCATCAAACATGCAAAATCAACTTAGATCTTGAGCTTCTCCGCAAACCACTTCTCAGCGACAGCAACGGCTTCCTCAATCCTCTCGGGGTTGGTCCCTTGGCCGGTTCTCGTTGGCTCCTTGCCTCCTGATCGCCCTCCTACTACTTCCGAGACTGCAGCGGCCCAGTGCTCAGCAGTAACTCCTTTAGATGAATGTTCCTACATAGGTTAGTTAGCTAGCCCAGGGAAATTTATGGGGAGGTACTCACAGTGCCAACATAAACTCCGTGCACAACAGCACCATCAGACTCGCTGCCGCCAAACAAATAAACAGTCTTGTCCTTTGCCTTCGACTTGAAGTGATTCATGACATCAGCAATGGCCTTTGAGTTTGCACCAATGGGCAGTTTGCCGATGTACACCTTGCTATCCTTGTTGTCGGGAAGCGCGAAATGTCCTGTGACGGTATCCAAGGCGGTCTTCGACTCGGCCTTTTGCTTCTTCTTTTGCTCATCCAAAACATCTTTTTGCACTTTAGCAAACTGCTTCTTCAATTCCTCCTTCGTCAAGGTCGAAACTGTCAGTTGGCTCAAATCTTGTTGAGTCGCCTTAACTGCAGCCTCCTTCTCAGGGCCATTAGGCATCTCGTCTACAGCCGCGATACGCTTGCCAAATTCAACAGCCTGTCGTTGAACTTCGTGAGCAGCATCACCGGTATAGGCAATGATTCGTCGGATACCCTTTGCGATACCGCTCTCTTCAACGATTACAAGATCTTTGATCAAGCCAGTCTGATCTACATGCGTACCACCGCAGAATTCTACACTGACCTTTCGCCATTCCGGGTTTCGAGGCTCTGCAAGGAGAGTATCCACGTCAACTCCAACGGAGATGACTCTAACCGGATTTGGATAAGCCTCTCCGAATACAGCGCGAACACCTTCGATTCCTCTAGCAACATCAAGATCTACATCCTTTGAATATATCTTGCAATTCTGTTTGATGTACGAATTTGATGAGTCCTCGATCTTCTTGAGTTCTTGAAGAGTTACCTGAGCCTTGTGCGAGAAGTCAAAACGTAACTTGTCGGCGTCGACAAGAGATCCCTTTTGAGTGATATCATCACCAAGGTGCTCTCGTAGTGAGTGATTGAGAATGTGGGTTCCAGTGTGATTGTTGCGGATAGGTTGCCTCCTCAATTCATCGTACTCGCAGATTACCTCATCTCCTGCCTTCAACTGGCCGTATTCGAGGTAACCATTGTGAATGATATATCCACCATACGCCTGGACATCCAAAACCTTGAACTCGGCAACGTCATCAATGATGATCTTGCCAGTATCAGCAACTTGGCCTCCTGCCTCTGCGTAAAAGTTTGTCTTGTCTACCAAAATGCCAAATGGTTTATCGGATGGAAGATCTGCCGTGGACTTCGTGAACTCCTTGCCATCATAAATCAATTGAACCTTGGCGGTAGTGTAGCCCTTATGGAATTTACCCTCGTCGTTTGGTCTCGGAACTCCAATCTTGTCCAATTCGGCAATTTGATGGACGTCTAATTTTGCGAAGGTATGGGCCGCCTCCTTGACAGATTTGCTTGCCTCGCGAGCCTTTAACTTGGCGATTTCAATCTCAGCATCGTCAGTCTCTAGGCCTCTCTCTTCTGCCATAATCTTGGTTAGATCCTCAGGAAATCCGAATGTATCGTACAGACGCCAAACATCAGCACCAGAAAGCTTTTTCGTATTGTTCTTGATGGCTTGAGCAGCGTATTTCTCGAACATCTTCTCGCCACGATCTAAGGTTCTGGCAAAGGCCTCCTCTTCCTCGTCCAAAATTTCCTTGACGTCCTGCTGCTTCTTCACAATTTCGGGGAACTGCTCTCCCATTTGCTCGACAAGAGCTGGAAGAATCTGGGAGAAGAAGCTCCCAATCTCGGCATTGAAATATTTTCGAGCAAAGCGTGATCCCCGCCGTAGGACACGTCGGACAACGTAACCTCTTCCTTCATTGTTGGGTACACCTCCATCAGATATGGCGAATGTCAATAGACGAATGTGATCGGCAATAACACGATATGCAGTATCGATGCCATCAACATCATCCTTGCCATACTTGTCCGTGTAGTTTCTAGCTCCTGTAACCTCTTGTATCCGGGCAAATAAGGGAGAGAAAACATCCGTATCATAGTTGGATGACTTGTTTTGTAAGACCGACACCAATCGCTCGTACCCCATACCAGTATCAACATGCTTCGCCGGCAGTGACCTCAGAGACCTGTCTTTTTGTCTGTCGAACTGAATGAAGACGTTGTTCCAAATCTCGAGGACGTTCGGGTCATCTTGGTTGACAAGATGAGCGGCGTTTCTTCCACCTATTCTGTCGTAGTGAACTTCGCTACACGGGCCGCATGGTCCTTGATCACCCATTTCCCAGAAGTTATCCTGCATATTTCCTGGTAATATATGGTCATCCGCCACGCCGACCTTTTTCCACAACTCCTTGGCCTCTAGATCTGGTTCTAGGCCAGTGGCGGGATCGCCTTCGAAGTAGGAGACATATATGCGTTCCGGATCCAGCCCGTAAATCTTTGTAAGAAGCTCCCAGGACATAGTGATAGCCTCCTCCTTGAAATAGTCGCCGAAGGACCAGTTGCCCAACATCTCAAAGAAAGTATGATGGTAGCTGTCCTTTCCAACATCGTCAAGATCATTATGCTTTCCTCCCGCGCGAATACACTAAAATTTTGTCAGCCCCGCCACCGGATTCGGCGCAACGATTTCCTTCATACCTTCTGCGTATCCACCGCTCTCTTCAATTTTGCCATGCCATCCGTCTTGCCAACGGTACCCAAGAAAATTGGTTTGAACTGGTTCATCCCAGCATTTGTGAAGAGGAGGGTAGGGTCATTGTGGGGGACGACCGAGGATGAGGGCACTGCGAATAACACATATTAGCTCGATGTTTTATTTTCAAGAGGCATAAAAGAGAAGGCAGTGAGGCAATGTGAATCAATAATCGAGTCTTCTTCAAACAAAAACTGCATCCCCAAATTCAAGCTTTGCTTTTGCGTCTCTTGAAAAATTACCCCGCCACGTACCAATAGTGTGACCCTTTTTCTCAAAGAACTCCAAGAACTGCTTTCTGACGGCCGGGGCAGTCCATTTTGTTTGGGAATCCGCCATCTTGAGGCTCGAGCTCGACCAGTGGCGATATCCAGATATCGAGGTTGTTGGTGGTTTGCGCGTGGTCAAAAATCGAAACCGCGTCGCCGCCACCTCGGATTTATAGAAGCGCAGGTGACTCAGTTCGATCCGTCGGAATCGGCGCGGGCTGCTTCCCCAAACAACACAAACCATTCATCCGCCCTCGCCGTTGTGCCGATTGATGACGTTCGCGAGTGCGTAGCTCGATTTCGATTTCTGTACTTTGTAATTGTGTATCCTGGATCGCGGATCGTGGCAAGGACACGCTGGACTCTTCATTCGTTACGGAAGGGATCGTTGGCTTTGGTAAAGCTTCGAGGGGCTCGCATGATGGTGGACCGCGCGCAAGCGACAAATACCAACAGGGTCAGAAAACGGAAGGCTGAGAGTCAAGACAACAATGAACGCCTTTCCAAACGGCTGAGCTTGCTCAATCTTGGTTTGTACCCTTCAATTGCTCTGGCATTTTATTTTTAAAGCTATTCCAGCTGATCAATTCACAGACCGATCCGGCAATGAGCTCTATATACCAGTGGAACGACGCCCCATAACCTCCACCTCCGCCTCTCCCTCAGCCTCCACCTCTACCACGAAGCCGAAACCCCGAATACATGAGCCCGATTCCGATGTAATGCCATTAGACGATACGAAGCATAAAGTCTACATCTACGATCTCGATGCCGAATTGTCCGATAGCAGCGAGTCAGACGATAATAAAGTTGCCTTCCTCCCGGATATTGAAAAACATATCCGGGAATGGCGGATTCCACCCGCAGTACTAGCAAATGGTGGCGGGCAATCAGCATTGAACAATCAACTAGTCCTGTACAATATCCCACGATCGCTGAGTATACCTGAAGAGCAAGACACTGTCAGGAAGGCCATCATTGAAGCTAGAGCCAGGGCACGCGCAAAGCAAAACCAGAAACCGGTCGAAGTAGAAAGCTCTCAGCCGGCTAGTACTCCTGGAAATAGAAGTGTTAATAATACCAATTGGTATCGCCCGGTTGTTAAGAACCCACCCGCGGCGCCGATAGATACGGAAGTAATGGACGAGGAACCAATTGTTCCATCCACCGAAGCGATAATCGAAGACCCAGACGCAATGGACCTGGGCTAAGCAATACTTCACATATATTTTGATATTTGACTAGGGGCGGCATAATAGAGATCAAATTCTTCCCAGCTTCTTGTGTTGTTAATTGTGTCTATTCCTGATAGTACATTGGTTGTCAACGTTCGCTTGCTGTCCCGGAAACAAAATCCTCCATTACTCCCATACGTCATCTATTACAACGGCGTTTTTATCCCAAACTCCAAGCTAAATATCCGCGGGCTAAGGTCATTGTCTATATGGATTGTTGCTCACAGTGCTCGAGCCCGTGTGATTTGCGTGTACCGCTGCTGGTGGCGGCCCGGGAGGAGGCTCATATTGCGGAGCCGGATCCGCATTGTCGGCCGGTCTGTGAATGGGTTCCGGTCCCCCTTGCGATGGATCAACCTTTGACCCTCCAGCAGGAGGTTGATATACTGGTGGCCTCTGCGAACTTGGATCGTACATTGGTGGTGGTACGTGGTTCATGCCGTAATGGCCACCTTGTGGGGCATGATAGTAGACGGAGGGGTTTTGGTACGCAGGGTCATATCTCGCTCGCTGCTGTCGATTCAGAAGCCACTGTCGACTGTTAGCCATCGGCACTCCTACCAAGCGGTTTTGGAAAATCGTACTCTGTGGTATCCCAGAGGCTTCAGGCCTTTATTGATCCTCCGCTTCGCATGCCAATATCCGCCTGCCATGAACGCGATGATCAGGAAAAAGATGCCGAGTAAAACCGACCATCTGACGATTTGCCCAGTCTGCGAGTCTATCAGTAACGGTATACAAAAAAACTGGTTCGGGCGGATTTCCTACCCTCGTCCACCAAAACGACGGATTATCGTCGACAAAAAATAAATCCCCGCCGTTCCCTTGAACCACGGCCTGGCGTGAATATATGCCCGGCATATTGCAAAGTTGTTGATGCGAGCGATCAGACTTCGAGCCCTTTTTGCCGTCTCTGCGCTCCCTTCCCTTGGGAAACAAGCAAATACAGCAAGCACTCTGCCGCTAAACAAAAGTCTATGATAGCGATCTAATAAAATAAAAATTAATCTGAGAAGAATAGAAAAATAGCCAAGAGATTGGTTTGTGCTTAATGAAATAAAGGTAGCAAGTGTTGTAAAAGGTTCCAAGAAATCAAATCTAGAGTCTAGAGTCGAGAGAGGGCTGGGTCTGGAGTGAATGTGGTGGTGGTGACGCAAGAATACGGAGACAGCCTGCTACAATGTGGTTTCAAGAGTGTCAAAGACTGTGTCAGAAGTTTGAGAGAATTATTCGTCAGCGATGCGTCACGCCCACTTTGTAGCCCGGGAAAATGGAATCAATAAATCGACTTTAAGACGATTGGAATGTATTGCAATGTTTTCTTTTGTATTCGGAATGTCTGGGCAAGACCAATTGCGCTTCTGGTATGGAACAGTTCAGATATGTTTATTACTTTATGGACCAGCATAGGACACGGTCCCCTTTTCCTTATCTGTTATCGTGTCCTGTAATCACGTGGATATACCGCCTATGCTGCAAGGAACAGGGAAACGTTTCAAGGATCAAAGGGGGGTCAAATTGATAATACTCGGGCGGCTAGCAAATATAAATAGGTATGAAGTAGGTGCTAGGAATAGCAACACAGTACGAACAATCCAAGTGGCAAAACAAATTTGAATGATACGTTATGATATTACTATATATTATAGGTCCTACCCATCTATCGGACATCTGAACTCCCTGCCGTCAAGCGCGGCAGCAGTCCTATGATCCTCAACCTGCAATTCCTCCAAACAGACCTGGTGGTAAATATGTCTACAAGCCAACACCACCAGCGGGCCTAGGTCTCGCTGCTCTCTCTCTTTGCTCTGCTGTAGCATCTGGCCATAGTCATCCGTGCCATCACCCGCCACATCAGTAGCTTTTCCCTTCCCCTTCGATGCCGATAGTGACATGTCAACTGTGCTAGCCTTGCTAGTATTCCTGATATGCGCCCTGCCCTTCCCGCGCTCAGCTTGGCCACCCGCAAGTTCAACCCTCCTTTCCTTCCTCATCTTCGCCTCTCTTGTTTGCCGCTCTTCCCATTTCGCAAACACATCGCCCGAGACACCGGGACCCCATACCCGCCGGGTACAGCCCTCGCATGTCGAGCCTCGAGGTCTCCACCCCCGCTGCCGGAGCACAGTTGCGGATTTCACGTTAACGAAGAGGTTCTTCTCGAGCAGGCGGTTTGCAAGACTCAGGATACTTTCCTCGTAGGCGTATGCAGAAAATATTGAAGATAGAACTGCGCGGAGATCGCTAAGGCTGGGGGATGAGACGGAGGCGCGGGTTAGAAATGCGCGGAGAATGCGTAGAAATGAGAGGTTGGCTCCTGATGGTGAGGGTGATGAGGTTGAAGTTAGCAGAGCGGTGAAACAGCGCTGGACGAGTGTCCGTAACTGGAAGATTAATTTTTCTTGATCAAAGTCTGGTGACTGAGAGTGCTCAAGATCTGAAAGGCTTGCGGAGAGTTTGCGAGTGATCTGCACGGTGACATCAATGAGATCCAGCCAGAGGATTTCATCAGGGAGGAGCTCATTCTTCGGGGGAGGTCTCTTTCGAATAGGCGATGTGAGAGATTGCAAGGGTTGAGGGGTTTCTTGGCTTCGACAAAGCCAAATGCCAACATTCGTATACTTTTTCAAAGCATCTAGTAGATCCTGCGCCGCTTCTGAAACTGGGATCGACTGCATATCTTCATCCGAGCCGCTCAAGAGACCGAGGAGGGTACCTTCGAGTTTCTCCAAATGTTTGATTAGACGGTCCATCGCAGCTCGTAATTGGCCATCTCGAGCCATCAAAACCACTGCAGCATCAACGACGCCGCTTTCCTCCATATAAGGCAAGACTTTCTCGAGCCGTAAATCGCTTGCCTGGACTAAACCTATGTACTCAGCAACATGACCAGATGCAAATTTGCACATTAATTGAACGTAGCGCTCTGTGAATGCCGCATGCCCTAGAGGCTGAGGCTCTTCAGCATCCTTGACTGGGGGCTCGATGATGGTATGTAGGTAGGTATACTCCAACTCGGAGTCATCCGGCAACGAGTCAAGGAACTTTCGATGAAGTTCAGGCGCATAGTCATCGATAATTTGGGCCGTTTTGACGGCATCGAGATGGACAAGATCGCTTGCATGGGATTCGATCACTTCATGGACATCTCGAGTTTGTCGTTTTGTCAGCCCCGAGCGTGGTCGTAAGCAGTCAGATATGCAGTCAAACACTGCCAGCTGATCTTCCGGGTCATCAAAGTAAGTCTGGATCAGCTTGTTGTACTGCCGGTCCGCTTTGTAGATACTCTTGAGAACTCGATAGAATTCGGCTTTTTCGAACAGAGGAAGTAGACTGCCTATGTCTGGGGGGTGATATACCGATAATAGATATTCAGCGCTCAACTGGGCATCGTCGGCCAAGTCCTCGCCAGGATAGTTGCAGAGACCCGTTAAAACCTTGTGCAACGCGGTTCCGGAGAGCAATAGATATTGAGGGAATTTGGGGAGATTGCGGGCGATGAACATGTCAAGGTAGATAGTATCCTCAGGAGCGAATTCGTTCGGGTTCATAACTTCCAATAGAATGGTGACAATATACTGCCTATTGACCGAGAGGCCAAAGACGTGTTCCTCCGACATGTTACGGCTAGAGCCACCATTGATCGCGTGATCAGGGGTATCATTGAGAAAAGGGTCCTCGAATGCCTCATTCAACGCACTCAAAAAACTCGGTGCGTCGAACTTAAGAATCATTCTCAGATACGGGAACGATGGCTCATGCTCCTGTGATGGTTGCGTCAAGAACGGCTTCCCTCCGTTCTTCGGCCAGGTAATTGTCCGTCCCGAGAAGATAAACCAATAAAGTTCGGCTTTGGCCGTCATAGCTTCGTGATCCCCAAGGGCATCACCAGTCGGATACACTCGACCAGTCCAGGTATAAGACAGGCATGGGAACATCTTCAAAGCATTGACCCCAAAAATCGGATCCTCCATAACATTTCCATTTGCGGCATGATCTCCATTTTGAACGAGGGGTATCAGCAGCTTCAACAAGTCTATCATAGGGGTTATGTAGTCGTTGAGCGCTTGGCTCCAGACATAAATGAGGGCATCATATAAGTTGTGCTGCTTGCAAAGCGTGGTTACCTGGTCGATGTCAAGGGTTGCAGTGTCCATATGACATATCATTTCTTCCAAACGACCTTCCAAGCCCTTGGTCACGAAATGAGTGACCATAGTTTTGACTACCGTCGGTGGAATCGTAGTAATTTGTCTCTCCAAAATATGAGGCTCCAGCGTCTCAAGGAATATTCCTTCCATATCTGCATCTTCATACCACTCATATGCCTCATCAAACAGGAAGTCAATATCTCCAATTCCAAGGCACGCTTCGAAGCAAGCTTCAGCCAAGTCTCTGAGGTTATTCACTTGCGCTTCTTCTGTCTGCTTTAGACGTTGGCTGAACGCAAACTTCAAAGATGCTGTCATGATTTCGACCAGTTTGTCCTGCACCATCGAATGGCGGAGGCCAGTGTCTTCCGGGAGGCCAATAGTAAGCTTATCAGCGTCTCCGGTATAGTAAGAAGTTGCAAGTTGAATAGCGCCGATATAATCGCCATCCTCCATCAACGATATCAACCGATCCGCCCAGTTTGATAATGACCCAATTGAAACATCGTTAAAGCCAAGCAGGAACATTCGGCCCTTGTATGCCTTGAAGCTCATGTAAAAAGCATCCGCAACAACGCCATGCATTGACGGATCCTCTTCATCAAGCTGTTCCACGAGATTATGGAGCTGTTTAGAGAATATATCTTCGTGATAAATATGTTTGTGCACCAAATCAAAAGCCTCCGTCATCCGCATACTACCATCTTCAAGGATTATCAACCGCTGGGTGATGGTCAAAACAGCCAACACGGATCGACTGAGCCATTGGACAGCAACAATCGCCTCCTCGGCTTTCCATCGACTGCGGGGCCTGAAAGACAGATTTGAAGGCTTATCCTTGTCGGGAGATTCCATCTCATCAACATCCAAGACAGTCAACACATTTGACCAGCAATATACCAGCTTGACTTTGGATATTTCACTGCCCGTCTTCGGATCCTTAACTTTTAGCTTAACCGCGGGGAACCATGCAAGACATCCGCTCATAGCGCTATGAGCAACAACCTCCTTCGGTCTCGCAGCTTTGTGCTGTGTCTGCGCTATTGGGGTCGTGGATACAATCACTAACAGATACGGGGTAAGCATAGCTGTAAGCCCCAAAGTATCCGTTCCACGCTCGACATTTCCCAACGGAAGGGGCGCAAAAGCAAGAACGGTGCTTGGTTTCCTCGGCTTTCCAGACGTCGAGACATCATTAGGATACCGTCCTAATATCCTTGTTGTCTTGACAGAACGCCCAACAGCACCCATTCCTCGAGTAGCAAGATGGGAAAATGCCATTCCACGGTCATCGGCAGAAACAAGCGCTGTATGTCGAGTTCCCAGGAACCCCAGGTGCCTAAGAGCAACACCTGGAACATGGCCATCAAGAGTCCGATTAACCATTTGCGAAGGCTGGAGACTTGGGATATGCAGAAAGGGGCGTGCTGCCTTTGCTGTTTCCCAGGTGAAAATGCTGCCATTTGCATGGCCTCCAGCAACAATTAAATGATCCGCCGATATCGCAATCGACGTAATAGCACCAGATTCCACAGCTATAACCATCAGCATTACACCGCTACAGGGGACGCTGAAAGCCTACCCTTGGTGCCCGGTCCTATAATGGACTTGAGATTCTGATGATAGTCAAAGATTAAAATTATTCCCTTCGAAGTGCCCAAAACTATCGACGCAGAGACTTGTATACACGTCGGGACGCCAAAGCTGCGCTTCCCAACTTCTGAAAACGCCTGTCCGTTCAGCTTCTTGAGCTTCGTCCATCGGACCACCTCCCACGGCGGCGAAGGCGTCTCGATATCCCCGGATTCGGAGGGTAGCTGGCTACTGAGGGAACTCTGGCGTCCAAAGCCTTTCAGATATGCGGGGGTCGGAGACGCGGGGCGTGGTATGGAAAACGTGGAGCTTGACAGTCGGGACTGGAATCGGCGGTCGAATGGCCGGAACGATGGAGTTGGGCTTCCCAAACCCTGTCTTGATGCCACTGAAGGCAATATACTACTTCCGCCAGGAGAAGATAGGATGGATCCCTATAATACAAGTTAGGAAGGTCCTATAGTAGAATGGCATGTGCAGCGTACCTGAACTGAAGGGGAGTCGTCTGGTATGGACATGACAGATTCTATAGGGCTCTCAGGCCGCCGAGGAAGAGTATCCTCAGACCCATCTTGGGAATCACTCTCTATATCCCGGGTAGCTCTATAGCGATTGGTGCCATTGCCCACCGGCTGTGGTGTTGAAGCACCTTCTCGCTCCTCCTGTAATAACTCCACAATGCGCCCCTGACTCTCCTCTCCTTCATTCTCACTCTCTCCCTGAGTTACGCGATCTTGGCCCCTGCCTGCCACATCTCCATCGACGGTATCTTCCTCCACGCCGCTATCGCTTTCTGCAGAAGAGGAGCTCATGGAGAATAGTTCATGGTTCTGCCGTTTCGTTCAGGTCGCTGCACTGAAGTCGGCGAGTTCATGGAAAGGCGGGGTCTTAACACAACATCAAGATGGGAAGGAAGTCGGTGGAGGGATTCGAGGAATTGGTAGGGTTTGTAGCAACTCGCCGCAGCTGAGGCAGCTTCGAAGTGATCGTTGATAGCAGATGCTGGCTTGGGGTCTTGGCCTAATAGAGGAGTCGCTTACTGTACCTATGTAGTACAATCGGCGCATCCAATGTTTAATAGAGTCAAAGTGCAAGCTTTCAGATCCCACTTTTGGAAATCCCCAGGCCTAATAATGAATGTGTAACTGGCAGTATAGTGGTTTTGTAAGTGACGAAGGCAGACTCGGCTGGTGTTACAGGAAACGGCACAGGCAAGCACAGCCGGATCCAACAGCTTGACGCGAATCCTGGATGCAGCACGAACGTAACTTGCAGGGAGCTCCAATCTATTTCTATTTTGGTTTAAACCTCCAACCCACCCAACACTACTCTCATAAACAAGCACAACACCATCCATCATGTCTTCCGTAGGACCCCAATTGCCCGCGCACCTCGCAAAACGTAAACGCTCTATCGACGACAATGCTGAAGATTCAAGTTCTCCACCGCACAAGATCCAAGCCGCCTCCGCGCATCAGGAGAAAGAGAAACGAATCCTAGGCCCTGCCCCTCCACCAACGACCTCAAACCCCGACGCTTTGGATATAGACAGTGACCCAGAAGAAGATTACGGCCCGTCTGTACCATCCAAACCCTCTGCTACAAGCCCTCCCAAAAGAGTAGTAGGGCCATCATTACCACCAACGAAGAATCCAGACGAGTTAGACGTAGATGGCGACTCCTCAGACGATGGCTATGGCCCAGCCTTATCGAATCCAAAACCAACAACATCCAAATCTTCCAGCACACCTCCCAAAAGAAGAGTCCTAGGCCCAGCACCACCCCCAGCGCCCCTCTCCGAAATGCCCTCTCACTCCGCAAATGCAGACGAATCCTCAGACTCAGACTCGGAAGACGACTACGGGCCTTCCCTCCCACCAGCACCAGGCTCCGCCGCCGCAGCAAAACTGCAATACGAGCAAGAGCAAGAGCAGCAGCAAGAACGCCTCCAAGCCTCCCAGCCAACCAAGCCGCAACGCGACGAATGGATGATTCTCCCGCCCACGGACTCAGACCGGTCCTCGCGAGTCGACCCCACGAACCTCAAAAACCGTAAATTCGCGTCAGGGAAGAGCGCCAAAAGCGCCGCCGCAGCAGCCGGGGGGATCAGCTCCATGTGGACGGAGACGCCTGAGGAGAAGCGGAAGCGGTTAGAGGATGAGGTTCTGGGACGTGTGGAGCCATCGTTGAATTCCACGGGCGGGGCGAAGACGGGCAGGATGGAGAGTAAGGAGGATGAGGAGACGGCGAGGAGGATTAGGGAGTACAATGAGAGGAATCGGGGGAAGAGTTTGGCGGACCAGAGGCAGAAGGATGGTGGGCAGAAGGAGGAGGAGGATGATCCGAGTAAGAGGGGGTTTGATAGGGAGAAGGATATGGCGCTTGGGGGCAGGGTGGGGCATGTTCAAAAGAGGGAGATGTTGGCGAAGGCGTCGGATTTTGGGAGTAGGTTTCAGAAGGGACGGTACTTGTAGTTATGGGAGGTGGGTTAAGGCTTGAACGTGCTTGCCAGTTGCATATATGTCGTAGATGGGCCTTTTAACGGCGGTAGAAGTCAAGAAGAACATAACATCAGACATGTTTACAAATCTCGAATAGGTTCTTTATAGAATAGTAGCAGCATAAGCTACTGAATCTCTATTTCATAACCTTCAGCATATCCGCTAGATCCCGGTGGTCCTAATCCGGCGGTCCACATACACATCACCGGTATGTGCTTCTCTTTGGCGTCCATGCTCGCACATCCAGTTTTTCCTTCCATTCCATGTCCATGTCCATGTCCTTGACTACTCTCTTTCCTGGAAACGCAGAGTAATCATTTCCCCCAGAGGCACCTCCGCAACTAGTTGCGGGTTATGTCGATATCATCTAACCGACAAACGCAAATAAAAAAACCCCAGGCAATCGCTAAAACGCCAAATAAACTAACAAGAACAATGCATGGTGAGTTGGAAAATCGTAAGCTGCAGGTCAACTGGTCGTGTACGTATATGACGAGGGTTTGTACAGGGTGTGGGTGTAGGTTGGCGAGGATATTGGAGCGGGGAGTAATTTAGGGGTATCTCAAATGGTGGTTGTGATATAGCGGTGTCTCATTAACACCGCAAACAGAAGAGCATCAGATTGAAAGATAATTCCCTGTTCATCGAACAATACCAGCTTCAAGCTGCGACGGCGATGGCTCTGCCGTAGGATTCTGCTCCGCTTGACCAGCCTGTTGCCGATTTCGACCCGGCACACGGAGGGCAGCAGGCATTCTCATTCCGCCAAATGGATTGGTGAATCTAGGTCTCCAGGGTCCCGAGGAGGTGGTATCAACATTCTCGGCCGCTGTGTTTTCAGGGGCTGCAGTACCGGATTGGCCCTGTGCTGCAGCATGTCTGCGAGATCGTCGTCCTCGACGGCTCTGGCTCTCATCATAGCCAGGTTGGTCCGGATATACTTGAGATCCGAAGCGAGATGGGAATATCAGACGAGGGTTGCCTCGAATTCCGATCCAAGAAGTAGTTGGCTGTTGGGGCATGTTCATTCTTTGATCTCTTCTCCTTTGCGCACGCGTTGTTTCGGCCGTCTCGCCCTCGGGGCGGGGCTTTGGCGTGAAGTAGTCGGCCTTGCAAAGGGGACAGCATGCACGGCGGCTTGTCAACCATGGATCCAAGCAACCAGCGTGGAAAGCATGGCCACACGTCAAGCCTCGGATATCGTCATCGTTTTCTAACGTGTCAATGCAAATGGCACACGAATCTCCGGGGTTGGTTAGGAGTTCTGGGGGTACGGCGGTATGGATGTGATCGTCTTCGTCGTCATCGTCCATCTCGCTCGCAACTATCGGGTGCTTGTCAACCGTGCTGGTAGTCGTGCGCACCTCTTCTAGGTTGTGAACTTCTTCCACCGGTTCTGGTTTTGGCTCCACGGGCTTCTCTTCGGTGGTAGCGGTCGTGACTCCAGCGGCTTTGATCTCGGAATTGGCCGTCGCCGGTCTCGTATTGATCGAGTGTTTGGTGTCCACCGGCGACGAGGGAACAACCCCATCCGCATCTCGTAAACTCCCCGCCCGACTCGACCGTGCCGTTACGCCGCCCGTTGCTGGCAGGCCTTCGCTGACACGGGACGCCACCCAATTCTTGTACTTGGTCAGCGGGAATCGGTCGTTGACCTCGTCCATCGTCATCAGCTTCTTTTCCCGCCGACGGCGATGCGGCCTTGGAGGCATGTTCTCCAGATTGATGGGGTCGACGTCTTCGCCGTTGCGGATCGCGCGGTTCCGGGCATTGTAGCGAAAGCAGTACTTGACGCCGACGATAATCCTTCACACCATGTTAGCTCAGGCACTGGGCAGCGATCCAACGGCCTCAATCCTCACCATAGATTCGTAAAAACGACGCCGAAGCCCAATGCGACGAAGAACAGCAAGGGTGAATTGGTTGGCCCGCCGCCGCCGCCGGTCGAGGCTGGTGATGGGGTCGGCGAGAGGGACGGCGATGGCGCCGACGACACCGTGGAAGACATTGGGAGTAGCTATAGGGTCGCCTCAGCGACAATGGGGGGATTGCAGGTAATTAGTTTCGATCCCGAAAAGTCGTTCCACGATGTGAAAGACGAACGATGCCGGGCTACTTGACAGCGGCAACCATGTCAGGATTGGAGGCGGTGGTGTTTTGCACGACGATCTGGATTGGGAGCGGGATGGCGGGTGTCGTGAACAACGGGAGGAATGAAACGGGAATGGGGAATGGATGGTTGCGGGGGGACGAGACTGGGCGAGAGGGCTGCGTTGACAGTTGGACGGTTAATAGACGGTTGGGGGGGTGCCGTTAGCTGCTGGGTGTCAGAGCTGGCGCTGGCGCTGGCACGACCACGGCTACCTTCAAGGCCGCTGGGAGAATCGGGCGAGGAGAGGCGCGGACGACATCCGGGTGCGGTTCGAGGGAGGAGCGGAAGAATGCGACAGGTTTCTTGTACTGTAGTATGTATAGAGACCGTGTAGTGTTTCGTGTTCCGTGTTTAAAAGAAGAGGAGGAGGAGTGGCGGAGGAATAGATGGTGGTGGTGGTGGTGGTGGTGGTGGTTTTGGTTGTGGAGGTTGGCGGTTGGCGGTTGGAGGTTGGAGGTTGGAGGTTGCAGGCGGAGGTTGGGTCGGGGTTGGGGTTGGGGGTGGATGTATTGTTATTATATGCACAGTATATTCCGCCGAGTGCTATGATACTGCGAGCGGTCGAACCGGATCAAGAGGTTCCAGAACAATAACAGCTTACTAGAAACGCCGAGAGAGGGAAGGTTCCTATATATTGCAGACGCAGAAGATGGTTCCAAAGACGCTCACGGACTCGGCCTCGGGGGGGGGCCAGTGCGTATATACCTTGGTAGATGCGAAGACTTCGTAGCTGGTTTGATACCTTACGGAGTAGATGGATAGTGCAAGTGATAGTGCTGCTGCTAGTGCAAGGTGCTCTTGGACACCACGATGTCCGCCACACGCAATGTGTGCACCAGTACCAGCAGGAGGATATGGGATATTGCCCTCGTCCTACGTAATGATCTCGCTCTAGAAGCCTATAAGTTCGCCCATCTCACCCATCTCACCCCCTCGGAACCCGGCCCCCGGCTTCGCCGAGCCCTTGACACTTGGGATCCGGATGCTGATAACCTTTTGTCGATGCGAATTATTCGATTATCAATTCAAGTCCAAGCCTCACCAAGAGCCCCAGGTCCCTTTGAGCCACGCACGATTACGCATTCACTCACCCTCTCCCACACATATCCGTCCCCGCTCCTCCACTCAGAGTCTCCTACAAACAGGGAGAACAGCACTCACTACTCGCACTAGCTGGTAACCCGCTGATCTCCCCATGCAGCGGTTCCTTTGTTCCCCCCGACCACGACTGACCTGATCCTCCCACAGAGTTGCAGACCAAAGCAGAGCCTGGTCCCAGCAAGGCCTTCCGTTGGTTTGCAAGCTGCAACAGCCGAAGCGCTATGAGCGAATGCCGAGCCGGTTGGCGGGCGCTGGACTCGTAGCGCTCGACGAAGTGCTGCAGTGGCACGAAGTATATGCAGTACTACCTCCTACACTGCTGCACTGCTGCAAAGCCATGACAGTGCAAATAGAGCAAGATCATAGCTGGATATTTTGTATTTTGTATTTTTAAAATGACACTCATAGTACGAGTAATAACGAAAGCGCCTATAGCCACGGCCACTACGTAAATACAGTTTCCTCGACTTGGTACTGAATCCTCCCGCAAATTAACCACTACATCATCCTCCCGATATACGACGGGCAAGCAATCAAGCTTTCTCTCCAGCCCACTCCCTCTGTACAGTAATAATTAATTGCCCTCGGGGCCAGAGCTGCGTCGTCTCTGCACTCTGCACAGTAATACAACTTCAAGCGTCCCCCATCCGACCTTAGCGGTCGATCGTCCACCGCTTGTCTCCAAACGAGGGCCGTTACTGTGCTATCTCCAATCTGCCGCCACACCTGCAGAGCCCATCACATCCCTCACCACACATCACAAGCACCACAGAGCCGTGATACCGTGATACCGTGACACGCAACGCCACGCCTTCCCTGAGCGACGTAATCGAACCCCTGGTCCCCTTTTTTATTTGACGACCTCTGCTAATGCCAAATCCCAATGTAGTCAAACCTCGTCGGCGTCATACCCCGTCCTTGTGCAACCTCGCTGAGCCTCTCTCTCTCTCTGCTCTCATAGCAAGACGCGGCTTTTGCCGATCACGCTCCTCCGTGGCTTCAGTTCCTGAAGAGTGCTGCTGATCATCCCACATCTGCGCCCATCGGCCAGAGAGCAGCCGAGGTCACCGAGACATAGAACAGACTTGGGAAATAGGGGGAGCAAACCAAAACAAAACACCAAACCGGGTCATACCAAGGGGCCGAATAGATACACACAATAATGGCGCCCACCCAACTCCCTGCATCGGGAAATCCCCTGTATGCCCCCCCTTTGGATACACCTTGTTCCAGATAGCAAGATCAAGATCGCCCTTTGCTAATCATTCACTACAGTGTCTTCTTCGATGTTACTCTCGGCGGTTAGTACAATGCTAGATTGTGGCCGTCAACATCCCTTTTCCTGCCCGTTCTGGCAATTTTCTCCAAATCACGTGATGCAAATCCACATCACTCACCCAAACCGTCGAACCCAACCCACTTCAGTATCGAAAGGCTAATAGTACCTATCCAGGAGAGCCACTTGGAAGGGTGAAATTCGAGCTTTTCGCGGATGTGGTTCCCAAAACCGCCGAGAACTTCCGCCAATTCTGCACGGGCGAGACGAAGAACCATCTCGGCCGGCCACAGGGATATAAAGGGAGCAAGTTTCACCGAGTTGTACGGAACGCCTCCTCGTCCCCCATCTATCGATATGATTGTTTACCCGCTCGAGATGTGCTAACCAACTGGTGTTTGTTTTGCAGATCAAGGATTTCATGTGTCAAGGCGGGGATTTCATCAACGGAGATGGCACGGGCTCGACGTGTATCTACGGAACGAAAACATTCCCAGATGAGAACTTCAACATCAAACACACGGAACCGGGTCTCCTCTCCATGGCTGTATGTTTATTTTTACTTTTCTCAATCGCCCCCCCCCCNCCCCCCCCACTCCCTCTATCAAAGGCTTCCCCCCTTTTCCCGCTACACACATCCTCACACAAAACAACAGAACGCAGGAGTCAACGGCAACGGCTCGCAATTCTTCATCACCACGGTCCCCACCCCTTTCCTCGACGGGAAACACGTCGTCTTCGGAAAAGTCGTCGACGGCATGGATGTCGTACGCAAGATGGAGAACACCAAGACGGGATATCGAGGGAAGGACGTGCCCAATCTAGACATGGTTATCAGCCAGTGCGGGGAGATGTAAATCCCCCACCACTGTACTGCCTCTCTCTATCAACTATTTCCTCCAAAAAAAAGCAAAAAACCCTAATCGGAGCCAAGCGCGTGATCATGAAAGATTAGGGAGAATGTCGCGAATCTCGAAACTGCCCCTCCGGCTGATCAAACGCCGGCCGGTTGTTAGCGAAACAGCGTCCACTAATACTTTCTAAAAATAAGGAAATTTCCTTAAACGGGTATTCCGGTGCGCAATTCCTATTATTGCTATGGTAAAGGTTTATTATCTATTTTCGCATGTTTCCATATAGAGTGAACGAGTGGGTTTTGGCTAACTCCTAATGCTGGAATGAGCCCGTGTTATCTGCAAACCCCTACTTTCTCCACAATCCCACATACTTTCAAACCAGTCATATGATTTTGTTTCCCTTGTAGAAGACACATGTGTAACATGCAGCTCTTGTATTACTATTTTTATTCTTCCAATACACAAATCTCCATCGCTCCACAATCACGAAGTACCCCTTGCTCAACCTTCTAAATCCACCCCCTTTCATCAGACCTACAACACAACTCTACAAGTATCTCTAGAAGTGCAAAATCCACCTACCTGCTCCAATCACCATATTTCAATCCCATCACTACTCCCTATCTATTCCCCTACAACTTGCGTTTTTACCGGAATATTTCCTTTACTAATTTCATATTTTTCCGCCCTGTCAAAATAGATTAAGGATAGCCAAAGTACTTTGTATTTGGTTGTTTTTTTCATTCAAGGGGCTGTTTACATACCGAGGAAGAGACCAGATAGGATTTATGGGGATGCTAAAAGTAAATGTGTCATTTAAGGGGATATATATACCAGGAGCAAGCAAGCAACTGTCTTTGAAAACTTGCCGCTTTTCATCATTCAATTTTTCTTTTTACGGGGTTACTGTGGAAAGCAGTCTGCTTGCTCCATACATTCCCCAAGGCCTTCTATGCTCTAGTTCAATATTTCCCCCAAACCGTGCCTTGATTTTCATTACATTGAACAATATCCTATCCCAAGAAAACGTAAGGCTTTTGCTCACGCCATAGTATTGAGGTGTTGCTGTTTTCAACCAACTTGATTGTTAGGTAAGATGGGGTATAGGGTTGGTCTATATTGTTTTTGAACTACCTACTTATGCATCGAAACTTGAATTTACACACGACAGGAGCACCTACAGCTTCCGTCCCTAGAATACATCATCTGAAAGGAATAAGGGATTCCATTCTATGGCTTCTATGGAAGTGCGTTATAGTTTCTAGTTCCTCAGTATGTGTGTTTCCGTAGGCTGGTTATTCAGGTCCTTTCAGAGAGGAAATACATCATTCCTTACTCCGTATAACAAGAGATACTAGTAGCTAAGTTTACTTGGAAAGAAAGATTCAAGATAGGTTGCAGTGTTACCTGCTATCCGTGACCAATTCATTCTTCGAACTAAGGTCAGGGCAAAGCAACCTAATCCTTCTCACCTTTGACATGGAAATGCTCCCGAGCTTCCTCAACAAGCCTTCTCGGAGCCCTAACACTAAACCTCGCCTCCTCGTTCTCCAACCAATAGTCATGTACCACACCTCTCACCTCCCCACTTCCAGTAACAGAAACCGTGCCCGCAATAATTCTTTCGAACAGCGTCCTTACTTCAAGAATCATATGCTCTGCATCTGCATCATACGTCAGGTGTCCGCACCCAGCTTTAACTCTCGGTATCGGGGTATGGGCAAACCCAGCCCCTCGCCGCAATTGCGCGTTCTGGTGTAGGACGAAGGAGAGGAGGAGATCTAGCGAGGACATGTATTGGATCCAATCCCCCCCTTCCTCGGGGAAGATGATGGCTCCTGGCGCGGCTAGAAACCCGGGGTCCTGGTTTTCATCATCTGGGAGTTCTGGGATTGGCGTGAGTCGCTTCCGCTCGTAGAAGGTATCGCCGACGTAGAGATGGTTTTCGTCGATATCATACCAGGCTAGTGAGTCGGGGGTGTGGCCTGGGATGTGGAGGAATTGGATACGAAAGGAGAAACCTGGGAGCGTGAAATACTCCATATGCTTTGCCCAGTGGGATATGGTGTATTCAGGGGTGGGGATGTTATTGTATTTGCACAGAGAGTTTCTTGGTAGGTCGTCTAGTATGAATGACTTGTCGAACTCGGAGGCGATGATAATTGGTTCTGTAGGTAAGAATTGGGAAATTCCGAGGATGTGGTCGTAATGGCAGTGAGAACAGATTATGATGTACTTCTTTTCTCCTTTTGGATTTAGAATGCTGTTTCCTTCGTTGGAGAGAGGGAAGGTCTCTATGTACTGTTGGAGTGAGATGATAGATCGTTTTGGAGATCGAGCGCAGTTGCAGCCCGTGTCCGTGATGACGAGGTGTTTGGGATAGCATTTCACGTATATGTACGGTTGCTCGCCATACTCGTCATCTTCAATGATGACGAAGGTCGAGCTGTTGATGCGCCTGCTAATGAAGCTTGTACTAGGGGAGGCATCCATGTTGTAGAATAATTATCCGCTCAAAATGAAGAGTTGGAATTCGGGCCTAACCTTGGATATCCATCAGCAAAGGTTCTTTTCGAGGCATTGAGTCCAAATTAAAGAACGTCGAATATTGAGAGACTGTGACATCAACTTTGACTGATAAGGAACAGAAGGATTTCCCCAGGGGAGGCAACCCTGAGATTAGCTCTAAGCTTATCTAGCATATTGCTGATGGCTATTCGGCTTTTGCTTGTAGCGTGACTCTGTAAGTGGAAGTGTACACGACCAAGAACCAAGACTTGGAAACCGAGTCCGATCTACGGCAGCTCTAAGCTTATCGCCATACGCTTAACTGCTGGCTGCAACATCAAGGATACATACGTGCCTCTTTTCTCTCTTGGAATCCGGGGTAAGTCGTCGCGATCAAGAACCCTGGGCTTTTGCACGGACTGCGGGGACCTAGGGAGCTTCAGGTTGATATACGAGCGGGGGATTTGCACAACTTCAAACGATCTGTGTAACGTCAAGGGTTATGGACGGCATAAAGCCAGTTCTTCGCAATGAGATGAAATATGATGTTCGTCCGTAGGTTGCTGACAGATGTGGTTTGCCGAGATCTATGATTCCAAAGAATGTAGTAAAAGTCACATGCTGGTGTGAGAGTGAAGATCCCTACGGACCCTACCCTCAATGATGGTTTGGACAAACACATTAAGGCGTTGCTATACCTTATTAAAATAGTTTGATTATCTTTGATTGTTTAGAGTTATTTCTATCATTTACCTCTAAGCAGACGAGATCCGAAACTGATCGACTTCTTATTGCGGGAAACATTATTTCCTGACTTAACCCCCGAAGGTCATCCTATTTAGGTTCACGATCTCAATATGCAATGATTTGAGTTTCCTGTGCCGTGCCAATTCGGAATCTGGCATTCCCGTGTCTTCTACCCATAAACCCATAAAGCTGTGTGGTACCTAATCAAGCTTGATGCTCTAGTTTGCCAGAGGTACCTATAGCGGCCAAAAGCCTCACCAGTCCCGACAAAGTGTGCCACCATTTATCTATTCAGCCTCTATTTCCAGACTTCTGGGTAGTAGGGGCATTGAGTGTTGTATTCAAAAGTGGGAGGAGGCTACACACGCTCGAACCCATTAATGGAGAGCGTTTATACCGTGGTGTACCCACGACGATCTGAAACAAGAAACATGCCGATGTTGCTTCTGCACAGAATCAAACTCCCTGTCGATTGTCTCGCATTGCGATAGCTCATGTGTTGGAAGCAGGGCACGGCCGAACGTTAATATCGCATGAACACCCGCGAATTTTCAAGTTCGGATGAATCATCATGAGATCTCTCTCAGAGCCTCTCTGGAGTCTATCTCTCCCGTGTCCACGAGGCCTGAGACAACTATCGCACACCCTTCGCCCACATAGGTACAGCGGCCTTGAGCCGTCCCAATTATCCAGAGTCGAGGCGGCGGGACAAGGTCCTTTCAACTCGGTCTGCTTGTCCATCACGCGTTGGTGGTCGCGGGCCTTGAGCTCTGTGTTTTCGGTGAAGGGCGGACAGTCGAGGAAATATATTCCTCGAAATTGGGTTGGTTCCCAGCACACTGGTCAGTCGCCGGTGACACGATTCAGAGTATTCTTCATACACGCGCTTGAACGGTACTCGTACGCGGCGAAAGGTATTCCTGGGCGTGGCTGTCGCGGATGTCGTTGAGACGCGCCACGCTCCGGCAGCGTCGTCCAATGGATGGCAGAGAGATGCCGTGCCTGGAACTCTGGATCGCGAGTACCGCAGTATCCCATCTCATCTTGGTAGATTGGACGGCTTTGACTCGTTGACGTTTGAAGTTGAGCGGCGGCTGCAGTTGCTGTTGCATGGTTGTGGCCCCGGGACGACGAGGTGGCTAAACCCCCAGCAAGGCGATCCGAAACCTGGAAATGCTCGCTAAGACCCCACGATAGGATGTCGATTGCCTACTCACTCGTCCTCATCTTCAAGTACAAAGACCCCGATGAGTCGACAACAGCATTCCAAGACAGAAGTTCTGTCTGTTGCACTGTTTGAGTCTGGCCATTTTTGTTTCAATGGCGGCCGGTGTGGTCTGTCTGCTTTTGTGCGATGTTTCTTGTTTTAATCAAAACTGTGGTGTATATCCTTTGAATTGATTGAGTCTTTGTTCCTTATTCACCCGCGTTGATTGCTTGCTATTGTCCGCCATCCTTCTACCTATTCAATCATGGAACAAGGCAATCACCGCCCTTAACAATACCATTGTTCTCAATAACATACATTCTATTCTCCAGCTGCGCTGGCTGGCTATTTCTATTGTTCACGCTGGACGTCTACTCTATTTAATAACTTTTGCTTATTTCCATCCTCTCCTTCCTCTCGACGACAAATACATATCCCCCAACTTCTACACTCGATAACATCACATTCACGCTATTCGAGAACACCCAAAAAGCACTCCACGATCGATACCTCTCTAGAGCACTTGCATATACTTGCAGGCGCGTCAGCAAAACCTACACCTGGAAAACGGAACATCATGAAGTTCCAACTCAACCCCAAGGCAGGCCTCGCAGCACTCGTGCTGCTGGCTTGCGCATCAATCACCGAAGCCCATACGTGGACAGAGCAGCTTCGCCTCATCGCATCGAACGGTACCTTCGTCGGCGCACCGGGCTACCAACGGGGCTATTCCCCAAGAAAGGCCGGCGTTGATACAAATAAAGATATGGTCTACGAACTCAACGGCCAAAATATCCCCAAGACATCTCCGATGTGCAAGGCCAGTCAAAAGATCGGAAATCAGACACCAGGATTCGACATGCTCAAGGCAGCACCCCAAGACTTCATCGCCATACAGTACGAAGAGAATGGGCACGTTACCTTGACCAATGATGGCCTTCCAAAGGGCACACAACCACAACCAACAAGACCCGCAGGAAATGGAACCGTATTTGTGTACGGTACAAAGCAACCATCGAATGACGATACTTACTTCGGCATCCACAGAGTCTGGAACGCAGACGGAACCGGAGGTGACAAGCGTGGCAAGCTCCTCGCAACTCGCTATTTCGATGACGGCCAGTGCTACCAAAGCAACAACGATGCTTACTCCGCTTTCCGAAAATCAAAGAGCCCCGAAGATGGCGAGGTACTCTGCCAAACCGATGTTCAGCTTCCCGCCGACGCCGGAACCACTGGCACGTACACTCTCTACTGGGTCTGGGAATTCCCAAGTCTGGATCCAAAGACCGGCTCCATCATCACTCCCGAGGATTACACGGCTTGCATTGACATCAGCATGACCTCCAATCCCGTCCCAGCAGCCGGTGCCTTCGTCGCCAAGCAAGACATCAAGTCCAAGGCCATCGAAGCCCAACTCAAAACTTCCTTCTTGGTAGATCCATCAGCCGTTCCCGTTCTCCAAGCTGCCGCCAAACCTTTCTCAGGCGAAGCACCTTCATCTGGACCAAACGGAAGCGCCGCTTCAACACCTACTGTGACCGGAACTGCCAAACCTAAGCAATCCTCCGGCGGTCAAAAGCCCAACGGGGCCGCTCCAAGCGCCGCCGGCGCTGACAACATCGTCACAGTCACAGTCACCAAGACCGTTGACCGCTCTACCGCCCCAACCAGCGCCCCCCAAACGCAACAGCCAAAACTAAGCATAAACGAAAGCGCAGCTACATCATCTAAGGCCACTGGCACCAACCAAGCCAAGCCAGGCATCACCGGCGTGCCAGTCGTCCAACCCTTCCTGCCAGGACGCAGACAAGCTCGAGCATTTTCCGCATGATTTGATACCTGGAAAACAACATGGTTGGCGTTAAGGAATAGGATGGCGTTAGGAATTAGGATGGTGGGGCATACGGGCATAAGGGGAAATTAGATTGATACCAGGCAACATAAGAGGCGTTCCAATTTGATTTATGCTTGCTGGCTGTCCTTGCTTATAACACAATATAGCGCGTGGTTTATGCTGCTAAATAAAATGAAAATAAAAACACTGAAGTTTCTCTTGCAAATGGTGAATAAATGAAAAATAATAGCTTAGTAACAAAGCATGCTACCGGGGCAGTTCTCTAGATATAAATAGTAACTCGAAGTCCCTAGGAGAACCGAGTAATATAAAAAATAAGGGTCGCGTACGACGTTCTGGTAAGCATATGCACATAAACGGCGGGTATATGACCCAGCATCTTCCAAAAGCAATTCATAATTTCATATTTAACCTATATAACCCACAAATCAAGACAGCAGGGTATTTAAATTTCACCGACCAAAGTATCTCTTTTCAAAAGGCCGAAGTATACAGTATGAGACCGCAGCGAAGGAGAAACCAAGTTCGAAACCTACATCACCTCCGAAGTCGCCTCCACAGAGCTTGCCGATGGGGCCGGTGAACCACTAAAGATTTCAGAATTAGCACGTCAGATTCGGAAAAGCCCAAAGATGGGTGGGGAAGGGGGGCTGAGAGGGTGGGGCAAAGCATACCACTTGAGCCATCCCGAGTACGGCACCCATCGCGCCAATACAGAAAGCAAGGATAGCAGCGAACCCAGGAGGGAGTTTGCTCGCATCCTCATAATCCTGAGGCCTATAACCACTGAATCCGCGCTTGAAGAAGATATGCTCGGAGAGAGAAATCCCTTCATAAATGGATAGCCAGTACCCGATGACCAACATGAAATTCTCAAGCACGGATTCGAAATGGCCATAACCTGGGATTGCAATTGCTACGTATACGACTGTGCCAATAAGTGTCCAGAGGAACCGAGGGATGTGCTGGGTCGATTGAGCAAACATTTGAACCGTGAGCGATACGGAGTAGATGTTGGGGCAGTTGTTGGCGATGATGGAGAGTGCTAGGATGACTAGACAGAATTCGCCGAATCGACCAAGGGGAGGGATAATAACAGCGCCGAGAAGACCGCCTATTCCTGACGAATCATAGCCATCCTTGTATGCATTACTTCCATCGTCAATTGACATGGCTGTGGCAACTGCGGCGCCAAGCATTTGGGTGAAAACAAGGGGTATTGAGAGTCCTGCGAATGTCCAAAGGAAGATGGATCTGCGGGAGCGACCAACAGGTTGATACACGGTGTAATCGGCAGCATAAGACGTCCATCCGGTGGCAAAGCCATATACAGATGCAGCGAACGAAAGAGCAGATCCAGCTTCAGACTTTCCCACCCCCATGGGAATATTCCGGAAGCTCCCAGAGTGTGCAAACTCCCCTAAGACTATCAGGAAGATGATGAAGCAAGGAATCCAAGAGTATCGCTCGTATGTGTGGACAATCTTATAACCGAAAAGAGTGATAACGAGTGTTGCAACAGCAATCACTAGGATACCAGCCCACCCAGGCATATCTTCGTTGACTGCATTGAAAAGCTGCGCGCCAACAATGACATTTACAGCAGACCAACCAACACAAGCTAGGATGTTGAACAGGGCAACTTCTCCAAGTCAGAGGTCGGTTTCCTTTCTGCATTCGGGGTTGACTCACTGAGCTTCACACCATGATATCCAAACCAGAAACGGCTCAACACCATCTGTCTTAATCCAAATCGAGGGCCAAAAGTTGAGAAGAAACAGATTGGAGTTATTCCTAAGAGGTTGACGAAGAAGATGACCAGTATCGTATCAATGAATCCAAGATTAAAGATCGGATATGCGAGCGCCCCGATGGCAAAAGACGAGACGACCATATTTGCGCTTAGCCACTATAAGATGCAATTAATCGGCATTGTTCTCATCTCAAGATCCAAGAGGCATACCAGCGTTCCAAACTGGGTCATGCTAGAATCTGTACGCTCATCACTGGGCACACGCTCAATACCCCGCTGCTCAACACCGAGTTTTCCTGCGAATCTTTGCGCCTTCGCGTACCAAGATTCTCCCACAACGAAGGCCTCTGCGTGGACAGCGCCGTCATCAGGGATATATTCGCCGCTGTCATTCTCGTATGTCGGCTTCTCGGATGGCAGCGCCTCGACGTCTTCGATTGCGTGGTTTTTTGAAAAAGGACCCATTTCGAGGATTTGGGAAGTCTTATTGTGGGGATATACTGCTTGGGACTTTCTCGAGTATTAGAGCAAAAGACTTCACGACACCATTGTGCTCTTTTCCAAAGGCAGCTGCTGAAGGTTGACTGTAGATGTCCGCCCTCATCAAGTCCAGAATCATGGGTGGACGACACCGAGGTATTATATTCACGATAGGCCTCAAGCGGCAAAAGAACAACAGGGATAATTGACAAGGAAGATTTATAGCAAAAGGAGGGGCGGCTTGCGACCGCAGCGGACTGCGGACGAAAACGGTTTGGCTGTGGATTCACCCGCAAGACCGTCGTTACCTAGTGGTCGGGTACATCGGGTTGAGATATCTGTTAGTGGATGATAAGTACCTGATAAGCACTGGCTGGTTGAACTTGGTCAGAAGAAGCTAGAAAAAGCGCAGAATTTCTCGGTCGCAAGATTGGAACACTGGAGCAGCACTTGCGCTCGCTACTCATGCGATAATGAAAGCGTTGTTGCCAAGACAAATCGGCCGTGTAATGAATGAGGTTTTTATATAATAATGAACAAGACTTCGTTAATGTAGCTGGTGTAGGAGGGAAATGTCCTTCCGTCTGCTCGCGGGGGTGGCGATATGCTTGAACCGGAGGCAGCTCTGTGGACGCCCCAAGGAGGGTAGCTCCTGAAACGCTCTAGAGGGACTGGAGGATCTAACGATTCCTCATCTCTCATTGCTCGGTGAATCTGCTCGTGCTGCTTTCCGGCTTGCTTCTAGCAGTCGCAAACCCCCTATCGGTAGGCACAATGTGCTGTATTCGGCATCGCGGTATTTGAGGCCGGAGCTCGTATCTCGTGTCGAGCTGATCTCGAGATAAGGAATGCCCTAATCCACTGATGGAATTGAGCTTGTTCGGCGTCGTTTTAGTCATCGCCAGGGGATATACCCCATGATAGTTAGTGCCAGTTGTTTGTTTGGCATTCTGATACTTCGTACGAAGTAGTGACGTTCGATAAGGTTGATGACAAGCCAATAGCCAAGGTAGTTGGTGAGACCTCTCCCCTGTACGTGATCTCGCTTCTTGTTGATTGCCAAGTGCTCTCTTACAACAACCAAGAACGTCAGAAGCTTATCCTTTCGTCGGCATTGGTTGGGTACTTCGTAATAAATAAACAATGTTATCGCCTGTATAGGCCGGCTCCTATCTCCAGCTCAATCTCACTCGGGATCGCCCGGTCGAGGAGGTTACGAAAGGGGAATCGTATGAATATTCGTCGTCTCTTACTGTCACTGTCACCACGAGATAGGACTTTAATCTTCCTATGTGAAATATGGTTTGTCCTAAGATAAGGATACTTCGTCCCCTAGCCTCGGGAATCAGCGTCAAAGCCAAAGACGGCTTACTTCGTTAATACTACTATCAAATAATCCGCGCTAGAGATGGGGAGATTCCACGGATACATGGCGTTAAATTACACTTAGGAACAATGATAACACTAGTGGAAATTGCATACGATTACACAAATCCCATAGCCATGCATTGATGATTACGCTAAAAGTAAAAAGCACCTAGAATACACTGTATTATTGGAAGGGTTTCGCTGCTTTGCCTCGTCCATCATGTCGTATCTCATCAGCAGACAAATACCATTCTAGCATATAAAATAGGGGCGTCCTATGCTACGCGCTCTCATGGCACCTGGGTACTACATAAACTGGAAGAGTTCAGTTGCTTGGGTTTCAAGTGGCAGAACTAGTCCGGATTATGCAGTACTTATCTGCCAACACGGATGACTCCAGCGGCGACGAGCTGCGATAGTTAGAACGTGTGTTTTTAAGAATGGGGATGTGTTGGGATATACCTTTTGAATCTTTGCCCGGATACCGGGGTTCTTCATATGTTCTTGGAGCGCAGCTGGGTCTGACTGTGCTTGTTGGAGGATACTCTGCATGATAGGGTCTTGCATGATGCCCAAGATCTGAATTGAGTTAGTCAGATGCTGTCACTCATCAAACTGTAAATTATTTGCTTACCTCAGGATCCCTCTGAATTCTCTCCTTCGTCTGCTCCTCGGTCTCATTCTCTCTCGCAGCATACATAGCGGACAACGCCTTCTGCTGCAGCTGCTCAATCTCCCTCGCATGAGCCTTCGTCTCATCGACTTCGGCAGCTTCCGTGCAAGCATCTAGAGACTTCGAGTAATCTCTCATGCCCAAGTACGCCTGCGCCTTGCGGATATACGCGCGGATAAACTTAGGATCCTTCTTGATCGCCAAGTTACAATCCTCAATGGCGCTTGGGAATTCGAGAAGCTTGATGAATGCAGCAGCGCGATTGCTGTAGCCTCTAGGGTCTTCAGGAGCTCGTTTGGTCATCTCACTATACGCTTCCACGGCACCAGGCCAGTCCGAGTCCTTGAATCTGGCATTGCCCAACTCACGAGCCTCCTCGGCCTTCTCTGGGCTGATGTATGCCTCTCTTGCGCTGTCGATCTTGAACTTCTCAGCTGCGCGGAGCTTGTTGACAAGGTCAGGGGTACGGTGCTCCGTGAGCGCCTTCTTGTAATTTTCGATTGCCGTGTCGATATCCCCCTGCTTCTCATGAGCCGATCCTATACGCGCATATGATTTGGCAATCATCTTGAAGTCGGCGTAGATCTCACGACCTTCCTCGACTGCCTTCTCGCAAGCTTTGATACAAGCATCGTAGTCTCCCTTCTCGAAGTAAGCGGCACCGAGATTGTTTAGGTAGGTGATATCCTTGTATAGCTCCCAGGCCTTGCTATAATGTGTGATTGCCTCATCGAAGTTCTTCTTCTTATATTGTTGCGTACCGAGCGCCTTCTCAGCTTCTGCCGCGGCCTTTGCTTTGGCTTTCTCCTGATCCTCAGTATCTGGTTCTGGCGCTGCTTGCGGCTCCGGCTCTCTAGGTTTTGGGGCCTCTGCGGGAGCAGCTCGGGCATCTGGCATGGAGACATCTTCCTCATGTTCTCCTGGTGCCGACGATGGATCGCCACCTGCACCTGCACCACCTGGCATGCCTCCCATCATATCCATATCCACACCCATGAGCACGCCCAGGACCTGTATCATTCGAGGATCTGAGAACATAGCCTGGGAGTCGCCAGGGTTGTTCTTAACCTGCTGAAGCTTTGCCATGAACGATGGGTCTGCAAGCAACTTGCTCGTCTTGGGGTTGGCCGCAAGTTTCTGAATGAGTTGTGGGTCGTTGAACATGCCTCCAAGTCCTCCACTTGGATCACCGGTAACACCATCTAACACAGTCCTAATCAGCACGTACCATATCTCATAGAGTTCGTGTACATACCTGCTTTAGCCTCCGCATCAATCGCGCGGTTAACAGCAGCAAGACCAGATTTGTTCTGCGCATTATTTGGATCCAGCTTCAACCCCTCCTCATACGCATCGTGCGCACCCACAAGATCCCCCAATCCATGTTGAGCAGCACCCTTCCGTCCCCATCCCTTTGCCCAGTCTGGTTTAATCGTGGTTACTTTCTCAGCATCTTTCAGCGCGTTCTCGTAATCTCTCTTCGAGGCGTAGGCAGCAGACCGATTCGAGTAGAGGATGTGGTTTTCTGGCTCTATCGCAATGGCCTCCGTAAATTTGGCACTGTAGCATTTGTCAGAGAGAAGTCCGTGAGAGAGTAAAGGCTTTAGGCTCAGAACCGCCTTTGGTGCCACTTTCCGCTGAAAGTCTAAACGGAGCGGGAACACAACTTACACGGCCTCGTCGAAGTTCTTCTCTGCAATGGCTTTGTTGCCAAGAGCCTTAAGTTCGTCCGCCATTATTGAAGTTGGTGCTTGAATTCTAGTAGAGGGTATAAAGGACTAGATCTGATGTGGGTTTGAACTTAAAATTGAAAAGATGAAGAATTCAGGTCCATATATCAGGCTGCCTTTCAAGACCGCATTTGTAGCTTCTAGAGCTTTCCACATCGCGGCTTTTGGAAGCTCAGACCGACAGATCCCTGCAAGCGTGGCCAGGATTCCACGTGATGAGCCTTATCGTCCGAATCGGGACTCCGAGCTGTGTAAGGGTTAAGGGACGTTGTAACAAATGATTGGAATTTCTTTTGGTGAGCGGGAGGTAATTGTCCAGAGCGATCATCAAAGCCTAGTAATCTGCTGTCGGAGTTGGTCTAAAAAGTGAAGAAACAGATGTAATCAAATTCACAGGCAACAAAATCCTTGATATAATGCCAGGAATACCCCAATTAAAGCATAGGATAGCCCGCAGGTTTCTATACGTGCGGCATAGAGCACAAGAGTACTGTAATTATAAAGAAAATTGGTTGTATTGTATTGTTTCTAAGAATCTACATGTTCTCTTGCCCAAACCCCCCACGGACCCACGAGAGACACGGCCATAAAAGACCGAATTATAGGTTTTATGTCGGTACGAAATATGTACCGTTTGTATGATTTTTGCTCAAGTTGATAGTATGCAGGCGACGCTGTGCACTGCTCTAGAAATTTTTCAACGGCGCTATTCCAAACTCCGTCCCATGCGAATCAATATCCTGTCTGATTATATACTACTACTTCTTTCCTCCGGGGGCGCGAGCAACTGCTGCCGGTGACATAGCCAGCCCAGCCCTCTCCTGCATGGTGGTCATCGCCGCAGTCACTGGTGTTTGGGCACCGCTCGGCGCTGGGGTGTTACTGCGAGTCGCCGGAGCACTTCTGTTGTGTGCCATATGGCTCTGCACAAGATGTCCAGCTGCCAAGGCGCTGCACAATGAAAGCTCACCGGCAAGCACACCAGCAGCAACAATGCGTGCAAGTTTTCGAGCATTGTCACCTGGGTTTGTGGGGTGGGAGCCTCGGACACCTAATAGATCCAGCATAGCGGCTTGCGGCTCCAGAATGGTACCTCCTCCGAGGGTACCGACTTCAATAGAAGGCATCGAAACACTGATTTGAAGATTTCCGCGCAAACTGTAATCCCACGTTAGTAATCTAGTTAATCGCAGTAAGGCTTCTACAACTTACTTTTTCATGAGTGTGATACAACTGCTGCTTTCGACGTTCTGGGCGGGATCTTGACCAGTAGCCAAAAAGATAGCGGTGACAATGTTTGCGGCGTGGGCATTGAAACCTCCAATGCTTCCGGCCATAGCACTGCCAACGAGATTCTTAGCGATATTCAGTTCGACCATGGCTTCTACACTAGTCTTGAGGACCTTCCGCACGACTTCGCCAGGAATAATGGCCTCTGCCACGACACTCTTTCCACGGCCATCAATCCAGTTGACTGCAGCCGCTTTCTTGTCTGTACAGAAGTTGCCAGAGACCGAAATAATCTGCATATCATCAAAGCCATTGTCGCGCATGACGCTTAAGGCATGCTCGACGCCCTTGGAGATCATGTTCATTCCCATAGCATCACCAGTGGTAGTCTTGAAGCGAGGATAGAGATTTGTTCCTGCCAGTGCTGTCTTGATGTGCTGTAGCCTGGCAAACCTGCTAGTAGAGTTGAAAGCTTCGGCCATTGTTCCTTGTCCGATTTCTGAATCCAGCCACACCTTGGCTGCGCCAGCCCGTTCGAGGGTTTCGAAGGTAACACAAGGACCACGGGTCATGCCATCGCCAGTTACGATTGTGACTGCACCGCCGCCAGAATTGATTGCCTTGCAGCCACGGCTTGTACTAGCAACGAGGACACCCTCTGTCGTAGCCATAGGCAAGAAGAAGCTTTGTCCATCAATAACAATAGGGCCAGCAACACCAAGTGGAAGCGGCATGTAACCAATAACGTTTTCGCAGCAAGCTCCCAGGACACGGTCGTAGTCGTAGTGATTGTATGGCAGTTTGGATTTCTCCAACAGACTTGTCGTCTCAGTAGTAGCAGGAGTCCTTGAGATGATGGCACGTCTGATTTTGACAGCACGGGTAGTGTTCTTCAAAGTCCGTTCAAGAGAATAGCCAGGAATTTTGCCTTGCATGGATAATTCGACAATCTCGCTATCAGTGAGCTCAGGCGCACGCTTTTCCTGAAGCAAGCGCTCCATTTGGACAAGTGTTCGGCGGAGGGGAGGTTGACCTTCTGGCTCAGCCTGGCGCATTTCGAGACCCTCGTCCTCATCATCTGTTGTAGCTGGGGTCGGAGGTGCAAGCCGGTCATTTGCCTCTGGGTCGATAGCAGGGAGCTTTAGTGAAGGCACGGAGGTCGAGTTGTTGAATTTCTCTGCTTGCTCAAGTTCTTTGGCGTCAACAGCGTGGTGTGGAGGCATTTGTAGCGGATCTTTAATGCTCCATCTTGCTGCATTGAAGAGATATCCGTTCAAGATCACACTCAATGCCAACGCGGCGACTATCCACTTCGATAGAACAGGATCCTCCAAGCTCTTCAGGACACCCTCCACGACGCGACCGCCCATTCCATAGTCACCAAGCTCATCATCATCAGTCACAGAGTTCCGGTCCCTTGATGGAATAGCGTAGTGAACAGAGGGGTATTGAAGTTCGTACTTAATAGGTGAAAGGACGGTGACCACTACCGCCTTTTCCTGAGACTTGGCAGACAAGAGTATGGCGTCCAAAGCGCTGGGTGCGATTTCAAAGGGATCCATTGGGAGGGAGGATACACTATTAACGACGCTATTTCCAGCAAAGTCGGGAATAATTGAAGAAGCCCGGTTGATTTTGCCGCTCCGGAAGGGAATGGTGCAAAGGTTGAGAATGTTAATGATGACAAAACCTCCAACCATCAGAACCTTGAATTTGGGGATGCTGCTGTCTCGAACCTTTCGTCCGAAGATATTTGTCTCGGTGCTTCCGGCCGCATCATCCGCCTTTGGCCATTCGTCGCTCTGAGCAACGGTTTCAGCCACGCGACGGTTGACGCCGTCATCCTCTAAAGCCTGGCGAAGGGCAACATGGCGTTTGATACGGTTGATTTCGAGCTTAATGTTCAAGACTGCCGTATAGAAGGTGAAAAGGAGAAGACAGTCGAAGGCCAGAATCCAGGCCGCCAGGAAACAGAACTGTTGAAGTCCGCCCTGAACACCAGATGCAGCACCAGCAACCAGAATACAGATCTCGATCGCGTAGTCCCTAAGAATCTCATAACCCTTCTCCTTGATCGCAACCTGCACCGCGTATCCAATGGAGTTTGGTGATATGCCGTATTTCTTTTCCTGGGCTTGAGGCCTGCGTGATTCAAGCGAAGCAGATAGTACTGCCTTGGTCAAAACAATCGACTTCTCGAAACCAATGGTAACGACCAAGAATGGCAGACCTTCGGACAGCAAAATCATATTCATTGGTACTCCCAATTTCGTGGTCACAATCAATCCAAAAAGGAAAGCGAAAACCGACGAGAAAAGGGTCGTTGCAAACAGCCAGAAGTGCGAACCCATGCGACGCATCGAGATGAACAGCGACACGAACGTCAAGTGCATAGAAATATATCCCAGCACCATAATGATAATGTCCAGGGTCTCGGCATTCTTGATCAGGTGGACGAATTCAGTCCATGCGGTCGAAGCCCAGTTGCGTAAACCAGCGTGCGACCCAGCGACCTTTGCAGCCTTCATAATCCACTTTTTCTGCTCCTTTGTCGAGTCTGCCTCAAGTCCATCGTGGGCTTTCTCAGTCTCCAGTGCGGAAAGGGCACTGGGGAATTCCTGAGCTCGGACAAGGAACTCTGGAGCATTGCTGTATGGCACTGAATATACAAGAGTAGTACCCTGAGATGAAGTTGCTGGTAGGGGCGTAACCGATAAATTTTGAGGGATTGGTACCGAGGTTTGCGGGGAATTGGCGGTCAACGAGTTTTGGAAGACCAAAGTCATCAGGGCCAGATGATCAGCATCCGGAGAAATCGAGGTGTCCGCATCTGCCTGCTGCCATTTCCAATCCGTCTCACTGCTGACTCTCAATTGACGGCTGCCTTCCAGTAATGAAGGCCAATCCGCCTTCCCTTCCACGGTGCTTGATGTAACAACATTGAATAGGCTGCTCTCGAGGAGACCGATATAAGTCGTACTAGCAAAAATTGCGACAATGACGATCGTATGTATAGGATGGAGGCATGCTCTGTAGGAGAGCTTTTGCACAAGGGGCGTCACTCGTTTATTCAGCCAGACTGGGCCAGCGGAATTTTCAGTGGAGGCGCCCGGAAGCCTCGAACGGAGGAAGGATGAACCAAGCATATTTAAAGCTTGAGGGAGGTATCGCGGTGTATTATAAAGCCATCGAAGAGCCGGAAGAGCGGCTTTAGTTCGTTCTACCTATATGCCACGCATTGGTTAGCTATTTGCTTCGAAATTTGACCAAATACGAATACGCAAAGAGAGGGCCTCTAGAGCATGCTTATAAAAGAGGCAGGCCCAGTATGCATGTGAAGATGGGTCGTACGCAGGAAATAGTTCAGCTTCCTCGTGGGAGTCTCGTGGTGGGTGATACCAGGGCTCAAGGGCAGCACGAATGTGATACCGAAGAACGAGGTTCTCGTCGTTCAGAGCTCAACTCGAGGATAAGCAACGTTCCACTTGCATCCACTGATATCCTGCCGTGCTCGCCAAGTGCACAATAAGACGCAAGTAGGGAAAAAATTGGCGGAAAATGCGAAAGTTGGAAATGTTCAGGGGCTTGAACGTACTTTTATTTCCCAGCCGGGGACTGTATTTCTGGCTTGCTTGGGCGGGTCGGAACGGGGGCCGAGGGAGTCGGGGGTCGAAGGATTTGGAGTGATGAGGCTGCGGATGGGTGTTGAAAATCCAAACAGACTGTGCAAGACCCGATCTCTCGGCCGAGTTGGCGGGCGACGATGAGGATGGAGGGGAGAGGGGAGGAGAGGAGAGGGAGGGAGAGAGAGGGAGAGGGCGAGGTGGAAGTGCAAGTGCAAGTGCAAGCGGAGGTGTAGAAAAGAAAGTCGGAGCCCCAAATTCAAATGCAATTTGAAAGGGACGTGCTGGTGCTAGCAGTCCGGGGGCAACTACAGTGGTCGCAGGCTGTTACCGGCTTTGCGACAGCGTTGGATCTGGATGTGGATCTTCACTACGGTATTATTATTTTTCAAGTCGGGCGAACGATATTAATTCTCGCTAAAATGCCTCCCAGCACCCAATAAACCAAATAAAGGGGCAACCGTTGAAAGAAACCGGGCAAACGCCTACGATTGTTCTGCTGTTTCTTTCAACAATTGACCGCTCGCTGCGATGTGGGAGAGTCGTCGCATGATCCCTTACTTTTGTCCTGGCTACGGTACGAAGATGCGTTTCCCCGTCACCGACTCTATCGACGGAGTATTACGAGGCCAGTGTGGCGCTGCAGCTGGATTAGCAACCCAGTAGCTGCTAATGTTCCTGCTTATCGCCACCAGTCCGGCCTTGAAGTCTTGGATTCCCCATGCGCTCGTGTCGGGCTACTGGTTGGTTCGGTGTTGGCTCCAATAGTAGGGTTATTATTCTATGGTCCCCTTTCCTGGCATCTTGACGCAAGTTGCGAAACGTGCAAGAAATGCTCTTATAGATGCAGATTCAGATGCATACTCTGTATCTCCTCAGTTTATCATGTCTTTGTGTCTTTGTTTATTCAGTCATGGCCGTTGATAGCTCTCACCGATCGCTATCAGCTGCTCCAGCGAGTTGCGGTGGTTCGCCGGGGAATATAATCCGTGATCCCGGATGATGTGCAGTCTGACATCGGACCCTCAGGCCACAGTGGAGTCCATCTGCTACAGAGCGGTCTGAACGACTGGGCGACAGAACTTGGAGCCAAGTCTGTACTTTGGTGGGCACTACGAGTGCTATAATACCGGAAAGCCTATTATTGTTTCGGTACTCACGTACTTATTTAGAGTGCCGCTCTGAGCTCACTCCCGAGCCTCCGGGGGTACCGGAACAGTACTAAAAACGGGGTCGAGAATAAGACCCCTAACTCTAATAAGATCAAACACATCCTGCAAAGAGCACCTGGCTACACAGGTGCTACGGAGTACAGCAGAAGTCTGACCTTACGTGGGATGAACCGCTCGAATCGCCTGTGATGGATTAGAAGGGGGCTTGTTAACGGCGTGTTGCTTCTCTCGTTATCAAGGACAACGGGACGCCTATTATCGATACTCGATAAGGGCCCCCATCCTTAAAGGCTCGAGAGTGAAAAGGATCCATGCCCTAGTTGGCAATCTGACCTCACGTACTTCGTACATATAAACTAGCCAGTCACGTCACCAAACTTTAATCCTTCTGTTACACGATGAAAAAATGATTGCCTGATCGATCTTTTTAACGTTATGGAGGAAGGCGTCAGCCCCATTATGGTATTGCCCCTAACAGGTGAAGCTCCGGCCCAATTATCGAGAAGATACAATGGAAACGGTGCAGTAGGTACCCAAACCGGGCAATATTTCCATCTTGGCACGACTCAATCAGATCAACCTAATATCAATATCTGTCCAGCGACCTATTCCTACTATCTTTATTCCGGAATATTGACTCCTCTTATAGGAATCAGACCCGCGCCGATGTGTACGTGGGCCCGATGGATTTCCAACCCCGACTCAAATCGTCAATGGGGTTGTACAGTCCAAACCCACGCCTTCTAGGGTAACCTATGATCACCGTTACCTCCGTCCATATCCCAACCCAAAGCAAAATCCAATAAACGAAATGAAAATAACCTAAAAGAAGTAAGAGGGATAGAAAGTAAACTCACTGATTCACAACAAACGTTTGTCCTCGCAATCCTATCCGCAGTAAAACATGAATATTCAGGAGGCGATCCGTTGCCGCCGGTAGATTCAACCAAGGTTGCATTCAAACCTAAGGAGCGCCGGTCAGGGTTTGTTTTATTTCAAAGTAGTAGAAAAGCGAAATAGGGAGAGAAGTGGAGAGGACAAACACCCAAGAAGGTGCTCAAAATTAGGCCCAGTCAGACGGGTCGCAGCACAACAAGCACGGTGTGTGTTCTCGGGGCAGAGCCAGGCGGAGCCTAGGGTTAAAGAGGAGGTAAGTACTAGGGCGATGAAGCCCATTTTGGATATGGAGTTTCGGTTAGGTTTGGGTTTAGGTTGGGTTGTTTTGATATTAGCTTTGATTTAAGGTGGTCCAGTGAAAGTCTTGGAGTTAATACTATTTTGTAGAGAGACGGGAAGGGGTAGGGTAAAGTAGTGTAGGTATTTATAATTCTTCTATTTAGCCCTTCCCGTATCGCAACGGGGTAAAGTGAAGACCTCGCCTTTTCTTTACATATGTATTAGTTTTTGTACTACTTGATCTGGCCATGTGATTATATTAGGCAATTTACAGTAATATAAGGCACCCCTTTCATATTGCACTGGATAATAAATAAAAACCTAAAGACTTTTTGAAGAGGTTGCACTGTTATATATCTGTCTCTTATACACATCTATATGAGGTTGCACTGTTATATATACATAGGTTAAAGCAAAGTGGAAACACTCTGTTCCAGTGTTGTTTTCCATCTCTATCCAGAGCTACGATTTTTCTATACTCAATGTTATTTTTTTTTGGGACACCTCACTATAGATTCAATAGAGTATCACTAAAAGTCTCATCAATTCTAGCACAGATACGGATAACTATCGATAGATGTATAATACTAACAGAATTTGGACCCCTGGCTAGGTGGAGGAGGAAATCCTTTCGAACCCCTGGTTAGAAGTTGTCAATTTTCAATAATACATCAACAGGGTGAGGAGGCCTGAGCAAAGGTGGCGCTGGCCAGGTGAGTATAAGTACCTACATTCCGGTGGTATAACAATTTGTCTGACCTTGTATACATGTATCTAACACCCAAGCTTCACGTGGATCGGTGGATGGCACACAACATCCTCGACTGTTACACGATATAATTTAGATAGCAGAGAATGTCTATCTACTCTATCTACATAACAGAAATAGAGGACTAGGCTAATCCAGTGACATATATTATCCCCGCTTGCAAATAATATTTTTCCTCCAACACCTTATCCAGGTGTAAAAAGAAACACCAGACGGTTGAACTTTAACAGCAATATACTAGCCCCTTTTTGCCAATCGTATCTGCCCAAATGTGTCCTGACTTTACATACGTAATGTAGTCAATCCTCAACTCCTTTAGTGTATATATCTGGGTTGAGTTAGTTGATATACGGTAGGATGTTTCGCTTCTACTAGCCCAAGATTCCGCGGCACGGATCTGGGGTGTCTTGTGATATATGTATTCGAGCAATGAGTGTGCTCCAATTCTAGGACAGCGGAGCCCATAATCAACATGATATGGTGGAGCTTTATGGAGAGAAACGATTCCTTTTACGAACCTACTCCAGAACTCCGGTCCAGATAAACAGGCAACCAACATGTACCACATTGATCCAACCCAAGAACCCCATAACTCCCACCCTCAAATCTCGTAACTCATAGCACCCTTTCCTTCACCCTCCTAACCTCCTCCCCGTCCAACCCCACAACCTTCACACCAACATCCTCTAGGCTCGTCTCTACCGTCCCCCAAGTCCCCTCATCCACAGCTTTAGTCCCCTCCCTCACAACACACGTAGTAAACCCCTCCGCTTTACTATCCATCGCCGTAGCCTGCACACAATAATCAAACGCCAGCCCGACGACAAAAACATCCGTCACGCCCCTCTCCCTTAACACGTCCGCCAACCCACTATCACACGCCCTCGGGCTTTTTAACGGATCAAAAAATGCCGAATACATCTCCACCTCCCGTCTCATCCCCTTCTCCACCACCAAATCCACCCCTCTCACATCCAACTCACTCAACAACTCCGCACCGGACGTATTCTGGATACAGTGATCAGGCCAAAGCCTCGTCTCATACGTCTCCTCTGGATTCTCCGGGTTAACAACGGTGGTGAAATCTACAAACGGACGCTTGCCCACGTGGTTTGATGCGAATGATATATGATCCCGCGGATGCCAGTCCTTGGTTGCGATTTTCACAGCGAAGGGAAGCGTGAGCAGATGGTTGACTGTGGGGATTATCGCGCGGCCGTTGGGGACGGCTAGGGTGCCATTCTATTGACTCGTTCATTAGCTTTGAATTGCTGGCTTGCTGGGAAGGTAATATTACGGGAGGGCAGAAATCATCTTGCACGTCAACGACTATTAGGGCGGGCTTGAAGATGTCTTTTGCCGACGCCATGGTTTGATAGGGTGGGAGATTGGGGAAGTACTATGGCATATCGAAAATTGTGTAGGAGTAAAGTTGGTCCATGAAGTGTCACGCTTGATTTAACGTGAATTACCCATGGCACGTGATGTATCGCGACTTTGCTCACCCCTGAAATTGAAAATAAAGCTCCAGCAAGTTTTATACGAATTTGAAATTTTCAGTTTTATATTCCTGTTTCTAACTTGTAATTACTAACGGAAGTAGTATCGTTTATTAGTGACCAGCTAAGGGCGTCTGTATCTAAGATGTGATATAGGTCACACATTAGACTGACGATGATAGCATGTTTGTTATTGAATAGGTTTGCTTAATATAATTGTAATAATCATGGACTATAACAAGCTCATCTGTTTCGCACCTAGAATTCCATTGTAGACGGCTCTCACAGGTCAACAAATCAATCAAACCAGGGTACGACATTAGGACAGGAACTCATTAAAGCTCGGCTTCGTTTAAAGATGACGGCTTCCATCGCTCTTTCTTCATCTTTCTATTTTTCTCCAATGCCTTCAAGTTCTTCTTTGTCAAACGAGCACGTTTTAGAGGCCTTTAGGACATGATCTCGTCAGATCCGTCAGATCTTCATTTCCAAGACTGGTGGCCGTGGGTTTGTAACAGAGGAGGATTTCTACAATATCGATATAAACAGAATGCTCGTTAAACAAGTCAACGAGGATCGGACTGTAATTGCGGAGGAGCGCGAGGCTTACGGACCCTCGTAGATTGCAGTTCCATGATGAGGAAGAGGCAAATGGAGACAAAGGGTGATTTGGTGGAGTTGTATGGAATGCTGAATCATTAGTTCGCTCTCAAACAATCAATGAATTCGCTGGCCAGTGATGCAGCCGTCAAGGGCCACCAAGCTCCTCCGGTTTATTAGTTTATTAGTGGGTTGCTCAACGTCTTCCTTCAATACAACTATCTCACCACTGGCAGTGGCGGAATTCATAGAGCTCTGGCCTAACTCATCTAGCGCTATGGCAGAGGCGTGACTTGCTTTGGAGGTAGGTAAACATAGTAGTGGGTAGCCCGCGATCGCGAGGCTTGTTTCGGGGAGTGAAAATGGGCTTGGATCATTAGCCGCCTTAGGCATCATTATAGCACACTACCTAGGTAGGTAGGCAGCATCACTGTGGCATCCACTGGAGGGTCTCACTGTAGGGCACTGCTACAGGGCATACTGCCCTGAAGCCACAGCCTGGGGAACTATCGATGAGTGCCCGTCGACTAGTAGGGCAGACCCTGTGGATCCTGGGACTAACTACAGATCCAGATCCAGATCCAGCAACAAAAAGACCAAATAGACCAACCTGGAAGGGTATTCGTAGGAAATTTAGGGGACTGCCTGGGAGCGACATATATTAGGGCTTGGAAATACTGCTCCAAGCCCCAACCCTCTCAATGACTCACTTGCATCTAAATATCTAAATAACGCATCTACAGATCACTGTCTCCATCTTCATTCTTCCAACGACAATAAAACCGGCATGGCATCGTTTAATTGGGATTTGGATTTGGATTTCGAAGAATTCTCCTAGGACGATGGGAATGGAGGCTACCAGGGTGTCAGCGCTGCCCACCTCTCACAGCTTTACACTTACCTGAAATCGCAATACCCAGAGGTTGAAGTGATTGAGGAGCGGGAGCCATATTTGGTGATATGGTGTACCGGATCCGTTCCCGAACCACCTAAACTGCCCTTCCGCATTGCAGGCTTGCAGGGCGTTTGGCTTGTCTCTGGTCGCGACAGTCTTCCACCGGAGTTTACTGAAGATGACATCGGTTCTCTAGCTGAAGTTCTCGAATTGGATGACGATCTCGCCGAGGATATTCGCGAATATCGACTACCAAAACCCAGCACTCTTTGTCGAATGATGCAGGAGCACTTTCCTGATGCACTGGGTATTAGCTTTGTCAACAACCGGATTCGGATTGAGTTGGAAGAGCTCCCTATCGAAGAGTACCGGGAGCGTTTAACAACTCTACCTGGTCGGTTTCAGCACACCAGAATCCTGATCATGTACTACAATGGGCTTCTGAACACCGGCCGGGAGAAACACAGGGGATTAAAGCAACCAATGCCGCAGAAAGATGACAAGCAGTTCGACGGTTTAGATTATGTTGCTGCGCAAGGCTACTTCCAACCTGGGTCGATGCTTTGTAATAGTAGTGGCGATATAGTTTCGGCTGGAATCCAGGTAGAGAATGGAGCTGAAAGGAGATTGACTGTTCCGATCCACGGTTGGCAACCAGAGCTCGACAAACCCCGGAGAAAATAGGGGATTCGAGCTGCTTTCGTGTCACTCAGGGGAGAACACACGTCGGCCACATTAGCAGCAGGATAGAGGATACCGATATTGGCCTCGCTACCTTGAACGACAACGTCGAGCTTCGTAACCGATTTCTTCATCTCCCTGGGGGACCGTCCAAGCTTCTTTACAGCGACACAGTAAGAAGCGATGATTATTACATGATTGATAGCCTCACCACGGGTCGGCAAGGAACACTGTTGTTGTGCAAAGGGAAGAGGGCTATCGAACGAGAACAAAACGGCACATCCCAGGTTGTTGTTCAGCTCATCTTTGCCGCTAGTGACCCTCTGGCTTACACGCCTAATATTCGGGCCCGGTGCTGTGGCTCGGCATTGATTCGCCTTGTCCCCAAAGCAGGACGAGGTAAGAAGAGCGCAACCAATGAGCGAGTTACCCCTTGCAAGCAGAGTACACCCAGTACGAAGGGCGCCCCAGTCACAGGAGAACCCTCTACGCCAAAAAAAAAGATACTCCTGGTTTGGTCGAGTTGGCAAACGACGGAGAAATTGGAGGGTTCATAAGCTGCTGCGAACTTCAAGAGAAAACTGATAAGCCCCTATTGATCTGTTATGCGGAGACTACAGACTCTTTGATTGATGCTGGTTGGGAGGTGGTCAAGACAGCAGAAAAGAGAAAGCGTACTGGTTCTGAAGATCCTTCCTTAGACTGAATCACTTCGACACCCCCTTGTGGCTTACTCCATGTATATGCAGCTTAATTGCTAATAATTAGTTTGGAACTCGCAAAAGCTCAATAGTTCCGAAGAGCACATGTAAACTAGATATAGATGGCAACTATCACCACTTGGACCGATGAGGTGCTATAATGCAGCTGTATTTAGCATCCACGGGAGTGTTGATGCAACCTCATTCACGACTCGCATATTACAAAGTCGAGCCTTCAAGCACTAGATCCTTTAGAAGGCATATGGATTATACGGTTCAGTTGTTGTTATTACCTATTTCCCGCTCCTTTTCTATCTCCTAGTAGTCGATCTGGTATACTAAGTTAGTAGGAGTTAGTCATTGACTTAGAAGGCTAGCACAAGGTGCTTAAGCCAGCGGTCTAGAACACCTATTAATAGTTACATGATTTTACATTCTCAATTTCTCATCACGAAGCTCAATAGGTCCAAGTTTATGGTAGGATTTGAATGCAATATATTCATTCCCCACCATTTCTCCATTTTCCATTCTCCACATCTCATTTCCCCACCTTAACTATTTCAACCCCAATCCACTCATTCTGCTAACCCCATCTTACAAAACACATATCCGATGCAGTCCACCAACCCTATGCTAACGTCCACGATTCCCAACAAAACTCCGTCTCCATACGGAAAAATCGAGGTTGTTGGGTTTTAAAAAAAAGGGTGGGGGAAAAAAACAAAGTCTCGCGATGTCATAAAAATCATAACCATTTGTATGCAAAGCCTCCCAAAATAATGTCGCTCATAAAATGTACCCCCTCCTATACCACCACCAGCTAAAGAATGATTAATACAATTAGATGGGTTGAATAGAATTGAAGCGATGGTGTGTGTGTGTGTCCGTTTCCATCTAGCGGGATATATGTAATGCAGTCGGGGGACGGGGTATTCAAACGCAAATAACGATGACCAAGTTTTTTCATAAATAAAGCCAGCTCCGGCATGATATCAAAGCTCCATTGCACCAAGCAGCAAAAATTATACCCAGGTTTCCTTGCATGATAGGCTTTAATTGCCCTTCTCTTCTTCGGCCGATCCATCTGTATCATCACTGTCAGGGCTTGAAGGTTGTTGAGCTCCAATTGACGACTCAAGTTTGGCTGCAGGAAGCGTGACCGCGATTGGCGTCGTATTTGTGCTATCCTCGGTTTGCCTTACTTTAGAGTCCTGACTGCTTGCCCTATCTCTTGAGCCCTCAGCCGAACTTGACACGGTGGGAGTATTGGCTTGACTTCCGCCCCGCTGGCCGTGATAGTGGATCACCTGCGGCGGAGCTTGCCCAGCCTGAGTGCCCAGTAGATGTTGCGGATACGGATGGAGATCTTTTGATGATGTCGAGAAGGTAGACACGACTGGCTGAGGGTATCCGTGGCCGTTGCTGGGATTTGAGGCGTGGCCAAAAGCTTGGTTGTGTTCTGCTTGGGTAGGTGTACCAGAGTCGATTGTAACGGGACTCGTTAGCTGGTCGTTTACTTGGCCAGTCAGGCTATTTAACCCGCCTTGAATATCCCGCAGCAAGCGAACATATTCTTCTGGGACCAAGCCGCTTTCCTGAGTCTTCGGGTCCATAGCAACAAGCCATCCTTGGCCATGCCGGTATGATACCCAAATCACCTGTCCTTCGACCAGTGGCAACTCGTTCTCATTTTCTCGCTGGAAGTCGAAAAGTGCTACAGCCTTCCCGTGCATCTCCTCATCTGGCGACGCAATTGTAAACTGATAATCCCTTGAATATCTGGACTCGTCATGTCTTGTCATGCCTGGGGAAGATGCAGAACTAGATGCGTCTGACTCCGATCGGTAGTCTTGGCCGGTCTCGTCGGTATAAGATCTGCTTGGAAGGGTGCCCGCAAAATGCGAGTCTCTCTGGCCAGGTACGTTGTAAGGCGCCAGTGTAGAATGTCGGGCCTGGTCTGGGGGATATGTAACGATTTCACCGCCTGGTCCGTCTGCCTCCCCTCCTTGGTTTACATAGTATCTCTCGCTACCATCACCCCCGGTTCCAACAAAATAACCCCTCCCATGATCAAAATGCTCCTGGCTGAGCATACTGGCGCGGTGTCCATCCCCTCCGTTCCGACCTCTATGTGACTGGCCGCCTCCAAACCCAGCCGACGACTTATGTTTCCTATGCCGAGAGCTCACAACAACTGGGCTTTGAAGATCTTCGTCCTCACTCCATGGCGGGCCGTCCCCAAACTGTATAGGCGCCAACTGCTCCCCCTTCATGAGTCCATCACCTCCCCAAGGACCAGGACCCCACCCGCCTCTACTATCCCAGGAAGTGGGCGGATCCGAAAGTCGCTTATGAGATTCGCTCACAGGTGTTGAAAGGCCAGAAGGCGGCCGAGAGGACTCTGGCGGTGGGCCATAATGCATCGGGTGCAATGGGGGATATGCGAAATCTCGAACAAGTGTGTATGGTAGGCTCGAGTGGAATATTGGAAAGATATGCGAAGGTGGCCGTGACCGAGACGGCTGTGAGTAGGTCGAGTATTGTGACAGCCTATTCTTTGAGGCATGTGATGTGGGCCGTTGTAATGTAGACCGGCGAGCTGTGGGGGATGTTATTAATGGCGGTAACGGTGGGTGGTTTGGATTCGAGGACGGTGAGGATATTGGCGAGACAGCTGGCGGAGACGTAGCTGTGTCCAATGTTGGAGACATCACGGCTGCCATTTCACAGCGGCGGTACCGGTCTTATCAGCAGAGCCTGCTGTGGGATGAGCCGCTCGGTGAAGCCAAAGCCGGTGGCAGCTTGGCCAGCAAGCCAAAATTCACCAGATATGAATCTTCACGCTAGCGTAAGACCAAATATTGAGGTTCGATCAATATCGACTGCCGCGACGCCCGCGATGATCACTTCGCTCCCGCTCCTCGGTCCTAGCTGGTTGTTCCCAAAACCGGCAGCCGTACCGTACCGCGATGTAGGTTTAGGTTTGGTAGGTAATGTGTGACGGCCAACAACGAAATAGAATGATCAAGATTGGCGCGGCTGACGCGCAGTCGGAGGATTGAAAACAGATTCAAGATGGAGGACCGATGCACTGGGCGATCATCCAGCAAGGCGGATGGGTTTTTTCTTCGAGGACACGCCGTGTCGTGGTGGCGCTTAAAGGCCAAATGTTCAACTGTTCCTGGGTAGGTAGCGCCGCCTGCACCCACCGCCTGTGTCTGGCCCAATGGCACCCGTCAAAGCCACGCTCTGGTCTGCTGCTGGCCGAGGACGCGGTGAGCGGGAGGCAGGGCTCGCGCTCAGATGGGGCGGACTGGGTGCTGGACCGTCGAGGTTGCTGGAGAAGATAGTCGAGTAGTTCGGTTTGGGAGTGAAAGGATGCCACCCGCTGGCGCGCGACTCAGCAACGCCGAGACCCCAAAGGCCTCCAAGCCCGATGGGATGGAGCAGAACGACGGACCCCGCAGGTGGGAGAGGCGCAAGAGCGTCTAATAGCAGGCTGGATGGCTGGCGGGCGGGCGTTGGAGGGATGGAGGATGGAGGATGGAGGATTCCGTTCTCCCAGCGGGGGATGGATATGGATATGGGGTATGGGATATGGGATATGGATATCTGGATTGGGATTGGGATTGGGAAGAAGTACAGAGTACAGCTGTGTGTTTGTTGACGCAACACACGTGACAGGGAAAGTGACAGGTGGACGAGGAATGGAGGAGAGACGGTTGAGCAGCTTGCTTCAGGGTACGGAGCACTGTGAACTGTGCTGTGCTGTGCTGTAGGGCGCCTGGGAGAGAGAGCAGAGGCAGAGGCAGCGGGCAAGCGAAGGCGGGCGGCGGTGGTTGATTTGGGCGACGACATCAAGAGAGGCAAGAGAGGCAAGAGAGGCAAGAGAGAGTCAAGACGCATGGCAAACATGGGGGTGGCCACCGTCTGAGTTCTATTTTCGGCAGCAGTACCCCTGTCACCACTGTTATTTGCAGCCTTAGTGCGTTTCAAGTGCCCGCTGGGCCAATCATGCCGGGCTGTTCACTGTTGTCCGTTGCGGGCGCTCTTTCCGTTGGTGCCCGCGTGGGTGCAGAGTGCAGAGTCCAGAGTCACTGCTTACTACGCTACGCCCGGGGACAGGGACAGCACGGAGCACAGCAGTGTTGTGCTGTTCGCACTTCGTAAGCACAAGGCACCTACTGTACATGTACCTAGGTAATAAGGTAAGGTAAGGTGTGTACAGGTATGTACTGTACCACTGTGCTGGCACTCGTACGTAGTAGTAGCAGCAGCAGCCGTGTTACTTATTATAACCATGCTCGAGTACCATATCGGGAGGACAAGTACAAGTATCAGTACCAGTACAACCGCCCCCAAGATCCCTTGGCAGAGATGGCTCGGATTCGTATGTACCGTGCGTGTACCGCTACATCTCCTTCCAGAAAACAATACATGTTGCACCTGCGAAAGCACTGGTCTCATTCATGTACGAGCTCGAGGCCAAGTATACTTAATAAGTACAGTACATGGCCTCAGCCTTACCCCGTGTCAGACCAACGGGCTGAATCGGCAGCGCCTGCCTAAAAGGAGCATTCCTCAGGCAAATTATAAAGTTGTAAACGAGGCTCGGTGGTGGTTCTAACTTCCGAGGAATGCCTGCCGTACCGATGGTGGGGATGGGAAGATATGGCCCTACCAGAAAACACCTGCTGGTTACGCCAGAATCCGCCCGAACCTGAGCAAACCCCGATGGCTTTATCGGCCAGGTTTGCAAAGTAACTGTCTTATTATTACCTTGCAGTTGAGCGGCTTGAGGCAAGCAATCTGTTCAGATCGACAGTCACATGACTCCCGCCAGGTCACGTATCGTAAGGTACCTAAGCTATCACTCCAGTACAATAATAGACAATGAAAGCGAAATACTGCTTTAAGAGATTAAGAAACACTTAACAAGATAATGAGTTTGCTTTCGTGTTCGCGTTCAAGATCAACTAATGCTAAAGAAGTACTGTGCCTAAATGGGTTAGAGACCTTGGTACAAGGAATGGATTTTGAGATAACTTAGAATTATCCTATCCACGATTCATAAAGTATAATTTTGACCAATTTAATAAATCGCCGTTTTCGGTTCCTGCTCTCAAATTCGCCCTCTAGTTAGCAAATTCGTGTTAAATTCGCCATCGTATTCGCGAATCTATATCATTTTTACGCTGCCTAGTACCTTAATAGCCCCCGCCGCTTCGGGTAAGGTACATGCAAGGGGCGTCCGCCGCTTGCAACGTCTATAACGTTCTCCCACCCCGCAGCTTGACACTGTTCCTCTTCAATCTTTTCTCAACGCTCCCTCACTCGGTCGTAGCTTTATTATACGTCGTCACCCTTTCCCCGCCGAGACCTACTCAGAGCGCACCTTCGCCGGCCCAACCATAGCTAAAGCCTTGCTTGACAACAGGGCCGGTTTAAAGCCAGAACCGCTCGATCTACCACTCTAGATTCGATGGTCTTAACGGTCGCGACGGCGATATGACCTAGCCAAGGAAAGAAATTCGTTATAACGAGGTGGCATATCTAAATTAAAGCTGTATTGACCTGTGAATTTATAATCACTGCTCAAAAACATGTTTTGAAGTATTCCTGGAAGCATCTTCGAAATTCTGGCGTAATACTTTCTCATACATCTCCTTATCTCGGAGCTTTGTGCTTATTACTTCTTTTCCATCTACGGCCCAGTATTCCGATACGATGCGTGGGGAATCTGGATCAACATTATGAGAAGGCGCAAATAGAGGCTGGATGTGATCGCGGAAGATATTATATAGTCCTTTTGGACTATCTAAGGCCTGGAAATACCAAAAGTTCCCAATCTTCCAACCGCTCTTTATAATGTTTGTCCGGTACGAAGCAGCACCATTTATCGGGGGAAACGACTTCTCCTCTTCCTCAAAGATCTCCATGAACTCGTGATGCGCCTTGCTGAATTTATCTAGGCGCCGGCCAACAAGATCATCTGCGGAACATCCAGTCAGCCAGTACGGAGGACGCAAGGTCTCCACAGGCAGCGAGCATGCCCACTCAAGGTCAATTAGGCATTTGATATTCCAATCATTGTCCACGAAGATGTTACTCTGATGAAGGTCTGTAAGTCGGAAAACAAAAGGACCATGACGGAATTCTCGATTCGTGAAATGTGAAAGCAGCGTCCGCATAATAGTCAAATTGGCCATCTGGGCACGGCCATCCTCCTCATCGTTCAAGGAGTTTGGTTGATGTCGAATGCGACTGTCATGGCAAGATAGAAGATCGAGATAATACCCATCCGTCACTGAGTACGTCGAACCTCTCTCAATATTGGTCGGAATCTGGTCATTCTCTAATTGCTGAAGTCGAAGAGTTAAAGGGCGGTTGGTAAGCTGCATGGTTCCACTGGAGTCTATTGTCCAAGATCCAATACGTGGTAGCGGCGATTGACTCAGAGAAAGCATAATACAACAGAGGTCTCTCAAGAGGTTGGTTCTTCGAACTTGGCAATGCTGAAATTCTTCCCATGTCTCCGAGAGCATATTTATACCTGTGCCCTCAATATAGTCCATAACTAGATATCCGTACTCCAGAAGGTGTTGACGGCTATAGTATATATAACGGCAAGGTAAAGCAAATCCAAACAGCGATAAAAGGTGCCGTCGAAAGTGCTAAAGAAGTCTAGTTTTTAATGGTGCCTCTCGGGTTTGGTAAACTATATAGGCATGAGTTAACTTCGGAAGTAAACATCGAAGAGCCGCTAGATACCATACATTTTGGCCACCGACAAATCCAAATCCCTACAGGTAAAGTATCGGAACATAGGGACAGTGCTCTCGTATCCAAATAAACGTAGCGGCCTCACAGCGCAGTTTCTCGTCTACGTTACCAGGATATGTAGATTCTCCGATCTTGTAAAGCAAAGGAAATCTAATAATGACTCGTCTTCCGGGGTGTTTGGTCCAGTTATCAACGTAAACGGGTATACAAACGTTGAAACTGCCGTGTATCAACTCGCTTACTTCACCAAGACAGCATATCTCTGATTTAGTTAAGCCCAGATGATGCGAGACTGTATCCTCGATGTCTTTCTGATGACTGACGAGCCATGAAAAGAAGTCTACACGTTGCTCGGGATATACCAAGCTTAGCAGCATATTGTCCTCCTCCTCCAGGGCAGCTTCTAATGTAGTTGCACCCCGAAGGAGTGGAAGGGTGAGTGCTTGAGACATCGGGATATGTGGAGCCAGAGCCGGGGATGGCCTAGAGGAACGAGGGATTGCTCATCACCTGAAGTATGCCGATGTCATCAAGACCCAAAGATCGTGAGCCTTGTGCAGACGCGCAATATATTGTGATTTGGTTGAAGTATGCCAATCTAGAATGCTTTCATGAGCCTAGAAGGCCCAGGCGCCAAGACGGCTTCGGCTGATGGGGCAACAAAGACTGGTGTCCGGAGTTTACATTTCCCTGCGAGTTCAGATCCAAACTCCTCCACAACTCATATCAGTGCTTTTATCAGTGCAAAAGTCTCAAAGTTTCACAGGGCATCCGCATCCGCTGAAGTCAATCGTTTCTCTTCCCATAATCCGGAAAATGTGGAACTGTCTTTTGCATAGTGGGGCAACTCCAACTACTATATATATATCTCTCTCTCTCTTATATTCGATTTTTGTCTCCGGAATGTATTATTTATAACACCTGGATAAGTGGAGCCAGCTGAGCTTAAAAGCTCCTGGAATTCTTCCTCATTTGACACTACAAGAGGATGGAAAATACATAAGGAGATGCAGGAACCGAAGCATAGAGACGACTAGCTTCACATCTCAGAACCTGATTATTATACTCCCTTTTACCACCGCCTAGGTGCCCCCTGATTCCCTGAATTATACGACGACTCGATGCAGAGACGATATTCCCCCACTCTACTTAGGTACCCAGCCCATCGAGTCGTATGGTTCAATGCGGTTCTGAAGCTTTATTATAGCTTCCATGTTGCCTGTGGTCTCCTCCTTAATCTGTGACTTGATTTTTGAAATCGTAGCTTCATTGCTAGCCTCTTCTATCTCTGCGTGTTCCCTTAAGATGGCATTTTCATACTTTGTGTTCCGAATTTTGAAAGGTTAATTCATGTCAAGTTGACAGGATCTGGTAGACTTACACCATCGGTAATATTGGCAAGTTTAAGTAGTGCCGAACTGGTCCCCAGTTTGAATTTATCTTGCCTAGTCGAGTTTCCTCATTGGAATCGTCGAAAAAATCAGGCTTTGATAGCTCTATTCAAATCAAATCACATCAAATCATTTCTTATATTAATGTTAAGGACATCTCAGAACTAATGAGACATATATTTACCAAGTAGTAGTTCAACATAACTTAGATCTTCCAAGATATTAATACTAAGTACTCTCCCTTATTTCCCCTATTTTCGCCAGCTCGTTATCTTTTAATAAGTTAATATCGGACCCAGCCGCTAGTAGCAGTTTCGCAATTTCCTGATTGCGATCCTGATACATAGGCCGCCTAGGCTCCAAAGCTACCTGGAGCGCTGTACCATACTCTCCACCTTGTGCATTGACATCAGCTCCAGCATCAAGTAGAGCCTTTACAACATCTGTACTCCCATCAAATGCGGCAGCAGCAGCTTGAAGGGCAGAACCATGTCTTCCACCCTGCGTATTGACATCAGC